GCAAGGAGGATGGATGGACCACAAGAGTCTTTTCTCATCCTCCCTGTAATGAATAATGTTTTTGTTTTGTTTTTTTTTACATGCGGAAAAAAGCCAATTATAATAAAATAATAATGAATACAGAGGATTATGATCTTTTAGCTGTAACTTTGTCCAAATTTGAGATGACAGTGACATTTTCTCTTCTGCAGCCTCCAATTTAAAATCAGGTTTAAAGTCTGCCTGCGTCAGTCTCTATTTGTGTGTGTCTGTGTCAGTCTCTGTTTAAGTGTGCATGTACGTTGTGTGTTTATGTGCCCGCCGGTTCATTTGGAGCCTGTCCGTTCCAGCAGCCTTGCTCTGCTCTAATGACTAGTTTGACCTTTACTGATAACTGGATGAGTGACATGATCTCGCTTTCCCTCTCACTTCTCGCCGCTTTCTCTCGCCTTCTTAAACCCTCCTGTCTTTGCATCACGGCTTTCTTTATTTCCCTTTTACAACCCGTGTGTCCCTGTTTTCCTTCCTCTTTGTTTTACCTTCCTTTCCTGGCATCTTATTTACCTTGGTGTGGGCTCTTTTTAACAAATATAATCGTGTCATATTTCACATCAACTGTTTACTTTTTCCAGCAGTTATACATTGAAGCTCCAAAGAGAGAAAAAGGTCTGGATCTAAGTTGACTGAGGGGGAAAAAGCCAAAGCGACTCCTCTACACACACAAACCTGCACTATGACACTAATGGTGCAGACATAAGGACAGGAGGGGTGCACAGAGCATGATGGTCACTGCCTTCTGTATCGGCGGTTCTTATGTGACTGACATCCTAATTTTTGGTCTGTGGAGGACACTGCCTCTGCAAATCGATTGTACAGGCAAAGTGAGCACAGATAGACAAGTGGATTGAGAGGAGAGTCATCCAATCATTCGCTCGTGACTTAATGAAGTGTTTGGATTGGCTAACAATGAAATGCACTGATGCAGGGGTGTAGAAAGAACTTAAACCACTCAGTTGAATCAGTAATAACATTATAATAGAAACGATTTCTGATTGAAATATGATTATGTCAAGCTGCAGTTCAGTTTGCAGTGTGTTAAAATGGACCAGATCACATGTGAAGCGTAAATCTGAGGAAACATTTTCTTTTAACCCAAAAGGCCGTTTTTACAGCTTTGTTAGCCTGGACTATACAGTTTAGCTATTGTACTTGTACGCATGTTTTGGCCATCGGAGGGCAGCAAAGACAACTTCCTATTTACCACTGTCTATGGTACTGAACCATTCAAAGTCAAAATTATAATCTTATTGAGAAAAAACACATATCAAGTTTTGTTCTGCAGTTTTGTTCATCATTTTTATCATCCTACAAGGACTGTATGACTTACATCCTCTCTTTTCGTTTAGATTTTAGTGTACACGTGTTTATCTGCACATATCACATCTTAGTTCAATGTCAGGTAAACATGGTATTCCTCATTTTACATAATGTCAGTTGAACAGATAAGTTCTGCTTAAAACCAGACAGTCATGCATCCTGAGTCTCTGCCCTGAGTAACAGATGTAGTTTAATAGAGGGGATTATGGTGTCAGTGTAATGATGTTAGAGTCTCTCATCTCTGTGGTAAGATCAGAGGGTCTGAGTTTAGCCCTAAAGCTGACAATCCAATGCCCTGAATATTACCATATGTTATTTTTATTATCAGCGCTAATTAAAAATAGTTGCATCATGAACTTTGAGAGAGAGTTGAAATACATCGTAATGTTCAATGTTGGAGTGCTTTATCATTTTATTTTAATGTACATAAAGGATGGTGAAGGCTTTTCCATCCACTATCCTGTTGAGACCTTGTGAACACATGCCAGGCTGACCCAAACAGCTGCAGAGCTCCTCTGCTGTTGACACACAAGATCTTCTCCACCCTGTTTTCCAACCAGAACCTGTTCATTCAGTAACTTTCCACTGGGGTTTATGAGGACGATGATGCCCCTCTGTAGTGGTGTCAGCACATTTGAGGGAGGACGGATGAACTGGTGAAGACTCTGAAGAAGGTGCAGCTGAGCCCTCTGGTGGTGAGGTTGAGTCAGTAGAGGTTGGTGAGGGTGGAGCAGATGAAGGGTTGATTTGAGCGAAGGCGGTCTTTCTCTGAGGGGGGGTTAGTTTGAGTTAAAACCGGCTTGGCAGATACCCTCTCTATCTTTAGGGGTCAGCTTCAAATATTGCTCTTTGATAGAGCTCATAGTTACAGCTGGTTTGGACTGCAGGGGGTATTGGTACCCCGAGCTCCTTTCTCTCCTCTTTCATCCTGTTTCTGGGTTGAGAGCAGGGTTGGTTTAGTATGTCTTGCAGGCTGAGTCCGGTTCTGTCTCTCTCCATCAGTTTCTCCCTCAGCGCAGCCACCGCCACCGCCAGCGGCCTCTGCCTCCCCTGAGCTGCACACCTCCTCTGTGAAGAGATTCACCTGCCAAAGTGCTCAGCGCTCAAATTAACACAAGACAGAAGTAAAATATATAATAAGGCAACTATAAAAGCAAGGTAAAACATGTCATCACTGAAAGTAAGATAAAAGAAAAGCTGATGAAAAGCTCCACCTGCTGTTTGCACTACAGCTGTATTACTGTGACATGATGATCGCACTGATGGCTGCTGGGACAAAGCTGTTACCTGGTTTTATAGGCTTTATACTTTTGCCCAGATGGTAGAAGCTTTAATTCACCATTTAAGCAGAGAGAGAGCCACTCCAGCCTCTGTAACTGCGGGGTGCACTGGGATTCTGGATTAAGCTGTGACCCCCCCTATCGGCCTCCTGAACCATTTTACAGTTTAATTCAAACAGCTCACTTTGTTGAGTGAAGTCATTTCTTTTCATTTCATGGACTCTCCTGCTATCCTGTGGTGCTGAGAGAAACTGCAAGTACCAAAAAGCCATATCTGCCTTGATCTGGGATTTAATGAATCTTTTATGTAGCTGATAGAAAACACTGACTCTCAAATCCAAAATTTAATCATCTCTCTTTATATAAGTCAAATGGTGAGCACGTCTTTTTTTTCTATTCTTTAAAACATTTGCCTGTCAGTTTGCTTTGCTTTAGCTGTGTCAAATGTCTGGAGTTTATCTCATTTTAGCTGCTTTTCCTACTTTGATAAAAATCAAAGTAACATCTTCTTTTTAGGTAAGCTTTGTATTTTGTTGTATGTGCTGTAAGATACCTCTACATTTAAGGTAGCCATTGTGCATGTATTCAACTATGTGTTAATAATAAACCTGAATACTTCATTGTAGTGAAATATATTTTTTGTATCCATATGCTTTCAATTTTTGGAGAAAAATCAGAGGTTGACAGCTATAGTCTTCAACAGTTTCCTGCAGTTTATTTGGTCCTACTTTATGCTGAAAATTTTATTGTTCATTAAAGAGGGAAAACTAAAATTTAAGTAATTTGTAAAAGGCTACGGCATTTATACCTAAAAAATCCAGCAACTCTCACTTTGGCCACATGTTGTGCAGGTAACTTCTTGTGCCTGTGCCTCATCTTACTGAACCTCATCTGTTGACGACAGCATGTCATTCCACCAGTGTCCTCTGGGTGGAAGCACAGCGCTGTAGACCAAACACGCTGCCACTATACACAGTAGAAGAAGTGAAACTAGCGTATGGATAACCAATGCAGAGCGATGGGGTGAGTGTCTGTATATCTATTTACCGGTTTATCAAATATTAAATTTAGCTGCATGAGCCGGTAACAAACCGAGTTACTGACTTGAGGCCAGCGAAGTGTGTCATATTATGATATTGAGACTGAGAGCTTTATCAGAGCCGTCCGCGTTTGCTGCTGTCCGCCTACACAAAGCAGCATCTCTCACTGTTAGCCTCTTAGCTGCTAAGCTAGTTCTGATTTTTGATGAGAAAACGGAAGATTTGAGGACAAAATTATTCAACATACCTTTCTTTTTTTAATGACATGGGTTAGTTACAGTAATCTGTGAATATCTGGTTAATATAGATCAGGTATTATCAGCTGTAGAGGTTGGCCGATCTCTCTGGGAGATGACAGCAGGTGCCAAAAATAACCCAGGCTTATTAATATTTCAGTGCAGGAGGCAGAACTTCATTTATTTATTCATTCAGGTGGTCCTTTATTTAACCAAAAACAAGACCCTGCTGTCAGAGCCTCATCTGTAACAGTGACACTAATACAGACTCTTATTTTAGTGAAGTCTGTCCTACATTACACTGACTTCTTTGACAGAAACACAGTCCTGGATTCATGTCTCAGATTCTCACAGAGGAGTCGGAGCTTCAGGCTGTTGGTCTGTACCATCATGAAGCTCCAGAGAAGCTTCTCAGGTCATTTGTGAATAACATTGTTCAGCATTTTATTGTTGTGGTTGGTGAAAACTCACGGTGAGGCATCCGAATTTAAGATTTCTGAATGTTTCTGTGACAATAGTGAGTTATTTATCCATTTAACCTCTTTTCCTTATTTCAGTGATTTATGAAAAATGTCAGGAGGGGGTGTTGGATAGCAAAATAATACACATTTCTCTGAATATGAGGACTCGAACCATCAGGTGTGGTACTGTTGTAGTTCTAGACCCAGGACTGTTTACACAGATCGGCACAGCTGTGTATTTTTATTGGACACACTTAGGGCTGGGCGATAAAACAATAACAGTATATATCGAAAATTATTTTCCCTCAATAATATAAAACATGGTTAATATAATTTTTAATAGCATTCTGTCATGTTTTGGTAGACTATGCAAATAGCCAGTGGAAAGGGGAGTTGCTCGGGGTCTGTAGCGAACAACTGCGTCGTAGCAAGCTGCAGCAACACTCAACCATAGCACTTTAACAGGTGAAAAAGACATGCTACCAATAAACACTGTTAAAGTCCATTTTTTATATTGTGATATATATCGATATTGACTGATATGAAAAAAAAATATCCTGATAAACTTTATCCCATATCGCCCAGCCCTAGACACACCTGGTCATTCAATAATTTTCCCTATTTTTTATTATTTTGTCATCGTTGAGTCATCCAGAACACATCAAGACTACAAACAAACACATCTGGAATTATGTAGTAAACAAAAGAGGAGAAAGTAAATGGTAATATTTGACTAATTACAGTTTTTCAGTGGCTGCTGCTGATACTGATTATGAGGGAGCAGGTTGACAGATGGCTTATATATAGTGCCAATTTCCCAGTGTTGTTTTTTTATAGTATTATGTTATATAGCGCCTCCTCTAGTTGTCTGACCACTCCGAGCGTTTACATGTCACGTTCATCCAGTCACACACTGATGTCAGAGGCTGTTCTGTCTCATTCACTCACTGCTGGGCACAACCAGTGTGGACAGCCCAGGGATTGAACCCCCGACCTACCAAACGGGAGGAGAAAATGACTCTACCACAAAATGTTTTCTGTCTTGGGTTCGACAAAGTAGCCGCCTTTTTGCCTCGATGACAGCGTGGCGCTCTCGACATTCGCTCACTCAGCTTCATGAGGTAGAAAAGCTCAGTTCGTGGTTACATAAGTGGTTCCCACTGTGAAGTATGGAGGAGGAGGTGTAATGGTGTTGAGGGGCTTTGCCATTGGTTCAGGGTACAGCCCGGCTACCGCAGCGTTCTGCAGCCACATGCTATCCCATCTGGTTTGTGTTTAGTGGGGCCGTCTCCAAACACACCTCCAGGCTAAGGAGAGAGAGGGAGTGCTGCTGCAGATGACCTAACCTCCACCTTCACTCGACCCTAACCCAGTTAAGATAGTTCAGGATGAGCTGGACTGCAGATTGAAGGGAAAGCAGCCAGCATGTTCTCAGCAGCTCTGAAACTCCTTCAAGACTGTTGAAAAAACACTTCCAGGGGACGACTTCATGAAGCTGACTGAGCAAATGCTGAGAGTGTGCCGAGCGAAAGGTCACTACACTGAAGGATGTAAAATATGAAATATATTCTGGTTTGGTTTCTTCTCTGTTTGCTGCATTATCCAATCTGTGTTTCTTCATAGTTTTGACGTCTTCAGTGTGAACCAACAATGAAGAAAAATAATTACAATGAAGGAAAACTGAAGCAGTAAGTGCAGCCAGACTTTCCACTGCTAATGTAAACAGTAGTTCGTGAATCAATATGTATTTTTTGCATGTTGCTCATGAATTGCTGTAATATTTGCTCCAGAAGCTTAGAAAAGACTTGACTGAAGAGACACGAGAAGGAAGTTGGTCTGTGACAAAAAAATCTCAATAAAATACTTTGAAGTTTGTGGTATGGGGGTCTGAAGACTTTTTCAAGGTGCTGTATGTCTCACCTGGAGGTCTCCCATCCTGACCGTACTCTCCTTCTCCTTCTCCTCTCTTCTAGACTCCCTGACTCTTGCTGACCTCTACAGCCACCCGTCTAGTCGACATGCAAGGATTCTACTCCAAGCTTGACTCCTCCCCCTCGTCTTCTCCCTTGTTGGGGGCGGGCCTCGGGCGAGAAGGCGCTCCAGTCCCTCTCAGCCTGGCTGTGGAGACAGAGAAAGCTCAGGCTCTGCTACAGACGTTCAGCTCCGCCTCTTTGCTGGCGTCAGCGGGACTCGGTATGTTCTGTGTGGTAGCAGACCACACCCTCCAGCTGTCAGTGATTCAGCACCACCTGTGGCTGCGTGCGGCTTTGGACAATGCCACACATGGGTTAATAGGGCTGTGGTCGTGGGCCGTTGTTATCGGACTAAGGAAAAAGAGCGATCTGTACGAGGTGCTGCTGGCCGGTCTTCTGGCGTCAATCATAGACTTGGACCACTTCTACATGGCTGGATCTCTGTCACTCAAGGTACGAGCTTACTCAGGGTTCCTCTCTCTGCCTATTTCAAAAGTGCAAAAGGTTTAATGCTTAAGACAAAACCGAGTTTTGACGAGAGCAAAGTAATCTAGAACTTATCACCTCCAACCTTTGAAGAATTAAGAATTTTAAGGATCGTTTTGGAGAATAAAGTCAACAAGACACGAGAAAGGTGGAAGAAGGGTTATCTGGTGTAGAATATCGGACTGCATATCACTCCTTCTCCTTTGCTCCTCAAAAACATGCCTGACATAAACAAAGGCACATAGTATATGAGGTTTATGTATCAGTTGTCGTGGACAATGGCGTTTGGGAATTTAAAACTGTGGTTATCTTTGTCCACACGCAAACACCAAACCAGAGTTTTCCAAAAGCACCGTTTTTAATGACGTAATCCTGTGTTCCCTTTCAGTCGATTCACTCGGTACAACACATATAGTATGGGATATCACGCCCCTGCGTGACCTGACTGAAGACACCTTTATTCACGCCTTTAAGGCAGATGATCTGTGGTGACGTCTGGGAGGCTCCGCCTGCACATATATACGTGTAACACCACAGTCATCCTTCAGTTCTTACGCTCTTCACCTCGCTGAGAGCACCTACACCGAGTCGGGCTAACTAGCTGCTGCTAAATTAGCCTGGTCTTGTCTCTGGCTACTGCTTGATCGACTTTAGCTCAACTGCCCCTGTTGGTGTTAGCCTACGGCTACCCGCGGAGCGCTAATTTCGTTCAGCTTTTGAGTCTCGTTATGAGCTCTAAGCCCATGAAGGTGAAGGCGAAGTCTTCTGTTCGCCCCTGTCCTCAGGGGTGCGGCTTCTCCCTTCACGAGAAGGATCTTCACGAGGCTTGTCCCGTTTGCCTGGGGATTGTCCACGCCAGGAGGGCGTTGACTGAGCCCGAGTCGTGTGAGTCCTGTCACCGGCTTCGGAGCTCAACCCTGGGAAGGCGGGTCAAGTTTGTGGAGAAAATTCTTGGAAAAACCGCTGTTGCGCTGCACGACCCCCTCCTTTCCGAGTCCAGAGACCCGGCTTCGTCCGAGTCCGGTGGTGAGGACTTTCTGGTCGAAGGCTCAGTTGGAAGCTGGGCAGACCATGTGGAGTGTGCTGACGGGTCAGCTGGGTTTGAGCCGGGCCCCTCCGAGGGCGCTGGCCAGCCGCTATCCGGGCTAGCTTGTTACCAGGAGGACGATGACGTGCTGGACATCGGCCTGGACGTGCAGGGTTTTTCGGAAGATGAGCTGGAGCCGTTGTCTTCAGGTCAGTATGCCGCCGCTGCTGCGCCGGTTGATCTGGACGACACATCCTTCCTCTCACTGTACCGCCGTGCAGCTGAGAAACTGGAGGTAGAATGGCCCTCTCCTCCTCCAGCTCAAAAACCGTCGCGGTTCACAGGGTTTTTTCTCCCACCCGAACCGACGACTGTTAAGAACAGTTTGCCCATGTACCCGGATTTTGTCGCGGAACTAACCTCGACATGGAACAAGCCGCTGTCCACCCGCGCCACAGTGCCCGGTTGTGGACAGTTTCTGGATCTAGATGGAGCTGAAAAAGCTGGATTGGTGAACCCTCCGCCTATGGAGGCGTCCCTGGCAGCTTATCTGGCCCCGGCCCAGAATCACGGTGTCGGTGGCCCCATCACGCTCCCATCCAAGCACTGTAGATTTTCAGCGTCACAGCTGGATAAAATTTACAGGACACAGGCAAATACGGCTCGTGCACTGAGCTCCGTCACTATGCTTCAGACATATCAAGCTATGTGTCTGGCAGAACTCGGCTCGCGTATGCCTCCTGACAGTCCGCTTACTCCTCTCCTCAATGAAGCTAGGGTCGCCACAGATTACATCCTCCGTGTGTCCCGCTGTGCAGCGCTGTCTCTCGGTAGAGGCATGGCTTCCACGGTGGTGGCGCAGAGGCACCTGTGGCTGACTCTCTCCGACGTTCCGGAGAGGGACAGAGCGGTTTATCTGGACGAGCCTGTGTCGGCCAGCGGTTTGTTTGGGCAGTCCCTCGACGACATTCAAGCTAAGTTTGAGCTGAGGAAAAAACAAACCGAAGCTTTGAGCAGCATCATCCCCAGGCGTGATGCGAGGCCCAAACAAAAGGGTTATCCGCACAAACCGGCACCAGCGCCTCCCCCTAAGAGGACTGCAGCGCCCGCCAGCTTGGGGCCCCAGCCGGTGAAGCGATATGTACCCGGTCAGAACCCACGCCCTTCGGCTTGGAACAAGGGTCCGCCACCGAGCTTCCGGAGGGACTCGGCGCCCAGGAAGAAGAAGCAGCAGTCATCCTAGCTTCGGGATCGACTCGAGAGGGCCAGCAGCACGGAGACACTGCCGCCCTTCATTTTCTGCCGCCAAAGAGGCCGCGTTTAAAGTTCGTTCAGGGGTCCGGTCCCGAGAGGCGCTGCACTCCCTTAACACAGTCTCCCAAGCACAACCCCCCCTCACATACACATGCCCCAATAATGGCGCCTGTTGTTCACTGTGTGAATGTCACAAATGTACGTTCTTTGAATCAAATAAAGGTTTCGTTTTGTTCTCAAAACATCATGAATCAATCAAGTCTGGGCGAGAAAGTGTTGCCGTTCCCAGCCGGCACGCTAGGGGGCGACAACCCCTCCCCCACAGTACTGGAGGTCAGTCGACTGACTGTTCGTCTCTCTCGGTGGCGCGCATGCGCAGTCTCACCGTGGGTAGAGAGAACTGTTGCCATCGGCTACCGCTTACAGTTCAGGGTCCGGCCGCCTCGCTTTCACTCTGTAATACACACAGTTGTAGCAGAGGAAGCAGCAGCAGTGCTGAGGGAAGAAATAAACAACTTGTTGAACAAGAGGGCGATACGAGTTGTTCCCGCTTCGGAAACGAACAAAGGTTGGTACAGCCGCTATTTCGTTGTTCCGAAAAAAGGAGGAGGGCTCCGTCCTATCCTAGACTTGCGAGTGTTAAACAAATACCTACGAACCTACAGGTTCAAGATGCTAACACTCAGACAGCTACTGGGCGCGATCAGACCGGGAGATTGGTTTACAACTATCGATCTGACAGATGCTTACTTTCACGTAGCAATTCATCCGGACCACAGGCAGTTTCTAAGGTTTGCATTCGAGGGCATAGCCTACGAATACCTGGTGCTGCCGTTCGGCTTATCACTCGCCCCCCGAACATTCACCAAATGTGTCGAGGCGGCATTAGCTCCGCTACGGGAGAAAGGTGTTCGCATCTTAGCCTATCTGGACGATTGGGTGCTAATCGCGAGCTCCAGAGAGCGAGCAGCGGCTCAGCTGTCATTGACCCTATCGCACATCCAAACACTGGGCTTTTCAGTAAATTTACAGAAAAGTTCACTGACTCCGAGTCAACAGGTATCATTTCTCGGGCTGGAAATATGCTCCGTTTCAAGCCGAGCACGTCTGTCAGAACGCAGGGTGGCTGCGTTTCACCGCTGCCTTGCACAATTTCAGTTGGGACGCAAACTGTGTTTCCGGACGATTTTACAGCTGACAGGCATGATGGCATCTATGATCGCTGTAGTGCCGCTCGGACTGTTAAAAATGAGAGCGTTTCAACGCTGGACTCAGTCTCACCGGCTGTGCGCGCAGCGTCACCTCCAGAGGAGGCTGACGATAACTCAGTCTTGCATGTCGGCTCTTCTCCCGTGGAGAGAACCCGGTTTTCTACAACAGGGATCTCCGATAGGGAGGGTGTCTTTTCGCAAGGTGGTGTCCACAGACGCATCCCTGAGGGGTTGGGGGGCTCTGTGCGAGGGCGCAGCAGTGAGAGGTGTGTGGACGCCAGCACAATGCAAACTCCACATCAATTACCTGGAGCTACTAGCTACCCTTTTAGCTCTGAAGCACTTTCGTCCCGTTCTGACAGGCCATCATGTTCTGATCAGGACGGACAACACAACCGTGGTTTCTTACATAAACAAGCAGGGAGGGACACGCTCTCTTCCCCTGTTAAAACTGTCTCACTATCTGTTGCTATGGTGCAGTGTTCATTTTCTGTCCCTCAGAGCCACACATATTCCGGGTCACTTAAACCTTGGACCAGACCTTCTCTCCAGGGGGGTCCTCTTGTGAGAGAGTGGAGATTGCACCCACTAGTGGTGGCTCAGATATGGGACCGCTTCGGCAAGGCAGAAGTAGATCTTTTTGCCTCCAGAGCAAATACTCATTGCCCCCTGTTCTTTTCCATAACAGACTGCAATGCTCCCCTGGGGATGGATGCGCTAGCTCACCCATGGCCCAACACGCTGCTATATGCTTTTCCCCCAGTGGAAATGATTCTGCCCATTCTGGAGAGGGTGCGCCAGCAGGGGCTCTCCCTGATCCTGGTGGCTCCTCGCTGGCCGGCGAAGTCGTGGTACGCAGAGATAATCAGTCTGCTGGTAGCGAGGCCCTGGCAGCTCCCTTTTTGCAGGGACCTCCTCTCCCAGGCGGGAGGAGAGGTGATTCACCCGCGCCCAGAACTGTGGAAACTACATGCTTACCTGTTGAAAGGTCCAACTTAATGGCTCAGGGTCTGCCCCCAAATGTGGTGGCAACAATCCAGAGTGCAAGGGCATCATCTACTAGGGGCCTATATGCCTATAAATGGCGGGCGTTTGAGCAGTGGTGTCAGGACCGAAATGTACTCCCATTTCAGAGTTCTATTGTGGATGTTTTAACATTCCTTCAGGACCTGCTGGATAAGGGTCTCTCTTTCTCAACAATTAAGGTCTATTTGGCGGCTATATCTGCATGCCATGTTGGCTTTGATGGTGTGACGCCAGGCGCTCACCCTCTTGCTATGCGCTTCCTAAAGGGAGTCCGCAGGCTAAGACCTGTTCTTAAACCCAGTGTTCCCTCATGGGATTTAGGGTTGGTGCTTGAGGCTCTTGGTGGACCCCCATTTGAGCCTATTGAGTCAGCAGACATGAAATTTCTTTCATACAAGACTGCACTGCTACTTGCTTTGACGTCTGCAAAGCGAGTGGGCGACCTTCATGCTTTGTCTGTGCATCCCTCTTGTACCCAGTTCACTCCGGATGGATCTAAGGCTACATTGCGTCCAAACGCGGCGTATTTACCTAAGATTATCCCCACAGCCTATAGCTCTATGAGTTTTGAACTGCTGAGCTTCTGCCCCCTCCATTTGCATCTGAGGAGCAGAGGAGGTTGCATTCCTTGTGCCCTGTGCGTGCACTACGCACTTACATAGACCGCACTCAGAGTGTGCGTTTATGTGACCAGTTGTTTGTCTGTTTTGCTAATCCAGCCAAGGGCAAGGCGCTGTCTAAGCAGCGGCTTTCCCACTGGATTGTGGAGGCTATCTCCTTAGCATACGGCAGCAGGGGTCTCCCGTTGCCCCAAGGTGTGAAGGCACATTCAACCAGGGGAATGGCGGCCTCTTGGGCCTTGTTTAAAGGGGTTTCTGTGAGTGATATCTGCACTGCAGCCAGTTGGTCATCACCGCACACTTTTGTTCGGTTTTACCGTTTGGATGTGACAGCACCTTCGGTGGCTCACGCTGTCCTTTCTGCTGGGTCTACAATGCACTAAAAGTTTTGGAGGTTTGACTTTGGTTCGGTGGCTGCTCTGCGGGGCGTGTATATATGTCCCATACTATATGTGTTGTACCGAGTGAATCGACTGAAAGGGAACTAAATGTTATGAATATAACTTCTGTTCCCTGAAGGAGAGGAACGAGGTACAACACTGGGTTGCCCCGCTGTGCGGCAGAGCTCGGTGAAGAGCGGCTATCGAACTGAAGGATGACTGTGGTGTTACACGTATATATGTGCAGGCGGAGCCTCCCAGACGTCACCACAGATCATCTGCCTTAAAGGCGTGAATAAAGGTGTCTTCAGTCAGGTCACGCAGGGGCGTGATATCCCATACTATATGTGTTGTACCTCGTTCCTCTCCTTCAGGGAACAGAAGTTATATTCATAACATTTAGTTTTCGTGTGGATGACAGGCCGAATTGTCCAAAAATATTTTCGTTTTAGCAAATCGCTTTAGGCTACGTGTATTCATGGTCCAAGACATCATGTTTAGTTGGGCCTTCCTGCCATCTACGCATGACCAAAAACTCTCAGGGACTTGAGACTTGGCTAGTGACTAGTCACTTCTCAATTGCTGAGTTATCACTGTGTCTCCATCTTAAAAACACACGGGAACAAAGCAGAACTAAAGCTCAACTGGCTGCAGAACATCTGAGTAAAGTCTTAAGTTTTTTACCCTGAGGTATTGTTCATTGTCTGAATAACAGTAAAAGGAAATTGTTATTTTAATGCTCAGACTGAGTTATTCACTGAAGAGCATCTTAAAGAAACCTCCCATAATGCCCCTCTCCTGTCTCCTAGGCTGCTGTCTCGCTCCCTCAGCGCCCTCCTCTACACTGCTCCTCCCTCATCCCCGTCCTCTGTCTCTCCCTCCGCTTCCTCATGTGGATCGGGCGCCTTAAAGACGCCTGGTGCTCTCTGCCGTGGATGCTTTTCATCTCCATGGCAACACATCACGTGCGGGATGCGGTGCGCCACGGCCTTTGGGTGTGCCCGTTCGGAAACACGGCACCGCTCCCTTACTGGCTGTACGTGAGCACCACAGCGACCCTCCCTCACCTGTGCTCAGTGCTTATGTATCTGACAGGAACGAGGGATGTGATCTCCACCAAACATGGAGTAGCCATCGATGTTTAGCTGTCTGTGACTTACCTGCAACGCCTGCTGATGTGGAGCAAAACTCTGATTTCTATCGATACTTGAAGTGAACAGATCGATCTTCTAGAGGATCCTCAAACTGAGAATTTAAATTTGAGTTTGTATTTATGGGAACATCTATAAAACAAAACAAAAACTTTCATTCCTGAAGAACAAGACGACGATTTTAGTGTGAGTGCCAATCATGAACTTTTTTCTGAAACACTTATGTGTCAGGATCCTGTGCAGGTTTCTGAGAGGGATGATCATCTTCACCAACAACCTGGAGTGTTTCGGGGCCGGTCCTTTTGAAGCTTTGACATTTCTTTTTATGGCCTCTGGTCCCTCAACTCTCAGTTCTCATCCTCAACCCAAGGACTCAAAGTCAACCAAAGGTCAACAGGCTGCATGGCACTGGCATATTCTCATCAGTGCTCTTCTCCTACAGTAGTGTGTTTTAGTGCCCACGTTCCACTGCATTTAAAATCGATCATCAGCCAAAGTGGTGAGACTTAAATGATTTTAGATGAGTTAGACATCACGACCACATTCCAGTGACCGGACACCTGCTGCGATATCCTACGATCTCTCATGTCTGCAGGGTTGTAATTACTGCTTCAATCAGCCTTATCCTGACGTTGGAAATCACAAAAGTCTCTCTGTGGAGAAGCTGTGGAACTTTTGACTGAAGCGAATCTCTGTTTTAGTGTTGCAGTATGAATTTGGAAAAGTTTCTCACAGGCTGTGAATCCTAAGTGCCGGTCCTGTTGGTGTACTTGTTACATCAGCTGCTCTGTCTGTGTGCGTCGTTTCGAGAAGTGAGATTTGTTCCACCGTTGAGTGATGCTGAACATGCGTTAGAGTCGGATTGCTGGATCTCTTCGGTTGTAAAAATGACAAAAAACACTCACAGTTTTAAACAGGACGGTGCACCACAAGTATTTGTGACGTTCACAGCTTAAGCTTTGTTGTTGTTGCAGCAAAAGAAGAGAATGAAATGATTGTATCTGTATCAGTCAAGGCTCAAGTGACTTCCATACCGTACACCAGTCATGAGAAAGATAAGGGATATTTATTTTCAGAAAACTGTTAATTAGTGTCATTGTCAGCTTTTTTTTTTAAATCATATTGTGGATATCTACAAGAGTATAAGGTAACAATTGTAATTGCTGCATTAACTCGTTATCCTCCTGTAAATTAATGTCAACAGTCCAGTTTATATGCTGAGATTTGATGGTGAGTTGTTGGTGAAGAAAGTGATCACGGATTATTCGTTTTTAGTTATTTATCATTCAGAGAACATTTAGACGTAGTTGAGAGGATGCGTCACTGTAGACAGAAAATACACATCCGTTCCTCATGTTGTGACAGTGGTGGTAGATTAATGTTTTAGGAGTGTGTGTTTTTGAATGTAATTGTTCTGCTTTTAGTCTTAAAGGGATGTTGGGACTCACAAAAAAAAAAAGATGAAGGTTGTAATGTTGTTAGTTGTCCACCAGGGAGCTGTAGTTCCCCGCAGGGATTCACAAAGACTGGTTCTAATTAGGCCCTAAAGACGATTGTACACAGTGTTTTATGAGGAGGAGATTCCAGGTACAGAACGGTTTTATTTTCATGTATTTAACATCATTTAAGGGAGTTCAGGTTTAGGGTTAAATCATCTTTTTGTGTGTTTATCACTGAAACAGTCTTTTTATGTTTTTGAGGCCACACAGAACGGATTGAAAAGACTCACCTGTCGCACTGGAATTATGATTATTATTTATTTATTTATGAAACGCTTATAAAGTGTCTACTGTCCCATTATCATTGTTGTCATATTAAGAAATATGTTTCTTTTACTGCTGCTTATATATACAATGTGACCTTCATTTATGCAATGTTTCTTTGAATTTTGCACATTTTGAGTTTTTTATTTTGTTTGTGAAAAATGTTTATTTTATGTTTATTTCAACTGTAAGAAGCTGTAGATAGTAATATAATAGATTTGTTGTAGTGTTCTTTTTATCTTAATAAAATATATCCTCTATATGTTTTTGGAGCATCACTTGGCCTAATATTTGCTAAGGTGTGGTATAGCATTTTCTCAGATGTTGTGTATATTTATTATATCGTTGTATAGAGTGTATTTTGCCCGATATTGCTTTGTTCTTATTTCTGTCCAGATTTTTGACTCCTCTCAATGCGCCTTATATGTAATCTAAACTGTTCTGCAGAGCTGCGTTTGGTAATGGAGAAAGGAAGAAAGGAACCATTAAAGCTAACCTGAGTGACATGAAAACATCGAGTTTTAGCTAGAGATGCACGATCAACATTTTTTCACATCCGATCTGATCTCGATTCCTGAATTTGGATATCTGCTGATACCGATACTATTCCCATACCAGAGCTCTGTTAGCTTTACCATCATTATTATCTTTATTGTTTATTATATATGAGGCTGTAATAAACTCCTCTCTACGGGCAAGTATATGTACGTATGATTTCCTGAACTGAGGTGTGTCTCATTGAGAAACACCTCAGTTCAGGAAATCCATTCCGCAGTTTGCAGCCAGCTAACAGACTGATCGACAAGAATCACGTCCAGTTATCTCAGCAGATAAAGTTAAAGCAAAGATATGATGGTAACTCTTTCTTTTATGGTACACTTATTACCAGGTAATTAACAGGTAATTACCTAGTAACAACATTCAATTATCTGGTAAATACATGATAACTACTAAGTCAAATGCGTACAATGCTACTGCGCAAGTGGTGGTTCCAGGAAGCGGAGAAAATCCTGGAAATACCAGAGCAATTCGGCTTCAAATTTGTCTGATGATGGAAGGTTACCTACAGGTAGATAGACAGTATTGACTTAGTAGTTATCATGTAATTACCAGATAATTTAATGTTGTTACTAGGTAATTACCTGTTAATTACATGTTAATAAGTGTACCTTAAAAGAAAGCGTTACCGATATGACTTATGGATCGAAAATTTCTGATCCATGAATTACATTGGTATCGCATCGGCCCCATCCCTAATCTCAACAACCACACAAACACGAGAGAAGAAGAAAAGTTAAAAAACTGTGAATCCAGTTCAGCAAGCAAACCCAGACTGTTAAGTAAACTCCGCTCTAACACAGTATCAGGCTCTCTGTCACTTACAAGATGTCTTTGAAACTGTATGACCCACTTTTTCCGAGCTGAAGTTGAAGATTCCCTCCTATTGTTTTAAAATGTCTGAACATCAGCAGAATTTCTCATTCGCTGATATCAGAGACAAACACGGCAGAGGCAGCTGGTGTGATAAAATAGTATTTATTTCACAGACACTAGTAAAGAAAGAAAACAAAAACAGCTTATGGTGATATCTGTGGTACAAATACAGCAACAACACAATAAAAGAAAGACTATGTACATCTGAGATCGGATGCCTGAGTGTAATTGAAATCATAACCAACAGGCTCCATCTGCTATCACACTGCAGAGGGACGTAGAAAGATGGAAAATAACACTGAAGTGTCAAGAAAAAGAGGAAAAACACGTGAAGTTAAACATGAAGGAGGAAATAGATAATCATGCAATCTTTAATACAGACTGGGCAGGATATAAAAACAAAAGATTAATCTGTATGACTGTTTATACAGTTAGTGTGAATTTAATGATAAAACCATTTTCATTAGAGTTTATTTTTGACTTAAACGTGTTTTAAAGTTTGGAAAAAAGAATCAGCTGTAGTGTTAAAATGACTGAAGTTATTTGTCTACAGGATCTAATAAAGAAAGAAAAGGTAACAGGTTTGTTTTCTTGATGAAATCAAACACCAACTTATATAAGCTTATAATGCAAACTAATTTATCAATATCCAGGATTTGGGAGAAATCAGGCGACACTGATCAGCAACTTAATATCTGGAGGTATTGATAAAAAAAAAACATGCTTACATTCATTTATTCCTGGCCTGTCCATACAAGGTAAAAAAAAAAAAAGATTTTTCTTTCATATAAACAGGATGTGAAAGATCAACTCCTGCCACATACTGTATAATACAGGGCGAGTGAATCTGAAGTGGAGCTGAAAAATGAGCTCATGTCATCCTACTGACTGCAAGAAAACATGATCAAGAAAAGCAAGTTGGATGTAGATGACGTCAGTTAACACAAGGTCCATACAGTAATCATACAGTAACACAGCTTCATATAACTGGGTAGAATAACACACATACACAGTGATGGGAAGATTCTGCAGACATGGATTATCCTGTGGTTCCTATCAGTCCGTTTGACTCTTTTCTCTCAGTACAGGTCAGTGTGAAAGGTGTGTTTTATTTTGATTACTTTAAAGGCAGTTTAGCTTCATTACAATAAGGCTACGTTCACACTGCAGGTCAATTCACATTTTTTAACCATTTGTGACACATATCTGATTTTTTCATGTGATTGTGAACAGTGCAATTCTGATTTTTTCTAATCCGACCCAGGCCTCTTTTGTATGTGGATATAAATTGGATATGTATCTGATGTGACTGCAGTGTGGACGCTCAGGCTGCACAAAAAAATCAGATTTAACAAAAAATCTGAATTGTACATCATAACCTGCAGTGTGAATGTAGCCTAGGATAGCTGGAGAGAGGCGGGACTTGTGACATGAAATAAGTGCAATGAGGTTTACGGGTGTATGCAGAGCCGTAAACTGAGCTTAACTGGCACCCGAAACAATAATAATAATTTAAAAAGACAAGGGGGTAGGCTGTTAACCGATTTAGTCCATTTCCATTCGAAGAGGGGGTATCATGCTTTTTTCAGACTCTATACTTCCTCTCTGATACCTTTAATATCTTAACTTTATTTCCTGTTTCTCACAGTGGTGCTTTAAAATATCATTGTTTCAGCCTCCGTCTGAAACGCTTTGATTTAGCTGCTCTCTCCCCACCCACAGGCCTACTCTCTTCTGATTGGCCGCCTCTCCTTGCAGAGGCCAACCGAGGACAGAGAACAATGCCTATTGCAGAGACATTATTAGTCAGTGAGTCTCATTGAGATATCATTAGATCTCCATACGAACTGTTTTGAGCAGGATTTCAACAACATACATTTACCTCCTGATTTAAAACTTTACAAATATTGTAAATGCGGAAAAGCATGATACCCTCCCCACCTCCCCTTAAAGGCAGAATTAATCCATGTCTGTAAGATTCATTCCAAATTTTATATACATACACACACTCACACACACAAACACATATATCTGTATATGGAGGTGTGTACATATGTTCATATAGATTCATATATTCTTCTATCTATTATATTTTGTCTCTACATATAAACATCAAATACAATAATGAACATGAAGTGTATCTTTTGAAGGTGTGATATACAATAATATACACAAAAGCTTCAACTGGATCCATGCATAATATGTGGAGCGAGCTCAAAAGAACATCCAGCGGTCAAATTGGCAGAATTGGGACTCAGGTGTTCCCCGTGTTTCTGACACAAACATCAGTCCATCATTAAATCAGTGGACATACAGCTTTGGATCAACAAACGCCACAGAAAGAATTTAAGAAGGACGAGAAATGTGTTTTTATCTGACAAGTGCTGCACCTCAGCGGTTTTCTTGACTGCATGGTTTGCCAGGATCCAAGTTATAAAAAGCTAAACTCAACCAGAGTAATGTTTACTCAAGATATTTAGGCTTTTTATTTGTTAGCACCGTCCTCTGTGCAGGTTTAAGGTGAAAGAAAACTGCTTACAATGCTTTAAACCACACTGCTATTGAAAATGTAATTTGGACACAAACATTAATTTGTGACACTGTGACAGAGATGAATCTAGAAGATCGACCTCTGAACCCATACGATACATTAGCATGATACGAGTCTGGTTGACTGTAAAAGGTTAGTGCTGATAGAGGGTTTACGTGTAAGTCGACTAATTGTTTTATCAAATCAGAATCAGTCAGAGCATTAATGATTCAACTTTGTCTGCGAATTAAAGACGCTGTGAGGAACTTTTGGGGGTGTCAATTTTGCTGCCCCCTGTGGTCAAAGATGTACATTTCATCAGTTAGCTAATATTACCCTCCATACAGGCAGGTAGGCACACTTAGATAATGCTGTAAGGCAGGGGTGTCAAACTCAACCACAGCGAGGGCCATAATCTGGATTGAAGTCTAACCTGAGGGCCAAACAGGGTCAACATTTAACCTAAACTGTCAGCCTCCTTTTCAAAATATATAATAAAATCAGCGATGATTATAAACCACTTGGGAATTCAAAAAGTAAAAAAAAAAAAAAATGCTTTTAAAGAGCAAAAACATGAGAAAGTTGAAATCATAAATTTGAAATGTCAAAATATGACTTAAAACTTTAAATTGGAATCTAAAGGATTAAAATGACATAAATTTGAATACTGAGTTGGAAAAATCGAAGCACAAAATAAAAAGTCAAATCATGTTTAACTTGTAATCTTGAGATGCTAAATTGGAAATATGGATAAAACACAATTTTCCCACATTCTAGAGTATTTATCAAATCTTCCTTACTCTTTACTTTCCCAGATTTTCATTGTTTATTGAGGATATTTTACATAATGGTGCTTAAGTTTACATTATCATCAAATATGAGATGATCTCATGGGCCAAATATAATTGTTCCACAGGCCAGATTTGGCCCCCGGGCCTTGAGTTTGACACCTGAGCTGTAAGTTTTTTTTTTTAAGGTGACCATGTTTCGACCTGCTGGTCTTCGTCGGCTTTAAAAGAGGGTGGGGGGTGAAGCTATTTTTTCAGACAAAACGTCCTATTTGTCGTTTCTTGATAAATAAGAGGTGAATATTTCCTGTCGCTTGCGTGTGGTCGGTCCTCTGGTCTGACACCTGTCCTCTTGCAGTAGTTTTAGGCCCAACAGTAACAATATAGAAACTTTTGGACTTGTGGGTCTTGTTTAGTTTGTTAGGTCAGACAGAGGAATCCCTTTCATTTTTAATCCTTCCCACAACCAATCAAAAGCTCCCCACAGGGCTTTATGTGATGTGAAAATGCTGGTGGTTGATATGAGGCCTGATTCTGGATCAGTGACTGGATGTTTATCGAGAGGTATAAAAAGAAACACAAAAGTACACCTGTACTAAAGAAGCCACAACAAAACAAAACAAGAAAATCATGCAACAAAAAAAATGACTTGACAATGAAATTTAGTCCATATAACCTTAACTGCCCACCCCGGACTTTTCCAGTCCCCACCCAGAACAGGTTTTCTCCTGCCCCTCAGCTGAGACTATAATGCCCATAGTTGCTGCTTTGGCATCAAACACACACACACAGAGACAATGGCAGAAGTTATGTTTCCTTCACAGCATTGAGTCAGTCGCTCAGTTGATGTAATAATGATTGTTACTTCTCACAACAAATCTCAACAAACTAAAGAACTTGTGTTTGGGAGAAGAGGAGAAACAAGTAGTCCAAGAAAAGAATCTTCCCCTTTACACCAAAGAAAAGCCTCTGTTCGTCTGTTTGGCAGCTGCACTTCTTATACTTCCTTGATGCTTACAAGTTCAAAAGTAGAAAAATAAAGAAACATGTCCTCTTTTTTTTTCCAAAGAAGAGTCCATCTGACTGGAGCAGCATTAGATGTGAGTGAACTTAAATGTCCTGATGCAGCGTCGCTCCACACTATCCTGTGAGAAGTGAGCTGCTCTGAATTTGTTGAAGTGGATTTCTCTTTTCCAGCCCGGAGCACAGTTTGAGGAGTCGGCTGAGGGGTATGAAAGTGAAATGTCTGTGAAATCTGGTAAAATATACCCTTCAGTCAGCTTTGAGGAACTGGGATACTCATCCCAACTCCAGGCGGCCTCCCTGCTGTCACTGATCCTGGATGGACTCATGGTGATGGTTTGGGTTGATTCAGTTAAATCTGGACGGCCTGTTTGCTACAGAAGTGGATTCAGAGAATGACTTGGGCCCTACAACAGGCTGACGAGAAGAAGTTAACCTACAGAAAGAGAAAGAAAAAAACAAATACAATAAGCTGAATATCATTATTATTGTTATATAATTAAATTTCTCTTCTGGGATAGATAAAGTTCTTCTTATTCTTAAGTTAGAGAGACGTGAAGACGATTGAGACAGAGCTTTGAAAAGCATGTATAAATCATCATAATCAAGCACTGCCATAAAAGCACTGATTTAAATACCAGAGTAGGATGACAGATATATGAGTACACTAACTAAATTATAATCTGCGTGTCTCTGTGTGTGTGTGTATCTGTGCATGTGTGTGTGCGTTTTATAATCACAGCTTTGGCTGACTATCTGAAGGCTTGTCCTGACGTTGTTTATGGTTCGCTTTGAACCATTTTAGCTCTAACTAAAGCCGAGCTTTTCTTCTTCTTCTTGCTGACTTGACCCTCATTTGAAGGCTTTTGTGGTCATCCCGTAAATCTAAATTAAGTGACACCTAATTAGAATTTTAATTGGCTCCCCAACAAAGGCTGTTTGAGGTCCAGAGGTCTACAACTGCCAAATACTCTGAACTAAGAACACAAACAACCATGTGTGGAAAACAAGAAGATCTCGACTCATCAGTAGGACACAAAAACTTAAGGTGTGTGTGTGTTACTCACATTAGATTGGCATGGACTTCATTTTGACCATTGAGGTAAGTTCCTGTTTGGTCACATGATCGCGCCGCCTTTGCCTCACCCTGGAAGTACACATCAATAAATAAGCTCAGAAAAATCCTGAAATACCAGGTCAAGAAACATTAAACAAAGGAGCGATGGAGAGAGGCATTACACACAGCTGTGGCCAAGGGATGTGTGTGCATGAGTCTGTCTTACCACACGACAAAGATGAGGGAAAGGACGGTGGTGAGGATGACCACGGAGAACAAAACCAGCAGAATCACCAAACCCAAATTACCTTCATCCTCAAATTCAGGATCTGATTGTGGAAAAAAGAGGAAGAAAACAACAGGGGTGGTCAACAAAACCAGCATGATGGGAGAAAGAAAGAGGAAGAACAGAGGAGAGAGGGCATGTTAAAGTTTGAAAAATAAATACGATGCTAAACGAAAAACAAATGTTACCAAAAGAGGGACAAGAGAGAAGAAGCAGTTACACAATCGAGACCCTTCTGGGTTGTTTTTGCTGAAACACAAAAAAACTGTGAAAATATGTTTCTCAAACTCATTTCATCTTTGGTATTTGTGTGTCTGAGCAGAAATGTGTGTGTTCTCTGTTTAATTACTCTCTGGTGGGAAGTTAATTTTGTATCTGCCATTGAAGCCGTCACACAAACATGCATTTATCATACCGAGAGGAACAAACAACCTCGCACTAACAGAGAGCAGAAACTATGAACAGAGGAGCATGAAAGCACAGTTGTACACATTAACAATAAAAATATGAGAAAAAAAACGTAGTATCCAAATGATTTAGCAACACATCTGCAAATGACACATACACACAGATGCTCTCTCACAGTGTGTAAAAGACATCTGGTTCACAGCAGACCATCTGACAGTGTTGGTCGAAGTCATTTTAAGCCTCAACTCCATTACAAAATAAACACAGGCTCTGTAAATGGGTGTGTGCGAATGTTAAAATGCTTGTCCTAGTTCTATTTTTCCTGTTTTCAATGTGAATTTATGGGATTATATCGATCCAACTTTCCCTCCACACACTGCATAAATATTAAACCCTTCGAGTGTGATTTTATGTTTCCAGAGGAACATGAATGGGATGTATTATTTGAGCTACATAGGTTTATAAGCAAGGGGTGGGAGAAAAAAATCGATTATAAATACGTATCAATTTTTTCAGATTAATTGTTAATATGAAGTCAAATCTATGATAATGGAAAAATAAGATCAACTGTTTTTCTAGTGAGGTTGGCAGAGGCGATATTATAAAGCAGGAGAAAGTTAGTGCAACAAAAATATATATATAAGGTTTGTGTAAATAAGACAAACATAAAGGAAAGACAAATGCTAAATTAGCTAAACAGTTTAAAAAAATGTATAAATCACAACATATCGTATCACAATACTCACTGCAGGGCTTGACACTAACTTTTTTCACATGTGCTCCTAAGTTGAAAAAGTTAGGAGCACACAAAGAACTTTAGGGGCACAATGAAAATTGATTAAATAATGTTTGTCTTATTGGTCAATATACGTATTTTATTTGAAATCAATTTTAGGTCTTTTGGTCACATGACATGACATTTTTGAGAACATCAACCGGTAATTTATTGATGGTCCCTTATTCAACACCTGACGTTGACAGCGAGGGTGTCGAGTAGATTTAACCTCGCTGCTGTTGTTATTCCTGGTCATGGAGAGTGAGAAGACACCAGTAGATCCGCAGTAAATGTCCGTCGGAAATCCAACATATACAAAAACATTTGTTCCCTCGGCTAATTATTTTTTATGCGCACATGTGCCCCTAAATACATTTAACAATTCGCACACATTGATTTTTAGTCTCAAATGTGAGTGAAACGGTTGCACTGTCGAGCCCTGCACTGTATTGCAAAATGTTAAAAATCGCAATAATATTGTATCGTGGCCCAACTATCGTGATAATATCATATTATGGGGCCACTTGTGATTCCCACCCCTACTATAAGCAGTTGTTCATTTGTGCTTAACAGTGTCATCGCAGTAGAAGCAGCTTCAACAACTTGCAGGAGCAGCTAGAGCGGAGGAAGCAGCAGAAATACTTGAGCTGTTCAAGAAAATAACAATAACATGGACAGTAACTTTGCTCTGTTGGGAGTCTTACTGTATGTCTTTGCAGTCGAGGTTTCAGGTTTTGTGATGGAAACGACGACATCGTCTGTAAAAAATTCCTCCTCTTCAGGTTCAGGGGTGGTGAAGACTGTCGGAGAACAGAAACACAGACAGATGTCAGGCACACACTCTAATAAGTGATCAGGATTAGACTCAAATATAAGCTGCTTTAACCAAGTTCACCATTCTGGCTTCAGACGATCTCAGACTAGTTCCTCCTCAGTTTTACTGCCACTTCAAATATTTACTTTCATGGTCGTCACACAGAAAGTGAATTTTTATTGTTATTTCTCACAAATTCTTCATTTGAACATGCACAGATGCAACAGTCTAAGTCGGCAGATCTTTTTAACACTTTTAGATTTCAATTAATTTTGTTGGTTTATTTCTGGACTTCTCTAAAAATCTGCCAATAAATATTTTGAGAGTGTTTTCTCTGACCTTCCCAGGGTTTGGCAGGAGACGATAAAGTCCATTCGCTCCACTGGCTGTCAGAATTCACATCATCGCGGGCTCGAATTTGGATATGATGGAAGTGGCCGGCAAGAGCGTCGAATATCACAGCGGGACTTTCTTTAGAGAAAATCTGAGTAATGGGAAATCATCATTATTATAAGAAGGTGGTCTGGAAAAGGAATAAAACACAATACTGTAATGATGGCATCACATGAAACTACCAACAAAGAAATACCCCTGAGGAGCAGCTGTGTCAATATATTTGAGTTTTGGGCCTTCAGGTGTCACCTGAGCCAAACTGAAGGACTGAAATCACATTTTTTCAGACATGTCTTCATCGTCTTTTGTCAGACAGCTCGAATTTACAGGTTTTACTTGTTGCAGTGGCTGAGTCTTTTCTCTTACATTTTAATACTTCAGAATAATCTTCTTTTAAACCAAAGGTGTAGTCAGTTTATGAAGCTGACATATCAAATCAGACTTACTAACCTCAGACCAGTACATGGAGCCCTGCGGCTTGTATCTGATATGAAACAGAAGGGGGAAAGCATCATGCTGCGGCCAGGAAGAGGGAAAGCTCCATGAGACCACCAGCCTCCTTGGATAGCCTTGTAACTCCTTCACCAACACCGACTCTGGAGGATCTGGTTTCACTGCAAAAGAGAAACAGTTACTCAGCCTGTAATACTTACTTCTCAGCTAGTATGACAAAACTTCATAAAAAGAGGGCAGAGTTAGTCTAAACAGACTCGATTCAAGTGTAACTGAAGGTTTTACGGCTGGAAGGATCATAATTTATTTAGTTTCTGCTGCTTTTTATTTGTTTAATGACCGAGTCCAGCCTCAAGAATTTCACCCTTACATCAAACCACAAAATGTGTTTTTCCTTCGACTACATCACCTTCTTTTTAATAGAGCGGTCCATTGATTCTCTGATTTTCTCTCTCTCTGACTCAAACGTCTTTTTATTTGCTTTTACATCCTTTTCAAACTGTGACAAAGGTGCACAGAGGCTGAGAATAAAAGAGAGAAACAATCCGATGGGCACAGAAGTCAATACAGACTCTCTCAAGGATGCTGCGGATGACTTTGAACCAGAGTGACAAGAACGTCACGCAGACAGAGGAGCAGCAAAACAAGATCATTTTGCGTTTTGTGTCAGTGTGTGCATGCATGTATGGGTCTGTGTGTCTGTGTGTGTGTGTGCAGGAAAGTATCTCTGCATCTTTATTACTTATATTTATCTTTGTCTCCATGTTTGAGTGTCTGAGTGTGTTTGACATTTAAAGAAGGAGGTGTGTGAATATATATCTAGTTAAAGAAAAAAGAAAAAAAGACAAGAAAAAGTGACAATCATCAACCTTTGGAGGAATAAATGTCACAAGTTTGCTTCATTGCTGTGCAGTTCTCACAGAAAGTTGCTCTTCAGATAATAAATTAAATTTCTCATGTGTGATCTTACAGAGCTCATGTAGCTTGAAGCGGACATATGTCGTCTCAGATCCCAGAGCGTTAGTCTCCGTCACTCTCATGGTATGGATGGTCTGCCAGAAGGATGGGTGATCTATATCACAGCGCCGACGGGCGACATCCACAACACACGGCCTCCACTCATGACCATTTCCCCTGGAAAGATAACACAGAGCATGATAAAGTGTTGCGCTCCGCTAACCCTGTTCAGAAACACTACACTTCAAGGATTTATCAAAGTTTAAATGAAACAAAAAGTTGAACTTTTGTTACAAAAACTTTTCACAAAGTGTGAAATAAAGGAGGAGAGTGAGCAGGGAAGGACAGACTGGGTTTCTGCTTGGATACAGTCTCACAAAAAACCTAGAATACCCTGCGGCAAACGTTCTAAATTTAGATCTTTGTTTCCTTATTCTGGATGTAGCCTGTAGTTCGTCATTCCCACCTGTAGGAGACGTCGTACTGGGCCGGCAGAAATGTCCTCACCGATTCTTCCCAAGAGCAGCGAACAAGTGTGTGATTAGGCACTTGACAGGAAACACTCAGCAGCCCAGGGGGGTCTGGGAAACACACATTAGAGAGAGCACGTTATGACAGAGGGAGGGGCTTTTTTATTTTATTTATTTTTTAACTTTTATTTATTATTTAGATTTCATTCAGTCTTGCCCTCTAAAAAAGTGTAAAAGGGACCGCTCAGGGTCCAGGTGTGGCTAACATGAGAAAGTATGACAAGGGGAGTTTGATCACTACCATGGAAAACTCCCCATCCCGAGAAAGGAAGCTCACTTAGGGAGACGTTTCCTGTTTGAGACATGTACAGGAAGTAGAAGGCTTTGTGAATGTCATGGCTGATAAGACCCGTTTCCGCTCAGGACCAGTAACCCTATTCTGATCACCTCCGTCGTAAAAAGACTTGAGATATCCAGAGAGTCACGTTAAAAATGAGAGGCAGAAAACAAGAAAGAGAAACACATTTAGAGGCAAACTCGAGGGAGAGGGGGAAATGTCTGAGTGGGAGAGCAGAGGCTATTTTCTGCTTCTGTGATAAATTTCCCAAAGGTTGAAGTGAAAGGGGAAAGGATGTCTCTTAACCATAACCCTTAACTCTGGAAGGGCAAAAACACAAGGGACACACAGGCTGCTGAAAGCTTTTAAGCTGATGTCCCAGGAGAAGAGGCCTTCAGTTTAGTACAGCTGTTAGAGTTTAATCAATCTTCAATTAGGCATGGTAAGTTTGGACAGGCCACAACAACACTTACATCCCAGCCTGAGGCTGATGGAGTGGAGGAGGAGCCCTCTGTCGTCATAGCAGCTGTAGTGACCCTGTGCTGAGTGGTCGACGTGAAGAAGGACTAATCTTCCATCTGATGTCACCGTGTGCCATGGTAACACCGAACTCTGATTGTGACGCCACACCACGGTTGTCCTGGACGGGGAAGATTCAGAGGTGAGTTGTTAAGCTTGTGAGAACTTCCCTCAAATTTGAAACATGACCACATCATACTATGAGAACTTTATCAGATATACTTTGACAACCACATGTTGTTTCTTTGACTCTTTTACTTCCTCAATCAAACTTGGTGTGAGATCAATATAACAGACACACACCCAAAACTACAAGCTATACACATGCGATCAGTTTCATCCCTTACCTGATTTGTGACTGCCCACATGCCAGTGTCACATTGGACTCCAAGTGCCCGTACTGTATATCCAACACTGAAAGCAGAAATCAAATAAAGCATTAAAGTCTGTCTTTCTCAGCCTTTATGGATCTGCACACTTCAGAGCCCAACATACCGTACGTCTGCATTGTCTGTATTAACATGATTTAGGCGACCTCTTTCACAGTAGTCAGCAGCATTACAATAACATGACTTTATAAGGCTGCAGGCCCTGCAGACACTCGGCCAAACACAACCAAACCCGTTTGTTTTATTTCTCTAAAAGTTTGTTCTGTATCAGCGCTGTGATCTACAGATAAAAATATTAAAAACATCCAGATCTTACATCAGAGAAGACTTGACTCAAACCCTTATCAAAAGTATTCTTTAATTTCTCATCCAAACAACATCAATCAATCAGACCCATTTGTAAACTACTTTTCATACACAGAGTCCTTTACAAAAGCAGAACATCAGCAAAATCGTCAAAATCCTGATACATACATGAGGTTAAAAATGAGCAAACAACATGTCAAATCACAGAGGACAAAGAAATACAACAAAGGACTTGAGATTGAGAGAAGACTGAAAAACTGAGACAACACTGGTGAGATGTTAGAACACAAAATTAAGATGAAACAACACTGAGAGATAAATCTTAAAATAAATACGTAAATTTCCTGGATAACACCCGTCTAAACATCTTCAGCGGTTGACCCTGACATCCCTCTCCCCAGCTCCTCCTGAGATGGGAGATATAATTCCTCCAGCCAGCGCCAGGTCTACCCCTGAGCCTCTGGACATGCCCAGAAAACCCCAAACAGAGGCGACCAGGATCCACTCATAAAACCGCTTAGACCACCTTAATTGTCTCATTTCCATATTGAGAAGCAACAGCCCTCCTCTCAGCTCTCACTTGGATCTGCAGACTCATTCTTTCGGATAAAGACTAATTTCCCATCAGGAGAGAGAAATCCAGCATTTCCTGACCACTATAAACCATTTAAAAAAGTTGGTACTCTCATGGTCCTCAGGTCTTCATGTAGCCTCGTCCATAAATATTGACCACAGGAACAAAAAGCTGCTCAAACATGGTTTTGGTTTGGACTTTGAGCAAAACTGAAAAGACCAGTATGTAAAGTCATGTGGGCTCTCACAGCAAATCTGTCGACTGACTGAAGCGAGACTGTGAGGAGCTTTATAAACCAACAGAAGAATTGTAATATCAGTTTTAGAGGATAGATAAATCTGAACAACCTTTTTAATATGAACATTTCAAGTATAACTGTTCCCAGTCAGAATCAACCCTAATATGAGTTGATTCATGTCACTCTGACCTGCTTTCGGTTCACTGTATTAATTTTCCGGTCCAGGAGATTGATTCAGTCCCTGCAGCAGATTAAACAACGTCTTCTTCACACAAAGACCCAAACTAAACAAGTAACCGGCCTGCTTTGGATTTTAAAACACTGAGGACTAAAGAAAATACACAGACAGAAACAGTTTACCTTGATCGGCACTCAGTGTTACAGGAAAATCAATATTCAGGCATTAGAAGGACCGTATATGGAATCACTTTGAAAACGGGGCTACTTCTCCGAGTCGACTGAGGGAAGAGTATCTCTTAAACTCAGAGTATTACCACTTAGAATTAGACTCTCTTTGTTTGTATGACCCTGCCAACTTAAAGGGATATTTCAGTGTAAATTTAGGTTAGGGTCAAACACACCATAACACCGACTCGGTCACATCTGCATCACTTCATGAATACAATTTCATTTAAAAAGAAGGTAAACACTGACGAACCAAATATAGTATGTTTGCTTGTTTGTTAAGCGCTTTATAAAAAAAAAACCTTGTATCAATAACCACATTCATGAGATAAAGCAGTTAAATCATTAAATACCATCACACCAAACTGAAAACTTGTGCAGATCTGAGGTTAAACCAATTGCAGTGTATACCTGGGCAAATATTTGTGGTGACTGTAGTAATTTGCAGAGTTGATACTCTATCTCCAGTTTGTGAGTGTATGTGTGTGCGTGTTTAGCTTGGCTCCCTGGTATAAAAGCTGGCATTTATAGTAGATCTGGAGTGGAGTGGAAAAACATCACTTCGACTGCCAGTGTGCCACGCATACACCTCCATTAATTCCCAACCTCAATCACTCAGGCATGCACGCTCTCTGCTGGGATCCCCTCCCCTCCTCGGTTACGGACAGTTCGTTCCAAGTCTCTGCCTTGTTTGTGTTCATTTCTCTGTTTTTCACCTCCAGTGTCGTTTTTTTTATTCACACATCTTAATTATATAAAAATATTAACAAAACGATAACAATCCTGGAGACTTTTGAGGTGTCGAAAATGAGGCTGGTGATCAGTTGTTGACATCAGTTGGAGCCTGAGGTGAAAGGACCACAGGAGTTCGTCTGTGAGTGTTATCATTTCTTTCGCTTCATTATATTATTTCTCGGTACAGCTGTAACCTCATATGCCCTTCAGGGACCAACTGACTTAACTCCAAATCAAACTTTACACATACTTCTACTATTGAGGACCAGACCTGAGGGCCTGTTCAACTCTTGGTTTTCACAGATACCTCATGTTCACGTCTCTGGTCCATTTGCTGTTGTTTTAGTCGTGCAAAATGAAAAAGAAACAGCTTTATGTTTTTTTGATGAATGTACACAGGAAGAAGGACAATGAACTCTACTGAGATGTTCCAAAAACCAAACAGATGCCAGCTCACCCTCTAACAGCGTGTTTACACTGACATAGTTGATGCGTTTAGGTTACAAAGACAGCTGTGCTATATTTTCAAATGAAGCTGTGTGATATAAAGAGGGCCATGTTATCTACAGATATCACGGCTACATCTAGTTTTCTTGTCAATACAGCTTCTATTAATAATCCATTTAATCACCTCATAAAAGGCCGACATGAGATAAATAGTGCCACAGGACAAGAGTCAGAAACAGCTGATAAGGCAGGTTGTAATATAAAACTCCAGCTCAAGAGGAACACACACGTTGTTTCCCCTTAAACCAGCTGCTCACATAAAAAAGAGCATTTTCACTTTCACTCATGCGAGACGATCTTCGATTATTAAGTCTTTGGGAACATCTGAGTCTAATTGGGGAAATCTCTATTTTGGACAGCTCCATGAAACTCATGTCCAGTCTAATAGATACTGTAGGTCGCTGTCAGCAACTAGTATTAGGGGATCATATGACTCATATGAAAAAAAAAAAAAAAAAAAAAAAAAAAAGGAATTTAGCTATTTACATTCTACGATAGTGTAATGCGTTCACTTACAAAAAAAAAAAAAAGGAAACTGTTTTTATGAGTATTTTTTTTTTTTCTTCTTTCTGTTTTTCGGACAAATTTTTATTCTGTTATTCTGACTATTTTTTTCTGTCTTTCTATTTTTCTGACTTCTTTATTTTTTTTCTTACTAAGCAAGATACTTCAAAATCCCGCGAGAATCTCGTACAATCAGATAACATTAAACACCGTGGCCAGTACAAATCAGCAGATTCTCCAGCTCCTATATAACTTTGACTCAATGAGAGTAAAGCTTGTTATTAAGTTAAACTTAGGGTACTCAAATCCTGAGGTGCCTGCACAAAGTAGACAAACTTATGATGATTTAATCTAACTGACTTAAAGAAAGGAGTATCTCCCAGTGTCTCAAACCCAAAAGAAAGTAAAACTTGATTAAACTAAACAAGTGGGCCATGTGGGGGTGAAAGTGTCTGTTTTAGATGACCATGATCCCAGAGAATAGGAAAAACAATTAGTCTGAAAAACAAAACTCTGAAAAACATCTTTTTTTTTTTTTTTTTTTTGGTGAATGCAATATGCATCTGTAACATTCTCTTCCTTAAATGAGACAAAAGAGTTAAAGCAAGTTTTACAGTGTTATTAAGTTGAGGAGTAGAGGAGTTAAAGAGCAACTTGATAATGACTTTTGCTTTTAGAAATATCACTTTGTTCAGATTAAACCTACATATATCCACGTGACTACCAAAGAATAAAAGTTAATTACAGATTCATACAGAATCTCTTTTTCCACTTAAACTCGCACACACACACTCCCCCTCTCTAGTGTGTGTGTGTGTGTGTTACCTGGGGCCTTGCAAAGAGTTGGCTGGTCTGAATGTGTGTATTCATGTTTTATTGGCAGTGAAGTACATTATTCCCCAAACCCGCAGCGTTCCACTCATATCTGATTCTGCCTCTGGCAGGAGGGCTCAAAAATATGTGCATGTGCATACACTCACACCCATGCACATGTAGACACAAACTTCCATTAAAGTCCAAATATGTGCAAGCACACATATGCAGGGAGGGTGCAAGTTTCTCTCAACATTAAAATCAGATGGCAGAGTGGACGCAGAAACTGCAAGCTGGCTGAAACTCAGTACTTTCCAAACAATGAAAAAAAAAGAAGAAAAACTGGGGGAGGGGTGATAAAGACAAACTCTGACAGATTCACCTGAAGGGCTGTGGGCAGGCTTTCTTATTTTTGGAGTGATTAATTGAGCTAATTTTAAAGAGATACAGAGCTGAAAGGAGACTAAGACAGAAACACAAACAGTCTTTCGAAGACGAAAGAAAAGAGGGAAAAAGGACTCAATTTCTCGCTGCTCGACAGATCCCTTAAGTGCTGTTTGAGGCAACGAAAAAAAAAACGCCTTAACAATAGAAGTCTTGTTTGCAGACGGCTTTTCCAGAAGGAAACACAATTCTTATGTCGCACACACAGACTCAGGACCAAAATAATAAACAACAATGCAGTGGAATAGAAAACATTAGATAGAGTGAGATTTTGGATTTAATCTTTTTTCTGTGCTGTATTTGAAACTCTAGAAGTGAGTCCTCACTCTGTTACTGTGCAGGAGTTTCAGGTCCTTTAAGTACTTTGATCCAAGATAAGTCAAGTGCACTCAAAATAGTTCACAAAAGAATCCATGCCTGATCCTTAACAGAATGTGTGTGTGCATGTGTGTGTGTGTTTATGTGTGTGTGCATGCATGTGTTACCTTCATCAGACTGGATCTGAGCGCAACTGGGACGCAGTGACCAAGATAAAAACCAGATGACTGTCAGACACACAGGACTGGACAAAAGGCCTGGCATCTAGAAAGACACAAAGAGGGAGAGAGAGAGAGAGTGGGACAGAAATAAGGTTTAATGATGAAGTGAAAGGTTTCAACAATGTCATCATCATCATCATCGATCATTATCGTCATTATTCTGAGTTGGTTTAAGATCATTAGTCTGAAAACAAGAGTGCTTTGGAATAATATCCCCAGCCCCTCTTTGCTGGTCCACTCTCCTGGTAACGACATAGACATAAAAACGTCTTTGTATCGAGGAGCAGGTATTCACATCACAGACCCAACCGTGCCTGTTTTTTGTTTTTCCACAGAACTACAAATCTGACGTTGGAAAGCTTCGATTCTTCTTCGTGGACTTCTTGGGAAAGTCTTCTTTATAATTGAAAACATCTTCACCATGAAGTGGAGAAAAAAAATGGATTGGAAGTATATTTAGGTTTCGCCTAAATCTGTTTCTCATAAAAACCCTGAGAAAGGCAAAAGTTAAGTTCCACATTAGCGCTGAAGAAACGACCCATTATACAGCGCTGACCGAAAATCAGCTGATCGTGAGACTTTATAAATTAGAGCCAAACATGGAGATACAGAAGTCTAAGATATGGGTGTGAAGGGATGTTACTGACACCTTTATCCTCACTGTGGACACCTACACTCATAGTTATCACTGACAAGCAAACACACTATTCATGTTTTTGTGTGTGTGTGTGTGTTTCACCTTTTGCAAATGACGCACACATACACACATAACCATTTCACTGTTTCCTTTTCCCACCAGCTGGTCATATATCCAAAGGCTGATCGAATCAAAGATGAAAAATTAACCTGACGGCTCAATGTGTGTGTGTGTAGTTATTCATTATCAGGGACAGGGGGGTCATTAACTTTTATTAATACATGATATGAGACCTTATCAATATCGCTATCAGGTCTCTTCTCTCACTGTTTTCCTTCAAACTCTTGTATTTACACAGATTTTATTTTATTTTTTTTCTCATTCACTCTCACTGAATTCTCATTTTACCACCCCGACCTTGAACACAATGTAATCGTCTGCCTCCTCCATTAGTCAGCTAACTAGCTTTTATCCTGCTGATGTCCACATGGATTTGAACACTAGATTATGATTCTGACTAACTGGACTCGCTCTAAAGTCTGGCTGTGTTTACCTCAGCTGCTTCGGGAGAGAAGAGGAGGATTTCAGCCCCACAGCAGCTAAAGTGAACAGAGTCGTTTCGAGCCGCAGACAGCCAAAGGTACTGCACGTACTTCGTCTTGATTTGATGCACACTGCTGATGTGTTTGGCCTTGGGGTTGTGTTCCCCACTTTGCAAGAAAATAAACTGCATTTGGCCTCATCTCTATCTTCAGCCACACGCATCACTGTCCTCATCCATGAGTGTTTATGAGAGAGACTCCAGAAGAATTCATGGATGTGCTCCAGAGTAAAAAACTGTGATCGAGTCCAAAGTCACACCGCTCATGCCAAACCTACTCCTCTTATCTCTGCTGCTGTATACAGACAGCTGGCTGTGAAGTAACATCATGAGGAACAAATCAACACTTAACTGCACCTCCATATTGAGGAAGCCCATAAAAAACAACGTCTTACTTCCTTACTGTCATGCATTTCCTGTTCAAATAGGATGTGTTTGTGCCGAGAGTTGCAGGACAGTGACTGAGGAAGACACACAGTGAAATGTGAACCATACTTGTTTGTGAAGAGTCGCATCTAAAATCTGTAAGGAAGAGGGAAAAGAGAGTGACTGGATAATCTGTCTGTCTCTCAAAGTGCCAGTCCTTCCCTTCACCTTTTCAACTCTTCAAAACTAAGTTTGCACAGAGTGAGACATGCTTTACAGGTTGACTAATGCAAGTAACTCTGCGAGGTTGGTACAAAGCCATTCTGAGTTTCAATGTCATGATGTCTGATGCACAACAGGCTGAATGGAGGATGACGACAAGAAGGAGGAGGAAGAAGAGGAGGAGGAGGGTGAGATGAGTGATCTGGCAAAGAACCACAGTGATGGTTTGAAACACCCTTTTATCAATGTTCAATGCTGTAGTTTGAAATATTGAGAGACCATGAATCAGATGAGTGTTGACCTCCAACGCTGAAGAGGAGCTTTGATCGTTTTCATATATATAAGCCGACTAACACAGACTCAGTAGGGGAGACCTGCTCGGACTTTTGCACAACCTTTCTGCTCTTGATGGTTCATGTCTTTTTAAGCGGTCACAGGGGGATGACCCTCATGAGAAAAACACAACATTTCTAACACAACATGTCAGGAAGAAACTAGACTTGATTTTATGTGGAACTGTGACAATTCAGAAGAAAACACCGTCCTGGAGTCTCTTTATTTCATGAAAACAAGAGGAGAGACCCATTAAGATGCCAAATAAAAGAAGAATATTAGTGCGTCTACAGCAGTGGTGAGATTTTACCTGTAAACCCAAATTTCTGTCTTCTCTGTAAGCCTTAGATTTAGCTGCCAAATAGACCATCAGTCTGTTCAAACCACAGAGTAAACACTGTCAACTATTACCCAGCAGAACAGGGTGTTATGTTTGGCTCAAACAAATACTGTAAGGCTCCCTGAGTGTAAACAACAGCGGTGATGTGTTTGAGATATTTAGACAAAGATTTACAGAGATTCTGATCCAGCGTTCCTTTAAAAGGGAAATAATGCAGAATACTGTTCGAAACATAAAAAGTTGTGAAGTTGAAAACAGAAGATGAGTCTATTCACGCATCGGTAAACGGTAAAAAGAAGATGTTTGTATGGAGCTTTCTCAAGTCTTCTGACCAACGTCACGTTCACTCATTCACATCACATTTCATTGAGTCACATGAAAAGCAGAATAAAAAGTTCCAGATTTTTTACTGTGAGAATATGAATATTAGGTAAAGTTTTCTGATCGGATTTTGTCAATTTAGCTACGAAAATAAAACTACTGCGCTAAAACATCGGTCTGGCTTCCTTAAGTCTTCACAGCACTCAGAAACAACATACAGGCCACCTGTGACAGGAGCCGTGACACCAGAACCTCGCCGCTCCAGGCTGCAACCTTACAGCCGCATCGTTTGAGAAGTTTCAGGGGCACATCAGCCAGCCTCATCATAAATGCTCTGAGCGATCTGATCTGAAACCGACAGAAGACGAGAACGGCCATGGATTTTTCTTTTTCTTTTTTAAGCACTGTCATCTCGAGATGATGACGTTATCTTGACAACAAAGATTGTTTTTTCGTGACAATGGAAATGGCATTTTAACCGCCCTTAAACGGTGACTTTGAAAAACATCCTCCGGAGTGAGACATTTCTGAAACGGCACTGCCACCGTTGTCAACAGCAAGCCAGGGTTTTCAATGAAAACACTGACATCAAGCTCCACTTTGTGCATTACACTTTATTTTTTAAGTATGTTTGGGGGCGACTTTGCCTTTTATTGATAATACAGGGTGAAATGTGGGGAGATAGAGAGAGAAGGGGGAGGACATGCAGCACATGGTTTGGGCTGGACTTGAAACTGCGACTGCCATGTGGACCGCGGTTCCCATAGGTGTGCCAACCCACTCGGCCATCTGTGTTCCCCCATATGTGTTACACTTTTAAGGGGAGAATTTAACTGCCACACGCGTACCAGACAACAGCAACAGTGGCGGACACATAATTACTTTTTTTCTCAAGAAAACGATCTCCGTTATCACGAGATAACACTGCATAAAAAGGGCCTTTCTCGTCTTCTGTAGAAACCATCTCTCTCAGTGCTCTCTCTAGTTTTCAGACTTGTTCATTTGACTTTTCGCACTGGTTAATCATCACTCCCATTTGTCAGAGTTTCATCCAAATTACCTTGGCCTTGCTTTCAGAGCATATTGTATGAATTAACGACCAAATGAGCATGCGGCACATGAGCACAGGTTAAACAATGGATTTCATCACCTCATTTTTCAGCAAACGTAGTTTATGTATTCCTGCCAAAACACAGATGGGGGAAACTGCAGGTGACACAAAGACACCCAATGTGTCGAACAACACCACATCTCCATACAGAGACCTTAGATAGAGTCTGTGGAGACTTTATAAGGGAGCAGAGGTGACCTTTATTTCCTCTTCTGTCCTATCAGGTCACATGTCGGTGCTACATTCACCACTCAAACACTGTAACTTCACACAGCACACACAGCAAATTCAAATCTCACTCACTACTGTCTCCCTTACTATCCACATTCCTCTTTCTCCGTCAGCCCCTCCCTTTAGGCTCCTTTCAGCCATTTTACATCAAGTACATTCTGTCCTGCAGACCCTCCATGCTTGAAAGAGGGGCAACACTCGTGTCCCAACAGTATTTATGGACTCTGATGAGAAGATCCAAATCTAAAATGTCCAATGAAACTTTAAAAATTACTTTCCAAGTATAATCTACTCCCCAGAATCGACCTAAAATGCAGAACTCTGCTTGTAGCATCAGCTGGTGGGACTGAAGATATGGAGCAGCACAAACATAAACAGTTTTTTTCAGGGCACAAGAGCAGCATGACGTGTTGGTCAGCAGTTTCATGCTGTCATATAACCATGCTATAAGATTTTCAATTTCTCTTGCTTTCTTTTTTTTTCTTAATCCCAAAGTTTGAAAAAACAAGTGAAGGAAATGATGATTTAGATGTCTTTCTGCAAATTCACCCCTGATAATAAATCACCAGTTCACTTGTTTTTCTGTCCACCACTTTGACTTTCGGCCTTTTCTCCACAGTCTGTCCTTGGCTCCAGTTTCCATAACCCACTAATGCCAGGACGTTCAAGGTTCAGAAAACATATTCACGACATATTTTATAATGACTTACCCTCTTCTTTTTACGACTTTCCTCCAGTAACTAGAGCTGAGTAAACACAGGCTCCATCTTCATGTGCCTGGCAGAACATTTTCATTCACTCCCAGGTAATTTTTCGCTTTCATCCATTTATATTCGCTCCCTCCCTGTTGTCTCTACCTCCCCCTCACCATCTTTCAAGGTTATTACCTTGTGTTTCCCTTCACAGGCTCTTTGTTTTCCATCTCTATGCCAGCGGTAACAAAGTCCAGCAAACATATTTACACTAGGCTCCTTAATTCTGCCTCCCTGATGCTTGAGAACAATACCGCTTCCTGACAGCTAAGTGCCAATCGGTCTTTTCGCAACTAAGCAACATGTTCCTGCTCATGTTTCAGCCTCAGATGTTCTCTTGCATGAGTGATGCTTTTTTCAGTAGCTTTGCTGTAACTGTAAGGTGACTCTGTTCCAAGTAAATGTGTGCAATAAATGCAAAGGCGTGTCTAGATTGAGTATCTCAGGTTCCACCCATAAACTCGGAGCTTTGACTGGCAGAGAGCCATGTTAGAAAACCACAACAACGGCGTATTTTATCTTGATCTGAGGTTGCATATCTGTAGATGATCTCTCTCTTTTCTGATTTTAGAAAAGGTCCCTTATCTTCATGTATTCTAGGGAAACAACAAGACATCTTTCTTTCTGGCTAAATGCAAATAACAGGTACAACTGTCAGTATCTTTAAATTAAATGTAGAAGGACACGATCTTAGTCACAAACAAACAAAAATAACAGAAACCTGTTCTTGGTTCCTGTTTTTTTTTAATTTAATTTAAGAAAGGAGCCCACAGCAGTTCAGCTGAGTCAATTTAACTGCCTATCTATGTCGCAACTTCTCTGCAAGCCTGTGTGACCACAAACTTTTTTAATTGACGACTGAAGGAGATCCCATTAAAACTGAATGGAAAAACAGACTTTTCCTCCAGTGTAAGCACAATATGACACCCTGTGGTAAAAAAGTACCTGCATGGGGGGTAGACAGAAAATTCATGTCCTTGCAAGCCCTCCTATCACCAAAAATATCAAATGCAAAATGGCCCCCATGGTTGGTATTTTTCAAGTTTTCACTTTGACTGAATTCTCATGTCAGAAAAGCTCATTTAAAAACAGCAACCAACTGAGCAACAGACGGCTATTAGACGTCTAATTTTATTTTTTTTTACCTAATTTCATCTAGATCGTGTATATTTTTAGACAGAATTTAGACGTTGCACTTTAACCCATTATTCGATAACTATTTACTTCAAAAAGCATCTGTGAGTCGCACAACTGATCTCCAAGTACTTATGATAGCCTAAATTTCGACGTCTAAAAAGCTTTTATTTTTGCACCTGTGGTAGCCTGATTTTAGGCCACTCGTTGAGGCTAAATTAAGACGTCTATTAGACCTCTTTCAGACCAAAAAATGCTCAGTGGGAAGTCTCAGATACAACAGATGAGAATTTCTCATTTAGCCAAGCATATTCCGGTGTTGGTAACGCAAATTACCCAAAGTACAACTCCCTACTTATTAAAACTGTCTCAATGATAAACCTTCAAACTCACAAACTTGTCTTGTAAAAATTCTTTCATGGTTTGAGCATCACATTCACAATTATCCATTTATAACATTTAAGTTTAGAGAAAGTCGAGACTCTCTCCGTACACAATTAAGAAAAATTGTAAATGCTGGAAACAGAATAGCAACGGAGATTCTCAAATTTCAACACCCTCTTTCTATAGGTGGTGTGTGTGTGTCTGTGTCTGTGTGTGTGTGTGTAATCGCAGACCTACTCTGTGACTCACACCAACCAGCCACATTTCTACTGTAACTCCTCCAGCAAGAACTAGAATAGGCAGGAAAGTGTAGCCATGGTTTTTGTCACTAGGATGCACCCAAAATAAAACTATTCCCACATGCAAAGAGAAGCTCAACAACAGCCAAGACCCCAAACACGATCTGGTCCTGTTGCCCAAGCAAATCCACCCGAGATCCAGAACAAGAGAAATGTTTTGGGGAAAATGCGCTCCCTCAAAGCCAACAGCAATAATCAGGTCAAAGGTCAAAGCCAAGGTAACCTGACAGAAGTCAGCCACAGGTCTGAGGGAAAGTGTGAGGAAAGACAGACACGGTAGGGCCAGATTTTTCTGAGCAGATCAGAAGACAGTGATGAAAAAGTCTTCATGATTAAATGAAGAGTGTGCACACTGACTAAGTAATCCAATCTGAAAAGGACTCCCTTTCAGCCAGTCCTCTCTGTGGCAGCACAATCCCACATGGTGACTCACTCACACTCCGGCATGCCACTGCACATTCAGTCAGCTTTACAAGAGAAGAGCAAGACAGTGAGGGAGAAGAAAGACAGAGAAAGAGAAAAATGTGGAGGGGGATGGGAGAAGAAGCAGAAGGCACTGAGCTTCTGGACAACATGAAGACAACATCAAGACAGTCGGAGCAGGAAGTTACAGGAGGCTAATAAAGACACACACACACACACACCTGTCGAAAGTCAGATTAACACACACTTCAACACACAAACACACACGATGTTTTTAGCACAGAGACACAATAAATGATCACAGGATGTCCTGTTCATGAAGTCATTACCGCTTATGTCATAAATTAAAGATTAACAAAGACTGATGTTTAATTTAGCGCTCTGACTACATATCTGTGTGTGTGTGTGTGTGTCTGTGTGTGTACCTGTGCTATCCAAGCTGAAAAAAAGAACAACACAGGGGGTTACCTAACCAAGCAAAGACTAAGTGTGTGTTAAAGACCATACTCTATTTGTGTGTGTGTACTCGGACACCTACGTGCACTAAACCAACAACATGAAGAGGTCACGCCGAGAAGGTGGGGGCACACAACAAAGCCGCTAATGTTTACTGAGGTCACCACGGCAACCGCTGTGCAGCCCGTCCATTTGAACTTCTGTGGCGATAACACCGCTGACTGACATGTTTGTTTTGTGTGTGTGCGCGTGTATTTGTGTTGTACTGTGAAGATCATTAGTATGAGCCTGGCCCTGTGTGCGCTTGTGTGTGTGTACATCTTACCCTGCAAATGTATGTGATTGTGACTTTAATGTAATTATGTACGAAACAGAAAATGTTAAAACTCTTTTTTTTTGTTTTAGTAAATGCATCTTATTCGTAATATTTCTGAGACAAGTTTTTTAAGATTAAATATGCAACGCTCTTCCTCCTGAAATGTTCTGTGTACAACAACACTTCTAAAAAGAGAAAGTATAATACAATTATTTAGCACAAATGAGAAATGGCTTTGTAAAGATAAGATGAGAAGAACTTTACAAGACCTTCAAATTCTTGAGATTTAGTCAAATATTTAAACGTGTTCTGAGGTTTAAAAACACCTTTTCTTAAAGGTTTGTTAGTTACAGAGACTTGCGGCAGAGCCAGTGTGTCCATGCTGAGGTTGTTCACGCTAAGTGATAATCAGATGAGCTGTCAAGCCGGGGGGAAACACTTACGCCTAATGGTTGATCAGACGGCAGTATCTGGCAGACTGATGATCAGCTGGAGCCAGACTAGAGAGGAAGTTAACAGGTTGTGGTTGGTCTTGAACATACTTCAATGTGTCGTCTAAGGTAACAGAGAATTGACCAGGGTGGCTTCATTAGAGACCCTAGCAACAGCTTATGTTCTGACTGTTAAAATCAAAGTAGAAAAAAGGCAGAAAGCAGAGACAGCAGAAAGAGACAAACAAAGAGGAAGAGAAAAGCCATTAGCAGGCAACGGTTTCGGCCAGGATCTGAAATGAAGAGCAGTGAATGCAGATGAGCTCATTTGTGTGTAACAGGGAAACAAACAAACAAGAAAAACTGAGACATCACGCTCCTGAGGAAGATAAGGAAAGGAGATGAAGCACAAGGATTCTGTTACTGAAGGAGTCAAAGCAAATACCACCAAGACCAGACCTTTTAGACTGGAGCGGCCAAACTGAGGCATCAACATTCTGAGGGATGGCGTGGAGATTACACGCACATGTGAAAGATTGATTTTCATGGACCCTTCCTGTATGATTCGATCAGTTTTAGATCTTAACATTGAAGTATCTTACAGCTGTTATTCTCCATCGTGTTTACAGGTTCTATAGTGTAGTGGTCATCACGTCTGCTTTACACGCAGAAGGTCCTGGGTTCAATCCCCAGTAGAACCAAATATCTGTCTTTGGAATTTCAACCCGTTTTCAAAAAAGATGCAGTCATGGACAAATACGCGTCTCCGTGTGTCAATATCACCAGATCGATAGTTTATTTTACCAGTGTCTTACAAATTCGTACTCGTGTAAAGACCACCTTTGTGTCACGTCCCTGAAGACCACATCTGTGCTTGGGTGATATACTAGTTCAATACTAGATTTATTCTAGATTCATGATAAATAAATAAATACACTGCCAGGATAAACACAGTTTAATACAAGATCAACAACCATGAAAAACTGGAGGAGAACTGGACAAACACACAAACCCTATAATCTGAGCAATACCAGTGCTATCTGTGGGTCAAGTTGCTGGTCTAGTAAGTGGGCTACATTTGGACTTTTCCCCAAGCCTAAACACACATTCAGGAGTAATGACTGCCATGTGTTTACCCAGATAGCACCCTGCCAATCCATAGACCAAGGTCTGAGTGTGCATTTGAGAGAATTTCCACCATTAAAAAAGAGAGTAATTCAGAAATAGAACATGTTAAAAAATAAAATTAAAATGCAAAAGCTTTTTTTCAATCATCAAAGAGATCTGCCAGAGTGTTATATTACTTTTAGTATTTACACGTTTGTGTGTTTTTACCGCTTGCAACCCAACCCTATATAAATCTGTGTGCTAGAGTTTTTTTTTGTGTGTTTGTATGTGTGTGTGTGTCTGTGTGTGTGCAGCAGTATCTTGGCCTTAGCTCTACAACGTTGGAATTTCCTCTAGCTCTGCCGCCAAGGCAAGATGGCTCCCATATGCCAGCTATTCACACACATAGGCAAGCGCGCACACAAACACACACACACACAGTTCAAGGCCACACTTCGGTTAGCATACAAGTTTATAACGCTGGAGCCAAACTCCCAGATAAAAAGACTCCTTCTAAAATCCATAATGGGGTCAAGGCTGAAATAAGAGCACACATGTACACATGCTTGACTGACATGGTTAAAACCCTAAAACCCAGTGAGCCCCTGCTTTCACAGTCTGGATTCACATATGCTAAAATGAGCCTTATCCCTCCTGTCCTCTCTGAGCCACCGTAGAACACCTGTGTTACCATTTGACAGGTGTACAACTTGAATCAAACTGGAGGCAGCCAAGTCCATCAGTGTTGATTATACCGAAGCGTCCAAGAGTGTGTACACATGATGAACACTACACAAAGTGGTAGCTGTCAGATGAACATTAGACCAGAGCGCACAGCTGTGCTTGTTCAGGTGGCCTTACTGTAGGACTGTGATATAGTCCTGTACCAAATCAAACACACTGAATAAGCTACTGATGACCCAAAGGCACATAGGAAACGGACCTTTAGGTGTGAACACGACCTTAGACACCACCTCGAGAGATGGATGTTGCCTAATGCTTGCTTCTCTAGTTAATACCAGAAGTTAATGAACATTTAACTCTCAACTGACCTCTTAAATCATGTCCATGTATTCTAACAAATTATTAAAACCACTCCACTGATAACCCAGAGAAGTAGATTCTAGGTGTCAAGAGGCAGAGTTAACAAAAGTACAAGTCTTTAGAAGTTTTCATAAAAGAAACCAGAAGAAAAAGTCAACAGGAGAATCGGGTTTATCTCGAGTACTGCTGTCTTTCTAAGGCATTAGGATTAATGTTTTCCACTGGGTTGTTCAACTTTTCTTTTTCTTTTATTTGGGGGGAGGGGGTTAAAAAGCTTCAGAATAACTTATATAAGCTGAGGCATGTTGTTCCAGCTTAGTGGCTCTCCAGCAAACCAGCAAGAGAGCGAAAGGACCTCGCAGTGGCCAAACAGATGGTCTCCAGGACTTCTGGCATGCCCACACGAGCCACGGCAAAGTTTTCTCTGATGGTGTAACAGTGCACAAAAAGAAGACTTCACAGTTTGGGCTTTTCAAGACACAACTAGGACTGCAAGATATGTCGTTTGAACAATGCAACTGTGATACATGTTGGCCATACACATCGAATGTGCAATGTTCGTCATATGGCCTGAAACACATCATGCTGTCACCTTTTTCTCATTGCTAAGGAATGATCTTTGATAGACGTCTGTTTGAAATCACTTCAATGTAAAAACATCTGTGCAGGCTGTGTTGGTGCCTGTGTCGCAATACTGCTACTGTCAAAGATGGACCAAAAACACTCGACTAAGTTTGCTGGTTTAGAGAGTGTTATCTAGGCCTGCAGTGCAAATACACTGTAGTTATATGCAAATCATATGCAGCTCACTCAATTTTTATTTAATTAGACCAACTATTAGAAGACTCACAATGCAGATTAAACATCATTAGGGCTGCAGCGATCCAATATTTTTGTCCATTGATTAATCGAGTAATCGGATAAAACATACTTTTTTTTAGTTAAAGTGCAATTATTGTGGAACAAGCGTGTGGGTTAGCGGATTGCAATGCTCATAAGAAAGCTAATTATGACATTAACGTTCATCATGCCCCCAAAGACATTACATAGATAGATGGATAGATAGAATAGCTCCTATGTTACCTGCTTCTTCTACCACACCGACAATGTTAGGCTGCAAGCTAGCATGACGAGGAGTGTGCAGAGCAGTGCTGACTCCTCCCACGACTCAGAGGCTAATTGCTAATGAGCTACTGGAGCTCTGCAGAAGAAAAGCGCCTCTCATCATTCATTTTTTGCGGTCCGCAAAACCAAAACCACGCTTACTACTCCTTCTACGGTGGTGATGTAAGAGTGTTACCTTGAAAATAATCTGTGCGAAACAGTGACGACTTGAGTTTAGAAACAAGTACTCGAATCATTTTTTGTTATCGAGGTACTTGAGGAATCGTTTCAGCCCTTAACATAATTCAAACACATGTAAGTAAAATAATAATTAAGTTATTTAGATTATGAATTCATTCTGAATGAGGTATTTTTTAGTATGGAGCAGCCCGTACCCAATCCCCAAAACATGCACATTACAGCTTACCTCTAATGCACCAAACAGATACAAAGTGCATTGATAGGATTAATCTGACAAGGGTTTGATCAGAAGTTTGAAGAAGCCAACATCTACTCGTGCACGCTCAGAAAGAATGAGGAGCAGAAAATTAGCATTTCAAATCGTGACCAAACAAGCAGAAAAGCCAAAGTTCTGACGTTTGTTTACTCGCTCTGGTTTTCTTCCAGCCCTGAAGAGTGAATCTAAATGAGCCAAGAACAAAAAAAGTGACAAAGGAAACTTTTCCACAAGCAAAATCATCTGTGGATGTGATCTCACCTCTCAACATGTTAGACTGCGTTTAACTGCGCTTAACTGTTTGGACTACGTTCAACTGGAGTCAGCTGGCAGCACCAGAATATTACCGTAAACCACAGCACTTTATGACTGTGGTCTGGAAAATTCCACAGCTATAGTGTCTTGGCTGAGACTAGTCACAGTATAGTGACCTAAACATCTGTCAATGGATTCACCACTGTGCTCTACAAATCACTAAGCATGAGAAAGTGAGCTGTGTTTTTTTACCCTGAGTGATTTATGTTGTTTGGTTTCGTCCCTGAAATGTAGCAGAACAGTTTGAACCAGTACTCCAGAACCAAAACCAGTACCCTGCTGCTGGTGAGCAAAAGCCATCGATGGGTCCAACAAACATCTGCTCTCTGTGAGCCAATGACAGGCTCTTTAAACATCCACCCACCTACCCATCCACATCTGCTCTCTGTTACCCAATAAGACCTTCCACACAGACAGACAGACAGACAGACAGACAGACAGAGAGACACAGCCACAGGGGCGCGCACAGACCCACATACACATATCTTTGCTGTGCAGTACATTACTAATCCTCCAAAGTCGAGTCATCATCAGAAACAGAGTGATTAAAAAAAATCCACAACCACTGGCAGAAATTAAAAAATGTGTTTTCATGAGACTAAAAAGAAAAGTCTTGACATTCTAATGTTTTACAAAACAACTTTATTTACCCTCCATACATACCGAACAAATCGCTTAATCCCCACCAATCCCAGCCATGTGAAGTTAAAGGCGTTTGGTCAAAGAGAGAGAGAAGTCGAATGTATGAGCCCACAGACCAACACTCACAAACACACAATGATGATGATGACGGCTTTACCAAACTCGGTCCAAGTCAATAAACCAGTAGGTTGGCTGGCCGACAAACCAGTTCTGCTTTTCCCTACTCCCGTTATGCGCTGGTGTGTGTGTTGTGAGTTTGTGCGTTCGAATGCTCGTTCACGTACATTTGACTGGCGCCATGCTGCTGCTGGGAGCAATTATAAAGACATGAAGCCCGGAGTTGATGATCGCTGTATTATGCAACAGCACAACACACACACTTGCACATGGCTATGAACAAAAAAAAAAATGAAATCATGGTCAACTAGCTATTCTTTAAGTATTTGTTTACACCAACATTTAGCAATCACAACAGGATAACATACTCCACTTTGGATCTGGAGAAAGGGCTTTCAGCCGGGGACAAACAAAACATATACTGTAAACAAAATCACCAACTCACCATTTTCTGTTTCATTCAGACTGATGCAACTTCTGTGAAAAGCTTCACACAATCCTTTTTGTTTTAAATTAACCAAATCAACACACACAGGTTTTATACAACTTAATATCAATTCATATACTGTATACCAAATTATAGAAACAGTTTGTAATCTTAAAAATATGGACTTAATTGACACAAAAACACTGATATTCATCTTAAAACTACCATGAGCTCCAGATTTGGTAACTGGTTTTGATCAGGGCTTGACTGCATGATCCAGTTGACCCCACCTTAAAACGAACAAAGCACTGGTTAAAAAAGTGAGTTTAACATTGGCACTAGGATGAGGCGGTAATGCAGCTCTTCTAGTTCAGATCACAGACAGATAAGAGACAGCAAATCTTGAGGACGCCATGTTTGCATAGAGACGGCGACAGCGAGCGATGGGAACACTTCATATCTAAGGGTCTGTCTCAGGATCATTCATCCGCTGCAGAGCCTCCTGGGTAAAATAAAATAAAAAAGGACATACTTATAAACTAGTACCATGGGTCCACGTGATGCGGACTCAGCTCAAGTAGGGGGTTTAATTGCTGGAGTTTAAAGCTGGTCAGAAAAAGACTAAAAAAAAATTGTGCTAATGTGTAAATATGATCTACAAAGGTAAAACAGGCCACCAGGTTATTTTGGGACTACTGGATCCTAACTTTACCGCTGTTTGCAATTGTCCTCCTGGCTTGCACACCGACACCTGGACCTGCTTTTTGGGTGGTGGGCAACCCTAGCATAGGTACTTGTGTTGGATTAACTCTGAATAATACAAGTGACCCATCTAAAACATTATGACTTTTCCTAAAGTAACAATATATGTCTTTTCTCATGAAAACTGTACAACAAAAAAGAGGTAAAAATTGAAGAAAAAAAGTTTGAAGACTTGAAAACATAAGATCACAGTAAGGCAGTTAACTAGAGCGCTTTTGCTGGCTTGAGTTTTAAGATTTGGTCGTGATCCAGACTGGCCAATAACGCCACAAGTGTGGATCACATGAACGTCAGTTTGCTCTCTATCTCCTACACACATTCAGCTTCTAAAAAACTTGAAATGTAACTGGGTGTAAGATCTGAGTGACATACTTCTAGAGATAGAATCCTTCTGTCTGTCCTGTGGGACCTGTAAACAAAATTATGTCCTGTACTGGTGAAAACACTGACCCTGGTGGCAGAAGAGTCTGTTTACTGGTGGTCTAGTTTGCCTTATAAGTTCATATATGAATCTGCAGAGCGAGTGTGCCTCTATACACAAGTATGTGTGTTTGGATACACAACAGCCAATGGATGACCTTTGACACAGCCAGCAGTGTTCCCCCACGTGTTATTAAGGAAGGAAAAAACATAGGAAACATGAATCAAAGAGCACAAACACACACACACGTACACACACAAACACACACTGAGAACCCGCCCCCTACTAGCACACACATACTTTGACCACCCTACACCAGCACACACGACCCCAGTTTACTCGAGGAATGAGTCACTCTGCTGGGAACTCCATGCTTTCCCCATTACTACTGACTGACTGAGTATCCTAAAAAAGGCGGCAGGGAGTTCAGTGAGAAACAGAACGGAGACGAGAGAGAAGTATGTGACGTATCAACATATGGGGACCAAAATAGTAGTGAGAGTGAGAGAACGACAGAACAAAGCAGCAGGTCTGTTTGGTTTTATGTACTTTAGTGGTTCTTCAATGATTCACAAGGGTGCGGTATAACCGAGAGTAAAACCTCCATTCATCAAGCACACCGATCCAGAGGAAAAAAAGACAATCTTAGTAAAGGAGTGAAGTGAGAACTGATCCCTACAGTGTCTGACTGTGTGTTTAAAAATGCTGCCAGAAATGAGGCAAGCTCGAAACAACAACTAGAAACAGATGCAAACTAATCGTGACGCTGCTACAGGTTAATGACCCTTCCTGCTGGTCACTATGGATCCAAACACAACATAGGTTCACAGTTAAAACGGGCGGTATCAGGAATTTCATAAAGTAAACAATCGGTGCATGAACTTTGTATAAATGCAAAAAATTAGCTGCAGTTTTATGAACTTACATCATTAACCAGAGGGGGTAACAGAGGGAGTAACTTTTTCCATGTGATTTATTTTCTCTGTTCACTCATCACTTTGTATTTGCTAGAATTAATTTAAAACAGATGAGCAGAAAAAAAGAGGAGATAAGGGGAGAGGACACAAACAAGGAAAGAGGGTGCAAGGAGAAGAAGAATCGGGCATGGATGACGAGAAAATCAAAAGACTAAAAACAGAGAAATGTATTTAAACCAGGGCTGGGCAATAAATCTTTTTAGGAATGTGCTACAGCATCAAATTCAGAATGAGTGAATATTTGCAGAAAACAACAAAGTTTATAAGTTTGAGCATTTAATATCTTTGCAATGTTTTCAACTGAATATAGATAGGAAAGGATTTGCAAATCATTGTTTTCTGTTTTTATTCACATTTTACTAAACGTCCAAACTTCACTGAATAGGGGGTTTGTATTGGATAGATTCTTGACTTTGACTCCAAGTAGGGCTGGGCGATAAACCCAAAATTTACAGATACAGAAATTTATGACAATGACCGACATCATTGTGCCCATATCGGTATATTTGGTGTCAAAAAAAATAAATAAATAAAGGTGGTTTTGGATGTGTGTAGGTAGGCTATGGTCTCCTGTCCCTTTAAGATGCTGTCCTACGCCAAAGACGTGACTCCACCCCATCCAGTCCGTAACAAAGAGGGAAAGACAGGTGAGGAGATGGAGGACGGTTCAAAAGTTGTAGCGGCTGAAGTAGATGTAGTTAATGTGGGAGGGGGTGAGCAGCATGTGGAGTAGTTATCGTCCATTTATCGTTATCGGGGTAAACTGCTCAATATATTGTGATATAGATTTGAGGCCATATCGCCCAGCCCTAATTTGAAACACAGCCAGAATAGTGTAATGTGTGGATCACAAACCACATGTCAAGAGGCTACCACAAATTTTACACAATCACTGTATCAAAGAGTTAAAGTTTTTGGTCTTTCAAGCATCTCTCAATTTAAGATTTTAAAGGATTTTTATCGTTTAAGAAATGAAAAGATAGGGAAATATCCTGGTATCCAAAGTACATGCAGTCAACATTCAATCTGGTGTTGTAACAGTGCGGCTGTGTAGCACGGGTGCCCAAGTTTTTTTTCTCTCTTCTGCCAAATTATGCAAAAGATCATGTGGCAAAACACACAAACACATATGCGTAGTGTGGAGCTGTGGTACACAAATATTCATCCTGTGGGGAAACAGACCCTTCATACAGTATGTCAGGCTAAAGGGAATATTGTAAGCACTCATTTACACTGTTTGCTGTTCAGTATACGCATTAACGAAACCAAACAGCAGAGTAAACAGATTTAATGTGTACTAAAACAGCAGGCCAAGTGGGTTAAAAATTAACACGGAAATTCTTAAGCAAAAAAAAAAGTCGTCAGCACCCTCATTGTGGTCTCAATTATTTGCTGGTGGCAACACAAAATTACAGCAAAGTTTCTTTAAAGAAAAACAAGCGACAGAGAGAAAGACAGCCCTCATCAGCGCGTTCTGCACCAATGCACAATGCACAGACCTGGCACACAAACAGCCCACTAACCAACATGAATGCTTCAGATAGCAACGCAGATAAGCGGCTGATTTATAGCGCGCCACTATGATACGGTTTCAGAGTTTGTTGGTTTTTAGAAACTGTGTTTGTGTATACGTGTTTTACGTGTGTGTGTCTGGAGCGATCTAAGAGACTGATTAAAAAGCTGGTTAAGGATCAAAGGCAGCTCCAGAGGAAGGGAGGTCTTCAGAGTTAAGATCTGACAAAACTAAAAAAAACACACCTACGTGATCTCACACAGAGCCTAAACCTTTACCAAACACAATGTGTTCACAACATATAATCTGCTGCACTGAGGCACTTCAATTCAGACCATTTTGATGCTTATTACACAACACTGAATTACATCTCACTGCACTAAGGCTTTTGTAAGAGTGTGTGTTCAACAAAAGGGAGATACATGCAGGTGAATGTGAGCCGTCTCCTATCCCAGTTTGTTCCACATTAACCAAGTTTCTAGGAAACTTAAATACATTTTGAAGTTTTGATCATTTTTCTCACTTTTTAGAAGCAGGCACTAGAGTACCTCTGACAACCCATCTTCACATGATGGTTAAAACATTTCATTTTTCTCAGTCAGACCAGTACAAGTCTGATAAATCAAGATAATGTTATTTTAATCCCAGTCCACTGAGACACCTACCCCCTCACACTGGACTCAGGCATCCAAAATCACAGATTAAGATTTGTCAGTCTTGTTGATAATGGTCTTGCTTGCTCTTGTGTATCATACATATGCATCAATATGAATTTTTGTGTATTTTATAAATGTGAAAAAAAAAAAAAACTCCACACAGGAGCTTTAAAATTAATATGAAAATGGACATTTATGTTGCAAGAGCAGAATTTTAAATGTTTAGTTACTGCTATAAAGTCCGATCATAAAGGAGGAAAAAATAAAAATAAAGTAATATTCTGTAACTTATAGGTAAGCTGTGATTTCTAAGAGGTAAGGGATAGCAGTGATATCTTTAAGACATCAACTTTTAAATAAAACATATGTTGATGTCGCCAAAAGGCAGAAGTTGAGGGGTTGTTTCACAGAGTTATCTCCACTGTCACTTTATCAAGACCTTTAAGTAAAAAAATGTCTCAATTTCAAGCTTTTGCATATTGATTTCTACGTTTCAGCAAAAGTGGTCAGTGGTTAACAGGTAAGACTTCATCATCTGTAGAATAAAATAATGAAATCCCACAAAGATAACACAGCAGACAGCAAGCTCTGCAAAAAATGAGAATATAGACGACATGAAAGCTCTTGGAAGCTGCTGTGTAAACATTTGCTCACTTCAGAGACCGCGTTGGTGCAACCTTGGCTACAAGTCTCATTTGTTTCTGTCACCTGCTTGCCAAATCTGATATGATCACCATGCTCGATAACATCCATTTAACCTTCTCTAAGACAGCTAACACTCCATGAAGACAACAAACACAGTCGAAGCAAAGCTGGAGAAAGAGGAGGAGGAGAAGCACACGGAGTAGAGAGGACAGCTAACCAAATAATGAAGAGGCAGGGGTTCACGTAAATAAAGACAGGTAAAGAAGAGAGAGGTGGGTGTTAAAGGTTGAAGTGGGTTCAGTTTCCTCCCATAGACATTCTGTCATAATTACACACACTAACACACACTCACACTCCTGTGACCCAGGGGACAGTTTGCTTCATCATAACAGGCTGCCACATAATTCAGACAGACAAGCTCATTAATTATTAACAAACAGTCCAGTAAAAATAGGCACAGTGGCAGAAACACACGGCCCAACATGGACCACTGAAACCCTACATCTACTGAACATCATCTGCTCCTCTGTCAAACATCTGCAGCTTTGAGCGCTTCAGACGATGCATATTAGATCCACATCATCAATTTTACTGCTCTTCCTGATGATGTAGATGGTGCTGCTTAGTCCTCTTCGTGGATCAGCAGTTTTGTTTATGATCATTTTCTGTATTGTACATCCCAACACACAGCAGCTTCAAAACACGCTTTTGTTGTTTTCTTTGTGTAGTGAAGTCCTAACTGCACTGTCTCTATAGCTCTAGACTCTAACATGATCACTTAAAGCCTCCATGTCTGAGTTGAGCTAAGGTTTACCATGCTCCATGCTCTGGGGCTCTTAGCCAGAACAGCTGATTTAGAGGCTGGACAGGCGTTATTCAGCCAGCCCAAACCTTCCAAAAGCAGCTTACAAGCCACACTTTAGGGATTACTGATGACTGTTTCCAAAACAAACTGCTGTTGTATTGTGGCAGTGCTGTTCACGGTACGAATAACGAATGATATACACTTTCTTGAAATCTGCAGAGAACTGTGATCAGGAAACGTGTTTTTCTAGGAGACAGGGTTGAGGGGTTTGAAGTACAGCTCCCTTTAATAACATGAACTGCCTCATTACAGCTCTGTTTCAGAGGGAATGAAATAAGAGCTCCATTTCTCCTCTTTTCTTTCAGCTCTCAGATCTCTTCTTTTGGAAATAAACCTGCAGAGACGGCAAAGTGAGTCCGCCAGGGAGCCTTTTCAAATAACAAGATGGAGGATCTATGCATTTAACTACAAAAACACCTTCATTTCATCGGGGACACGAGGTTCTCAAACAGAACATTTTCAGGATGGCAGTGACGGTAAATAGAAACACCTGCAGGGTGGGAGTCAACAGCAGGCAGCCAAAACGCTGGTGCATTTCTGCCACAGCAGCAGCCTGTAAATCAATCCACATCATTCTTCATGCTGGTTTGGCGAGCTTCCTCCTGTGATTTGGAGGTATAATTTTAAAACCAAAGCAATCAATAGAGTGTTTTTCCAGCAAGGGCTAATATTCTGCCAAGCTCTAATAATCTCTCTGGCGAGCTATATTTTCACTGTCAACACTGAGTTCGACAAAGTAGGTACAGAATATCTCGAACCTGCTGAAGTCTCGTTTGACTTCGATTGTAGCAGTATTTCATAGCTGTTAAACACACACGGTCATTCACTCTTTAAGAAATGTGAGTTTTTAACAAAGTGATGTTAGGACGCCAGAATAAAGACAAAGCGTATGAATGAGTGAGATTGAAGGATGTTGGTTGTAGATGGTTAAAGCCACACAGTGAATCCAAAAACAGTGTGAGAGCCTGTGTGTCTTTGGGTGTGCTAATGCAGCTCTTAAATCCTTATTTTCTCTCAGTTCAGTCACTCCAAAATCTACCAGAAGTAGCATATACTTCATTTCAAAATAAAAGCATTTCATTTCACCCTTATCTGGACTGGTTTCTGAGTTTATCATATCATAATTACATAATCAGCCTGTGAGTAAAACACCTGTACTGTGGTGCTGAGGATGAAAACTGATGAAGTCAAATGTAGTTTGTAAAATCAAGCATTAAGTTGACAAGTACATTCAAATAAAAGCAACAATTTCAGTATAGATGTGACACAGCTTGTAAGTTTATAAAAAATAATAATAAATGAATCTTGTGTTTTCTTAGAGGGGATTTAACCTGATCTTTAATTAGTGTTGTTTTTTAAAAGTCCTTTTAAAGTCCAATTAACACTACTTCACCTATTTTAAAGTTCTTGGATTAACAGTCTGTCGTGTCTATGAAATTACCCAGGGACGCTGTGTGATACTCGACAGCCCCCACAAACTGATAACACAGGTGTTGGTTTGTGTGATTTTTTTCTTTTTTTTCAGATATACGTTTACCATGAGAATAAGGCAGCATGTTTTTTTATACAATAGTTTCAAACTTTTCTTTAAGATTTTAGTAAATCTCAAACTGAGTGAATTTATTCCCCCTCTCAAATAATAGCCCACCTCAAAATCCCTTTATTTTCGTTGGCAGAGATGATCAGAATGTGTTCTGCAAATCGATTATTGTATCCATCATTGAGAGTTCAAGGGCAGCTCAACAGGCTTTACAACGGCACTTTGAGCCAGGTGGAAAGATATGTGACGGGATACAACTAATGGAAAACATAGAGAGATGACCTTATACTCACTTCTTCTTTCTAGTGTTCATGCAATCATTGAAAACATAGTTAGAAAAAGCAGCATAATCTGAAACTTTGATGGTAAAATGAAAGTAAAGGATGGGTGGTTTTGATCGTCTCACATTGCGACTAACGCAGCGTCTATTTGATGTCAAGATCAGCCTCCTGAAACCCCCGTAATGGTGTTTGTGTGAACAGTACAGTCGGGTAAATTTCCTGGTCAAAGCTCCTTAAGTTTTCTAGTAATTTTCTAGAGTACGTGTCGCTTACGATGCTTTAATAGTCTAAGTGGTAACAGGCAAAATAACGATGATCTTACACAATGTGCAGATTTTTCAGACATGGAGTCTGTTGGCAAAAATACATCTTTCCATTGAAAACAGATGCCGAAAACTTCATACGTTTGGCATCAGTCCCCATATCAAAGAGGGAGTGTAGGGTTTCTTTGCAGAGCTGCTATTATGTACTTAACCATCGTTCACCAATCTCAGAAGAGTGATTTAAAGAGAGGCAGATCTAAAGCTGCACATGGATGGAACATGTCTGATGTAAGTCCGATCCAAAAGAATATCTAACTACTGTCACATACAACACTTTATCTATCAATCCACTACGGCTGTCCTTGTTGGTCTGTAAAAACCGCAGGTCAAAGCCACAACATCAAGCCCCACTTACGCAGTCTGATCTTGTGGCTGGAAACTGTGGGAACTATAGCTAATGTAGATAATCACAGTGGAGCGAGAAATGAACAAGTTCAGTTTGGACTGTATTATGACTTACGGCCCCTTCAGACTGGAAAACGCCTGAGATCCACTGAACAATTGAGCAGAGCTGGTAAGAGCGTGAGTGGTGAAAGAGTGCACCAACAGCAGAAGAAAGGGGAAAAAAATACCCCAATCTAGGCCCCTCAAAGTTGGTTTAATATCAAGAGCTGGCTTTCTGTCTTTTTTTCCACACATACACAGACACACAGTCACGCACACGCACACACAAAAGGGAGTATAAGCCTTGGACCTGGCAGGCAGTGCTCAAGTTCTTGGAGCAGCTTTCTCTCTAATTTAAAGTTGATTGCCGAGGGCCCTCTGTGTGTGACTAGTGAAATATGAGTGTGGAGAAGAGAGTATGAAGGCTTGGCCTGAGTTTAGCTCTGTGTGTGTGTGTGTGTGTGTGTGCTTAGGATTATAAGAGTGTTCATGCACAAGCACACTGGAAGTCTGAGTGTGGGCCTATGTACAGTATGCGCATGCAGAAGTCTGTGTCAAGGTCTCGGGGGAAACTGTGCACACTGTACATAGTGTGTGTGTGTGTGTGTGTGTGTGTGTGTGTGTGTGTGTGTGTGTGTGTGTGTGTGTGTGTGTGTGTGTGTGGTTTTTGGCCATAGTAAGTGCAGAGATTGGACGGCTAGTTGGAGATGTCTGCAGGGAATCAGGCAAAGCAGAGGGCCAGCTGAAAAACAGTCCCTTTTTTCAAACCAGAATGAGGTGTTAGGAGTGCAGCTCAATTGAAGTCATTCTAAACTAAAGAAAACACTCGTTAACCTAATCACTGCACTAGAGTTTTTATCAAACTTCACAAACGGAGTTCTTGGGCAAATCAAGTGTCCCGGCAAATAACTTCAAATTCACTTTTAGAGTTATTCTTTGAGATATAAGTGGATAAACATGACAATAATCATGACTTTACAGAGCCGAGTTTAGGTAAATGCATACGTGTCACAACGTGGCATGAACCAAAGCATGTTTTTAAAATGGACTGTAACATTCTGGGGAATCTGGGCACTTTGGATGTTCCTTCTACCGCCATATATCGTTTGTCTGAGTCCAGAGAGCGAATTTGTTTACTGTGTGTACCTCTAAAAAATGGTAAAAGTTTTGTACCACAGTGTTGCAAAGAAAAAGACACTCTAATTCCTTCTTCTGAGTCCAAAGAGCATATTTGTTTACTGTGTCCCTCTAAATCATTGTAAAAGTTTTAGGCCACAGTGTTTGTAAAGACAAAGAGACAGATGAGCTGGGATACCAGGAGTGGATTTTCTATAGGTGAAATATCAAGGTGCCTGCTGTCTTTGAGTACACAATGAAACTGAGGAAATGTTTTCTGACCAACGGACCTAGTCAGTAAATGGCGGTAAATCCCGCTGTAAACCACAGATACTACAAGGAGTGGCCAGGTGTTTGGCTCCTCACAGCTTCAGCGTGGACAGCAATAAAACTCAGCATGTAATCGGCTTTTTCTAGTTTTGGGATATGATGATGTTAGGTGGTTCTGGGAGCACTCTTTAGATGTGTATTAAGCTGATTTATTGCAATGGTCTGACTGGAATTGGACTTTGAAAATGCATGTGAACACATTTGTCTGATATCAAACTTCTCAAAGTTGGACTGACGTACCTGGACAATGCAATCAGAGACTGTTTTTCTCTGGCATGTACACGGCTCAGAATATTGAGCAAAGACAAATATTGTCAAAAGAACTGCTGACTCTGCTGTTTGCGGGTTAATTCTGACCAATTTCTGATTTCATCGAGTGAAAATGTCTTTAGGTTACTTCCAACAAACTCGTCTTTTGACTGTGAGATCTTCTCCGCAAGAAACCATGAAGAAAAAGCCACTTCTCTACCAAAAGAGAACAGCTATAAAATGAGCAATGCACTCATCCCATTTAAAACAGTCACGAGACACTCAAACAACTGGTTGCCACTGGTAACCCACAATACTTTTCCTTTTTTTTCCCCTTTTAACTTACCATTATAGTTTTTTATCCTCATAAAAGCCCTGTTAGAGACGAGTGATGCAAATAAACACCAACATGCACTGGATGGCTGTTTCCCAGTTTGTACTGTATCTTTTTCTAACAAAACATAGATGTATTATAAATCAATGACAACTCCAACAACTTCTGAGCATATCCCAACAGACTAAAAAACTTGGACTAAACCAGAATGGAGCATGAAGAGAGAATTTGAGTGCTTTGACTCCCTGATGACAGTGTTAAAACATCTCTGTGAGTAAAAAGATGTTTAATTCATATTATGTTGAGCATTAACTGATGTAGGAGTGGAGAATCTACCTCAACGGTGTGCAGTTTGACTGATATCTTGCTTAAAACGGTGAGACACAACTAAGAAGCAAATTTAACCCACTTTAGGCTAAAGTGCTCGCAGACGTCTTGAACCACCTACCTCCCCTGCCTTATTCCTGTGAAGCCCCCAGGCCTCTTCTTTCTGCATGGTGTGTTTGCATTCCTGTTGAGCTCTATTTAAAGGCTTCATCACTCCACTGGCTGGAGGAATGCACATCTGTAGTGGGATCCAGTCTCATAGTCTTTTTTCTCTGCCTGCCTGTGTCTATGTACAGGATTTGTCCCTGATTGTGTATTAACCTTTCCCTGAATTATTATTATGCACATAGATACACAAAGGGAAAGAGCAGGATGAACACTAGTTTTGTTTATTATATCAACAAGTGCTTTTGAATGACTCATAATTTAGGTGCTTTATTATTACACAGGTAAGTGTGTTTGAGGGCTGGGAGCAAATACAAGTGCCATGATAATAAAAAGCCCATGAAACAGCATTGTTGCTTTACCCTACTTTCCCTGCAGACAGTTTAACAGACACTCAAAAGCACTCACAACTTCACTTTCACTTACCATAATATCACACATGGTCAAATTTTAAACCGGGGAATAAAAAGACATTAATTCAACTCATCTGCTCACAAATAAAATTTCACTTTTCACTCATTCATGTCATCGTCGGACAAGCCAAACAGCACATTTCCATTTTTTACCAACTACTACAGCCTGAATGATGATTTAAAGCCATTCATTTAAGGTTTTCAGGCTGCTACATTAGCTAAAGACACAAAAAGACAAGCTACCAGTGTGACACATCCTGAGTGTGAATAACACTGGAGTGGATCCATTCCCCTCTGCTCCGTCTGTCCCAACACTGAGGCGGGGAAACTTTTCGCCCCCCTACACGCACACAGCTTCCCCGCCGCTAATTCCCCTTCTCCCCTGTTTTTTTTACTCTTTTAATCGCCAAACTTACCTTGAAATATGTCCCCGAGTCAAGCAGGCATTATTATGTTGTCGCCTTCCATGGTTGGGACTTCAGCGAGTTGTTCTTCGATGCCCCCGAGAGACTGGAGACTAGCTAGCGGGGCAAGAGAGTAGCAAAGTCGGACAAGCAGGAGGAGGGGGGAGGAAGGAGGCCAGACAAGTCGGCTGGTAGCTCATTGGGTGATCTTACTGTCAATCACAAAGCTGAGTGGGCGGGTCCTAACTGTAAAGGGATTATGGTGGTTGAGCTCTCAACTCTAATCTGAGTGAGGTCCAGGGACTGTGACATAAGAAATCAGACACCCAGAAAAAACACTATGTAGATTATTATTTACCCTGTTTGTTCTAAAATAAAATATTAATTGGCAGAAGTTGGTGAAAAAATTAGCTGCCAATAAAAAAGATTAATTTTATAAATTCAATACAAACTGCATTGATATTTAAAAAAAAATAATAATGACGATAAATAATAATAAAAAAGCAAAACAGGGCACTATGCCTGCCATTTCAGATTGTCTATTTAAAAAACTACCACTTGCAGTCTATTTTTGATCAAAGACAAAAATAACAAGCTTTGCTGAATCAATGTAATATTATTGAATTTCTAACAAACTTGATTTTAAAATAACCTGATTAAATTAATCTGTTATCAAACATGAGGAGATTTAAGTTTTGATAACACAGGAGTTAAATGGTTTGATCAATCAATCTTTATTTGTATTGTGCCAATTCACAGCAAGTGTTTTCCCTTAAAAAAGAGTTTCAAGCAAGTATCTACCAAAGAAATGCTTTTTTTAATACCAACCTTTTTAGCGGGGGAACAAATGAACATGAACACTGTAATAATAAGCAATATGATTCCCTGATATGTTCTGTACATGAATGGAGGCACTGATTAAAGCAACTTTACATGCTGACTGGTATAGAAGTATAACAAATATTTCCAAGTTAAACAGAAATCAATCTGCCTCTGAATCTTACTTCACGATAGGCACCACACGAGCTTGTTATCTATTATTCTGAAGCATAACTGAATGATGAGCACAGAACACATTAAACCCATTAACTGTTCCAGACATGAATTGGATGACAGTCACAGCTCATCATCAACAGCAGTGACCTTTTATGCATCCCCCAAATGTAGGTGGACGAGCACATCTGCCAATGTTATTTACTTCAGCACTATACTGCAGTCTCAAAATTACTGTGTGGTTGAAATTAACACTTCTAAACAGAAACCATATTCAAGTTTCACAAAGGTAATATTTGTATATTGATCTTTTCTTTTTTTCTAAATATTTTAAGATACTATGTTTGCTGCTGGCTGGGTTTTGTGATACAATTCATGTTTTTATCTCATATACCGAGTATTTACAGTGCAGTAAAGCAGGAGTTCAGAATGAGGCAGTACAGTAACCTGTTAATACACGTACAGCACATCTATTATACCAACACACAGGTTTCTTTGTGCAGAATTACAGTGACCTTTGACCTTGACAGGCTGAACAAGAACAAACTGGATGTTGAATGTGCAGTTGGCGCCCGGTCCATTCATCAGGCAAACAACACGGACATCGATTATTCCATTGAAAAGAGGGGATTTCCAATTTGAACAAATGCAGCCACCCCATTTCTGACGTAGACATGCAGACTGAAAGAATTACTATGACACCAACAAGGCCCACAGATAACTCAACTGTCTGTCATTGCAGCAACAACCATTCTGAAGAATATGCTAACAAGTGGAACTGTTAATAAAGGGCATTTACTGAAATCACCAAGCTTATCTGCAATTGGAATTTAAGATTAGTTACTCAGTTTGACTGCACTCATTGTAAACCAGAATATTTTTGATGAAACATGTTGACAGTGACAATGTGTATGAATTTGCAAAAGCCTGATCCAGACACCTGTTGCATGGTGTTGCAGGGTGTTGCTTCCCCCTGCTGTCCATTTTTACTCATTACTCAAGTCACAGCTGGCAGGAGAGTGGAGCTGCAGTAAGTACACTCAGCCTGAAATCTGAGAAATAAAAAGGACCAGGTGACAAACCAGCCTGTTGTGTTTTCTTGCTTTAGGTCTGATTCAGCAGCTATGAAGGATTGTTATTTTCCTGTGTTATGTATCCACAACTTCTTCAAAGCAATGAAGCGATAAGTAAAACACAGCTTTGGTTTGTTAGTTTCTTTTATGGTTGTATTCACCAGTACAAGTTCATACGTCACTAAAAGCTTTTCCTTTGTCAATCATTCTGTAAAAAACCTACCTACCTACCTAGTAACAGTGGAATGAGTCCACTATAATAGGTGGCAGAATGCCCACAGCAACAACTGGGATGGCAATTCAGTGTGATCTGCTGCCTGTGACTGTGACAGCATAGATATTTGCACTGAGGTTAGACAGTTGCTTCTGAAGATCCCCTCATCAGGTGACCATGATATTATTTTGATGGTATATGTTTGACAGCCATAGTCTAAACATAGAGGGAAGACAAAAAATCTGCCACGTATTCGTGAGGCAGTGCTGTTACCACATTATTCTACAGCTACTTGTTCCAGGTTCTCACTAATATCCTTGACATTATTGTCAAAAGTTAAGTTATGCAGAAAGCAGTTATTTAGCAGAAACTTGCTAACTTCTTGGGACAGTTTGCATCTTAGTTGTTGCACAGATGCCACCACCACAGAAATGGAGGCTTGTTAACTTCCTGCTGTTTTCTAATTTCAATCTTCGGTTGTCTGGAAACTTGGCAACTTCGGACAAATATAGTGATCCGATTCATGAATGAACGTGGACTGTGACAATACGGGAGGTGGGCGGGAGATAGGTCTGAAATACGGGAGAGTTCAGGGAAAAACGGGAGTGTTGGCAGGTATTGTCCCTAAGCTACTCTTTGTGTGCCCCCCCATACTCATCATGCTTTACCAGAAAATTAATGTATTTCCATAAAATGGCCCACATACAAATACTAAGGTGAACTTTCACACACAAACATAGAGACAGCCAAAACGTGTTTTCTCTATATTTGTCCAAGTAGCTGCCACAAAATGACCACATCGCAGCTAGATGAGAAATTCAACATTACAAACAAAATACAAAAACAGACTGAATACACATGGTTATGAGCCACAGATGAAAGTAAAGAGAGTAATCAAACTGGAAGGGAACAGCCAAGCCCTAAGACATGACACCAAGGACACTGGATCCAAGTGGGAACAAAAGAAAGACCAAACACAGATAAAAATGACACTCGGCTGCTTGGGAACCCTCCAGCTGAAACAGCATGAACTGATACATCAGTGGTTCACCTCACTTTGCTTAGATAGATCCTTAAAAACTGCTGCCACATGTCTGCTCTATCAGCCACATGAATGAAAGGCAGTGACAATCACAGCCGGCTCACTGCCACTCATTTCCACTTGTGAGCACTTTCTGTTTATCCACTGCTATCAGGATAGTTAAACCCTCTATCACATGATAGGACATGGCCTGGACAGGTGCTGATGTAGCCATAACACTACAAAGGATAGAGTGATCTGCTGTAGATTGCACACTGACTCACCACATGTGAGCAGAATTTGAGTCAGATCTGCACAGACATAGGGCTCTATTTTCGTGCCCGCTGGCGGCGCGGAGTAGGGTGGCGCAGAGGTATTTCAGTCTGGTGAAGCCTGCCGCACATACGGTTTGGTATTTTGCTAGACTGAGGCGCACAGAGGTCTGCCAAGCTGGGCATAGTGGCGCGGTAGGAGGAGGTGTCGACAGAATCAGCTGGTGCAGTGACATTTTCCTGCCCGTTGGTGGCATAGAAAGCGATCGGACGAGTTATTTATGCAGCTATATGTGATTGTCCTTATTTGTGGAAAAGGGTGTTTGTCTTACCAGTGGGTACAACCTTACACACACTAAATCTATCTGTGCTTATTTGAGAGGGTGTGGAGGACGCCCTGCAGCCCTTACAGCGGAACTTGTTGAGGGGCTGCCTTCTGTCGCCATCGTGTGGCGTTGCTGTTGTCAGTCATCTCTTGACTACTTCACTGGTGGCAGATCTAAAGGTGAGGAGAGGAGCTGATGTGATTGGTATTTTGGTGAGTGGCACAGTCCGGCACAAGTATCCCCCCTTCCTAACTCAGCTCCTCCCAGAAAGAGGGAGGGGAGTAGATGTGGAGTGAGTTTAATAATGGGCACGCCTCATCAGCATGGGGGACCTGACTTGCGCCGCGCCTTCACCATGCTGTTGACAGGGCACGAAAATAGAGCACATCATGTGCATGCCCATGAAAAAGAAACAGACAGAATGTAAATAACGTCATTTACTATAAGTTACACAACCAGACATGGCACATACAAATACAACACAAAGAGCACAGGGGACAAGAGCTGTCACACACAAACAATGGATGATGCATATCTGACACACCCCCTTGCCAACCCGTCTACCTTTGTTGTGCACACTGTCACACACTCCCTAAAGCTGCTGATGGTTGTTAAATCCCTGCATGACGTCAGTACCAGGCAGTGGGTGTGGTTTTCACTGGCTCACTAAACATACCACAGCTTAAAACAGCCGCTCACTAACAGCAGTCACTCTGACTCTCTCTCAGGCTTCATTTCTCCAAGACCGGCTCACTGTTGCTCCTGTATTCGAAGGTAAGAACCCATCCTCCACCAACTCTTAAAAGCAATGTCATTTCTATTCCTGTATCCTGTTTCTTTGTGTATCCCTTCTGGCTTTATTTTGTCAGTATTTTTACAAACTTTCATCACCAACTCTTTTCTCCTTTGTGCTTTCTGAATGGATACAGACTCTATCGCTGTGTCTCAGACATCAGAGAACATCTGTAAGACATTTGTCGAGAGGAACAGCTTCACTGTGGATCTGAAGCTTCTGCAGTTACCTTAAAAACCATCTGCCACCAGTCCCCCGTGAGACAATGTCTTGGCCGTTGTTGGTGTTTATATGTCTATCAGCCATTCAGCTGAGCATGGGAGACCAGCTTGTGGAGGAACTTATCACAACAAGTAAGTTCTGATATGAATAAAAAATCTAAAATATTAAAGACAGGAAATAAGACAGTAAATCCACCTACTTTGTGTCTCTGATTTACAGGGAAAATCTTTAAATGTTGGGACAAACTTTATATAAATAATGAACTTTTAATAAGAAAGGACAGAAAAAAACAACAAACATCAACGAAAATTTGAAATTTAGATCTCGAACTTAATTAAACTAAGTTTAACTTCTTATAGTTACACAACCAATAATGCTTAACCTCATTTCATACCTTTACTCCTGTGAGTCAGCACTGATATTGACTTTAACATATCATTGTGGCAAGCTTATTTTGATGTTTTTGGGGGTGGGTCTGTTGCAAAAAACAAGGTAATAAGTGGATAAAATGCCAACACAACAACAAAAGCATTACAAGCATGTGAATCCAAATTATGAATAACATTTTACATGATAAACAAATTTTTCTAACTCTGCCAAATGCATTTGATGGTTTAGAAAGACACAGAAAGTAAATTGTATATTTCTATAGAAAGAAAATGAATAACTTGAAAATACTGTATTTTAAAAGCTTCAAATCTTATTCAAGTTCAGTGAAAACACGACTCTCCCATGAGTGATCTCAAATAAAGAACTTGTGATAGAGTGAGGATTATAATTGCCAGCAGGTATGACACAATGGAAAACAAAGTTGGTCGTGTACAGGACGTATGTTCTCAGTCAGTAGACGGGAACCCTCTGCTGCCGTCTGGTTGGGTAGAGTGACTCAGAAAGTTTGGCTCCATCAGCACTCTGGGCAAGTTTTCATTGGGGAGATGGTATTTAATTTGGAAAAGGGGAGTTTGGTTTGGGAGTGTGTGGAAAACAGAAACATCAGTCAGTGCCCCTGGAGTGTTTTCCTTTGCCATAGTTCTTACAATTGGTAAAAAAATAACATTACAGTGGAATACAGGGGAGCCATGGATAACTGTATGGAATTACATTCTTTGCTCTATATTGAATAGACAAAGAGTCTTAATTTCAACCTATGATGTGAGATGTGAAGCCAATAGACTGACTGGATATGTGCTAACAGTTTGGTAACTGTGCATGAGTGACCAGGTAGATAGAACCATGGGACTGACATCACACCCCATTATTCAGTGACTCCTGTGTTAGTATTTGTAATGTTTCCTCTCCTCTACTCGACTAATCGGGTGCAGAATGCTTTTTTCAACAGAGCTTTTAGTCATCCTTCTTTATAATAACTAAAACTAACTAAAAATTCTCAGAAAGAATATACACTTAGACACAAATCACCATTATCAGAACCAATAAATGGCAGGAACCAGGTTTGAGAAAATGTATATGATGCATATTTCGCTTTTATAGTTTGATCCAAATTATATCTGTTAACAGGGGAGAAAGAAGGCCTAGTTCAGACTGGCGTAGACCACAACCAGTCAGTAAATCTTGTCCAGATAGTCCTGAGCATTTAAGAAAAAGAGTCATTCTAAAAACTACGATGGTAAGACAAACAGTCAGGGTACCAGCGTCTGCTTAAAATGTATTCCATGGTTGTACTTTTGCCCCAAAGGTGAAACAAAATACCAGCTTTCTGGTGGAGAAATGTCAGACTGTCTCCAAAATCAATGAATCATTTAATAAACCACTTGATGCAGAACAGCTGCAAGAACTGTCTATAAATTAGATTTCCTTTTGGGGATCAAGAAAGTGCTTCTTCTTCTTAAATACTTTTTTGTTATTTGTTGGCATGAAACTGGCTGAGTCTTGGATTTAGTGGTCTTATAGTCTGTGTTTTATTTTCCCGCAGAGAAAGTACCTCTCCTGGGCGGCTGGTCTGAAAGAAGTCCAGAGGCAGACGATGTTCAGGAAGCAGCTCAACACGCTGTGGAGGAGTTCAACGCAAACTCCAAGAACAAGAGGATGTTCAAACTGGTGTCCGTGACCTCTGCTCAAAGCCAGGTATGTTCGTTTCCAAAAATAAGAGAAACCTAAAAGTCACTTCAACTCCAAACAGAGTCACAACATTCAACATTTCTGTCTCCTCGACTTATCAGGTCACCAACGTGATCAACTTTAAGATTAACGCAGTCCTGGGAAAAACCAAGTGTCTTAAGTCTGAAAACTCCGACTTGAACACCTGCAGTGCGGTGAAAAAGGTGAATAGATGGTTTGAATTTTTCGTGAAACTCAGAAAAAGTTTCTCCTGTTTTCAGTTAGTATGTACTTTAGTAACACTTTTTAAGCAATGCTAATTTCCTCGCACACACTGTTCATATGATGTGTTTTGTTTGTTCCCCTCTCTGCAGTACTTAACGTGTTCTTTTGAGGTGGCCTTCGATCCCCGCAACAACAGCCACGAGCACAAGTCACACAAGTGCAAGAAACAGAGGGAGAGCGTGTAACCTGTAAAATACAAAGTTTTTTTTTTTTTTTTTACTTTAGCTTTTACCGCCTAGATCCATTTTGGTACCGTGTAAGTAGTTTTTTTTTCTGAATCAATCTTTGCAGTTGAATTGACAGCCGTATAGAATAATCGATAATCGATAAAGATGACCCATGGTAGGTTCAGTAAAAGTAGACAGACAACCAAAACGAGATTTTTGTTTGTTTGTTTTTTCCATTATTAGTAATGATATCTGCCATTATTATTTATGCTTTCTGGGTTTTTTTTACTGTGATCTCTTTCCTTTTTTTACTAGTTCATGGTATTACATAACGTTTATGCAACATGGGTACTAGATATAATAGCATCACAAGAAATTACTGCTCAGCCAGGAGTACAGCAGAAATTGTCTTGTGTTGAAAAAAAAAAAGCTATGGTAATATGATGTAGCTTGTAGGTTCATAGTGGGGGACAGAAGTGTTTCCTTATACATGATGCACTCACTGTAACAACAGCAGATGATGAAGACTCAGAAACCAACAGTGTGTGGCTCCTTCTGCAGCCCATATCATGTCTGAAGGGACAACCGGCGAAAGCTTTGTACTGGACCTGCATCCACTTCAGTTTCATACACTTTACAATAATGACGTGTGCTGTACGCGAAGGCATTTGCATTTCCTAGTAAAGTTTGTTTAGAAACATGTTGCTCAACTCTCGTCTTGCTTCCTTAATTTTTCCATAAATATGAAGATTATGTTGAAGTGATTTTTTCTTTGGCCACCATGACAGCCCTACTTGAGAGGTTTGAAAGACAGAAACACATTTGACAAACAAAACAAAACAAAACAAAACACATGAACACTCGTATTGATATTTTATTTATATGGTAGGATCCACATCACGAGGTATCAATGATATTGTAATTCACTTTGCCAACAAAAATGAATTGTATTGATATTTTATTTATATGGTAGGATCCACATCACGAGGTATCAATGATATTGTAATTCACTTTGCCAACAAAAACGATCAGGTGACATCCTCCATTTTCTTTCAAACATCTGAAAAATAAAAGATATATAATTGGTCAGCACAAAGAATCATCAAGTTTACAAATCACAAAAGTTACGACCCATAAATCTTTATTAAGTTCTTGTGTTTGTGATAAATTTGAAAGATATTTGGTATGTAGAATCTGTCTCTCCAGAAATGTCTTCAGTTGAATTGAGCAGAAAAGCCGGAAAGTGCTCATATATTTTATATTAAGTCTTTAAATTAAACTTCTTGATACTCACTGCAGTCATAAAACCTGTTAACCCTGAGGATGTCCATGTCAGACATCTCATTCCTTTGTCCAACTGCTACAGAGGAGTCTGGAATGGGAGTGATGGTGTCTTCGCCGTACACCGATGAGAAGGCAGTCCTGCACAGAAGAATCAGAAGTGAAGTTTAACTGAAAGAACAGAGTTTTAACTTTTTAATACTGGGGGCGTTAAACAATAATCATTCATTGTTTTGTGCTGCAGTTATACAACAAATGAATCCACGGGGGAAATAACAACAGCAGCACTCTCCTTTGCCATGACCATGCTGCTGTCAACATCTTCTCTTAACCCTGACAGAGCCCTAAAATCTAATAAAACATATGAAAGGATTCAAAAGCTTTCATATAAGAAGAGAAAAAGGACGTTACCTCCCATAGTGCAGAACAGAGGAGTAATCATAAGGTGTGCTCAGGTTGTTGGTATCCTTTTTGTGGAAGTTGTATGCTTGAGCTGCACAAACATGAAGTGTTTATCAGTAGGAGTATAATATTCTTCCACTCAGTGATCAAAAAGAAAGTCTTAAAACACGAATGATCAAAGCTGGCTCAGTAATGTCTCTGCAAAACATGCACAGACAAATCTATGAGCTGCTGCAGAGCGGCTGAGAGCTCACCTGCTGGGATGTTTTCCCAGTTGATCCTGACAAACTGGTCTCTGTCACTTCTTGTGTGCTCATGGTTGAAGCCAAGTGCATGTAGGAGTTCATGCTGAATGATACCGTGATCCAGACAGCCGTACACAGACAGAGAGAGCACCTGCTTTCCTCCGTCCTTACCGATGGTAGACCAGCATCTTCAGCACAGAGGGGGACAGAGACACGGGTTTTATCTCTGGGGGGCTGCTGGTTATAGTCCACTTACTCTTTCTCTGCACTCACCCGAGTTCACTCTCAATACTGAGGTAGTCAGACTGGCCCAAGTAGGGAACAAAGCGAACACAGGTTTTCCTGTGGAACGTTTCCATGGCTTTCTTTATTGAGGCCTTTTCACTGTCATCTACAATAATAAAAAAAAGTAACTTACAAACATCCTCATACCCACTCGGTGCATTTCCTTCTTTAGTTATTGGTTTGATAATGATGGTATGAATTGTGAATAAATTCCTCAGTCCTCACAGAAGTAATCGCTGAGGCTGTAGGGTACTTCCACCAGTCCACTGTAGGATTTTGTCCATTTACAGGAGTTACTCCAGCATCTCATAGCATTCCTCTTCTTAGACAGAGCAACATCACCTTCAACCAAATCTTGGCTTATCCCTAGAATAAGACAATATGTCAGCTGTATGTAAATGCATGCAGTATGCAGTCGAGATCATGGTACATATGTGGCATACCTTCATTTGCCTCCAAAATTTTAGAGCTAATGTCGAGACGGATTGGCTTCTTGATCCTCATATCTAAATTTCAAAACAGCACTTCATCAACATGAACATCTTTTTTGCAAAAACTTGTGTTTAACGTTTGAAAGAAAGAGGGAGAAAAGGTTACCGTCTTCATTTGGTTGTACCTGGAGGGACACAAAGTAGAAGATTAAGTTACCGTTCTCTGTCAATAAAACAACAACAGTACTCAAAAACAATAAAGCCAAATATGTAGATTTATGAGACTTTTATCTGCTTATTATGACTCAATTTTACCATCTTTTAGCCCTGACTATCTCTAACTGTGCTCTTATTTATTTGCCTGATTTTTAAAAATGCAGTATTACTTTCTTCAATAATGATGAATGAAAATAAATAAATAAAAAAGAAGTATTTCTGAGACTTACCAGAGAATTGCTCTGAGTTGAAAGGCCCACCAGCAGAACCAGCACCACAGAGAAACGACGCAGATTCATTTTGACACCAAACTCTGTTTCATGGAGAATGTCCGTCAGCAGTCACCGCAGACCCTGCTCTCAGGTCTGGCTTTTATACAGCAAAAACAGGAGGAAACTGCAAACAGGCTTACTGTAAAAACAAAACATTAACCTGCTGACAAACACCTAAATGTAGACAAGGATTATCTCTAACGAGGAACTCCCAACACCTTCTCAGGCGGCAGTTATGCTATAGGGTCTGTAAATTAAAGACAGAAACCCTCCATATGAGATAGATACATTTTTATATATGAATATATTTACATACTGTATGTGTACGACAAATCCCCCACCAAAAACAAATGACTTATTAGTTTCTACTGCAAAAAAGATCTGTGTGGACAACCTGATTCCTCTCACCAAAGTCTTCAGATTAACACGTAATCTGCTGTGTCCACTGTGGACGCATCAGGAAAACACAAACGTTACACAAAGGTCCACACCCGAAGGTTTTGAATTTCCCTCATGTTAAATTGTAAAAGTCAAATAACCGTTATAACATAATGTTTGTAAAGAGATAGAAGGATACATTTCTCAGGGTTTAAAATGATTTATACGTCACTAGTCCTCTTAAAGCTCAAATCTGTTTCTGAGGAAAACTGAAGTAAAGCCACTCTTTCCATTTCTTAAAAACCTTGAAGCTTTTAGCTCGTTGGCAGACATCACGTGGAAACTTTATCCTTCCATCGAACAACAAGCCAACATCTGTCCTCATCTGGTCATTTGTCATGTCAGAGGAAAATAACACTCACTGCTCGGTAATAGTTGTATGAGACTGGTAAATGTTTTTTAAAGACAGGACGTCTAAACAGCCCAGGCAGCTCTGCTCACTCTACACCCCATCATTATTTCACTATTAGGATGACAGTCTTTTCCACTTGAAAACAGTTTACATTTACACCCACCCACACTCTAAATATGTATATATTTACAGCTGTAGTGAAAGAATTGAACAGAGCTTGAATGTTTGAATCGTCTAAACCTAAAATTCTTGGAGCTGTAGTCTTCGGTCTGTTATAGAAGCAGTCTATGACTTGAGATTGTACATAATGTAAGATGGTGTTTTCAATATCTGGAGCCAAAACAAATGAGGATCTGCAAATGTTCAAAGTTGAAGAGAATGATAAAGAGGATCAAACAAGCTGGGCGGGTCAAACAGGCTTCAGTGAGCAGTAAGTAAACCAGGAGTGCTGGGTTATACAAGTGCCAATCACAAGCTATGTTTATTAATAAAGACAAATAATTGATTTACAGATATTTACAGCATCTTAAAACTTTAATTTGTGTGAAATTGTACAACGCAAAGTAAAAAAATAATGTATAGCAAATAAAAATTATTTATAATGTATCAATGTGTAACTTCTAAACATAATGTTTACACCCATTTTTCACTTTTTCAAGAATCTACTTTTAAAAAAAAAAATCAACTTTTCCAAGATTAAAATGTTCATTCATCCTCATGGTGCTGTGATGGGCGACTGCTTTTGTGTCAGGGATGGAAGGATCAGACGCTGGTCTCAATGTGAGGTGACGTCTTACAGTTCAGAGTATGTAGGAGGAGTCTGTGCTGGTGGTGGTACCTGAAACACACAGAGACACAAAAACAAAGTAAGAGACTCAGGTAAAAGGTCTAAATGAATATTGGCGCCATCATCTGTTTGACAGGGTTACTACAAGAATTTGATTTACTCATACTTTCATGTGAATATAAGTATGAGCAGGCACATCAATATTTTATGCTTCACAAAGATGCGACACCAAAATCAGGTCACTTTTTCAGTGAAATGTTGTTACAGAGTTTACTTCAATATACATGAAAAACTTTGCACTCAACAAACTTGCTGCTTCAGCCATTTTTCAGTCAAGTAAATCACTGACTTGCTGACGACTCTTTGTATCTCTCTGTTCTCTTCTTCTCTGAGTTGGAAGAGTACGTGCTCCAGGATCGGAAGCTCCAAGTTCAGGTACTGAGCCACCTGAAAAGAAAGGAGAGGCGTGTCGATGGCAACACTGAATTGTAACTTTCTGAGCATAAATCTGCAGCTTAAAGGACAACACTTTTTAACGGGGATGTTTCCAAGCAATGAGAAAAGTTAACCTTCTGCTGCTGCGAAATTTCAAGACCATAAAAGAACATTTGTCCTGATATATGTGCTAAATTTAAAAGTGAAAAATTGGTTCTAAGCAACCACTTAATTATAAGATAAAGCTCTTTTTCTGATCACTTTAACAGACTGAATATGTCCCTCAGCGACTCATGTGAAGAACCAAAGCTACACGTGGCACAAAAGACAAATATAACATCTTTTATATTTGTGTTTAGTTACCTCACACCATAAAACAGACTGAGTAATGGAGCATTGTTTTACTAGACCAGTCTAGCCTAGCCTATAAAAAGAACCCTCCCCCACCACCACCCTTTTTAAAACCGGGGTCATCTTAAAACTCCTTATATATTTATATATATGTACACCATCATTGAATTTGTGAATCTGTTATTATCTTCTTTGATACTCAGTGAACAAAAACACCTGTTATATACCTTATACCTTCTGTCTAAAATGGACTTAAACACTCACATCGTCGCTGACTTCCTCCTCGTCTTTGTCCATTAAAAATATCCTCATGATGTCGTCTGAGGGCCCCTGTAGGATCCGCTCCCATAGTGGCTGGTCCCTGTTACTGAGCTTCCTCTTCTCTGGACACACACATACAAAACAACAGTGAAGTATATACATGTCTTCCACAGAGTTGAATGTGTAATCGAATAGACAAACCATACCTCCACTCTGGTGAACACAGTACAGGGCAAACTCCTGAGGGTCGTTCTCAATCTGACACATGGACAGAATCAATTATTGATTGATTAATCATATGAATATTGCACACTAGATTGATAAGATATGAGTGATTATACGTTTATATTTTCTGTTCTGCAGCCCTGCAGGAAGAGCAACAGTATGTAGTTTTTTTTTAATATCAGACACATGGTTCTATACAAACTAAATTATGTACTTTCATTAAAATAAGGCAGAGCAAATGCACAGAAATGAATTTGCTGCCTTCCTTCTACTGCAGTCCATTGTCTGGTCACAATATTTTTGCTGTGCATTAATCTTATTAGGTCCATACAATCACTTCCAGAGGCACTTTCACATGTGAGCTTTGCTGACCCCCCCTAGAAAACTGGAGTATACTGAGCCGTTCCAGTCTAGATTAGTTACTTTGATGAAACGCAACAGTCACCAGTTTTGGTCGAGACTAAAGAAAAAATACAAAGTAGCTCAAAATTTAATGAAAATAATGCATCATCAGATTTCATATAGAGCTTTATCAGAGACCCTCAAAGCACATTACATCGGATACATCATTCATTCGCTCACACAGTCACAGCTCGGTGGTGGTAAACTAACTTAGTAGTCACAGCTGCCCTGGAGCAGACTGATGGGAACATGGCTGCCAGTTTGTGCGTGCGGCCTCTAAGACCACCACCAAACATCACTCACAATCAAACACTAGTGGAGGACACACACTGGGAGCAAGGTGGGTTAAGTGTCAAATCAAACCACCAACCTTCCAGTTATTGGATGACTGCTCTACCTCCTGAACTATTGCTGCCCCGTAAAGACATGAACCAAATGATCTCATTTCTGTTCAAATGTGAAACAGTGGCTGAAACTTACCTTGAACTTGTTTAGCAGCTGCACAATCACCTGGTCTGTGGTCATCCTGGTGGTGATACGGACTTTAGTGGGAGTACCATGGGATGGCGTGAATATTGATGTCTGTAGGAGACAGTGAGTGACTGGTGGGCTACAGTGCAGACGGGAGTGTGAGGAATTCAGATGGAAACCTGATGAAGAGTTTCAGGTCAGCTTACTTTATAGTTGTAGAAGTGTCCATTGATGGAGAAGCGGTGCTGTCTCTCTTTCTCTCTCTGTGCTGCTGATTTCCCCCTCCCCCTCCTCCTCTTGACCAATGAGGCGTCACTCATACAGCGAAACAGGTTGGACTCGCCCCACCGGTGTCATTCCTCTGCAGGTTTAGAAGAAATGATCTCATAAACAGCTGGACCTTTGGGATGGGCAGAAACACAGAGCTTCAGCACTTGTTGTGAACAAACACATGACGTTTTTCTGAGTGATTTTTATTCAGTGTCAAAATTAAAACTAATAATTAAGATTCTTAGGATGTAAGTTAAGAAAAAAACAACAACCTGGTAGAGGATCTTGAGTGACTGTTTCCTGTGGCGTCTCGGCCATCTCATCTATCTGGTGAAGGTCGATGTACTCGCCCCAGCGTGTCATACCTCTGCAGAGTTAGAAGAAATGATTTACACGTGTAAACACTTTCAAAATTTTTTCAATAAAGATATGTTTACCTGTAAAACTTCATGTAACATTGGTTTAAAACAAGTGATGACACACTTCAAATCTCACTTTAAGCGAAATACATGAGAGATAGACGTTAGCATGGACTTCAGAACACTAAACTTGAACATGGAGAGAGTTGTAGTTGGATAAAAAGCTTCTGAAAAATCAGAGTGCCTCTTTAAAATATGATCCATTTGAGACCCATGACAGACTTTGCAGCCACAAAACTGGGTTTGGTACATGAAAGAGTAAGAGGAGCCTTTTCCAAAGCTCATGAGCATCAATATAACGTTGTACTTCACAATAAAAGGCGTCTGTGGTTCTTTACATTTCAATCAGTTTCATTAAGATGTGATTCATAATGAACAAAAGCTGAAAATGACCTTTTATTTCCAAGCGGGCTGACTGGACTGACAGGGTCAGGTGGGAGCAGAGGCACAAAGGGAAGCATCTGTTTATCATCTTGTATTTTGAGCCTGATGAGCCTCCGTACTCCCCACGAGATATTCAGGAAGCCTTCCACCACCACCTCTCCATCATCATCCTGTTACAAAGACAGAACATTGACACAGTTATTGTGTAATTACAGTCATAAATTCACTGAAAACATTTCCAGGATGTGAAAGTTATGACCTATAATCAAATTTCCAGTTGTAATAAGGAAGAAAAGTAAGGAAGGAAAAAAGGAAAGGAAGGATAGATCTTATTTTTCTACAATGTGTAATAAAGCCGTCTTGGGCTTCACAATAAAGACACAATGACTGACATACAAACAACAGTCAAAATGAATTAAATATTGCTTTTTGAAGGACAATGATGTAAACAATATAAGAAAAAAAAACTGGTACCTGGGAGAAACTGAGGTGCAGCTGAGTCTGGTCCTTTAGATAGCAGTTGTAGGTTCTCAGTAGGGAGAGAAACTCGGCTCTGCAGTCGACACAACAGCAATGATCAAGAATGTGAATACAGAGCTAAAGGCAATAAAAAAACTATAACACATGATATAGCAGGGATGCTAGACAATAAAAGTAATTTCCCCTGACACTTGAGGTTAATATTGCCTACATTATTTGTTATCTATAGAGTTTCTGCGACTCACCTGGACAGTGTCCTCCCATCTCCTGCCTGGATTTCTGGGAGGAGCGCTTGTTTCTTCATCTGTGAGAAGAAAACAGAAGATCATTCATAGCAGCAGCTTGAGTGATCAAACAGCAGAAAGGGATAAATCCTGAAGTTGAACCAAGAAGCTGCTGACTTGTTGAATGAAATCTTGGCGTGCTTTTTGTTCTCTGCAAGAGGCCCAGGCTGCAGCATGTCAACACGGAGTCAGGAGTTGCACAAAAATGAACTAATTTGCACTTGCCCGACTAGCAGCTCTCCCAAAAATAGATATAATTAAAGTCTTACCTTCTCTAAATCAGAGCTCCCTTCTGGAGTCGATGTCTTTGTCTCCGTCTTTCTTCTTTCTGAGCTTTAAATATCTCTTTCCTCTCCCTCTCTCTCCCTTTTCTTTGAAGTTTTTGTGTTATATTTATCTCTCTCCTTCTCCCTCTCTGGCCATGCCTACACTCTTTTACTTTCTTTTTTAGAGCTTGTCTCTAAGAGATTTAATAACAGTACTCCACCCAGTAACCAGTGATGACAGTGCAGGCTGAGCCGTGTGTTTACTCTGTGGGGAGAGACGCTGAAGCCCATAAGCCGGAGAACAGATTGTTGGAATATCCATGTGGCAGTTCTTTACTGACATTAAATGTCTTCTTGTCGTCTTCCTCTTGTCTTTCTCTGCCTTTTTTGACACAGCAGTCTTCCTCTGCTTTTTCACTTTCTACGTACCTCTGTCTCAACCTGTTTGGTTGTAAGAAATATTTCTGGTATTCGTCAGTTGTCATTGGCCCTATTACTGCACAGTCTGACTGGAAGTTTACTTTTGTAAAGACCATTACAAACCAAATTTAAAGCTGCAGTATGCAATTTTATATTCAATCTGTCTTTGAAAACATGGGAAACCCCTTCGTGCCAGTTCAAAAGAAATATGGCTGTTGTAGTATCTTCAGACCCAGCAGACACTATCATATTTCCTACAACACCTGAGAGCTTCACTGAGGAGTTTTTCACATTAATGAAACTGACTGAAAATCATGTTGATGACGTTTAATGATAAACAACAACAAACAAGACCAGCAGGTGAAAAAATTGTGCAAGGGGGTATAATAAGTTCAGCTCAAGAAACAGCCTGTTTTTCACTATTTTAACATAAAATAATCACAATAATTGACACATTTGACTGTCAAAAGTCAGCAGAATGAGATTTGGTGCACTGTAAAGTAGTTACACTGGCTGCAGTAGTTTTTCTACACCTGGCTGAATGGAAGCTGCATGTCAAAGGTAGCTGAGGTATTGCACAAGGACTGACTCTACATGCAGTGTGTCTTAAGATGGTTTTAATCACGAGTCAGTGTGACTTTCTCCTCTTCTCTCCATAGTGATATGATCTGCTGTACTTTCGGTGAGCTCTACACTTGCAATAGTGGCAGTTTAGAGCTGAGGAAGGGGTTAAACCATGACAAAAATTCACCTTGTAATTCCATGTGGCTTTTTTTAAACTGAAAAACCGAGTCTTTGCGCCTTTCATTTTAATCTGATCATTTAGATGTCAAAAAGAGACCACTTATATAAAGAAATTTAGGCAGGATTGGCACACACATGTATGCTGCACACATGTATACAAGTTTCCTTATCCTTTAATTTCTCTTTTGTATTTGTATTTTCCCCCCCTGTGTGACTAATAAAGGTATATCTTATCTTATCTTATCTTATTCAGGAATCTTTACCACTTTTTGTCAAGTTGTCACAAGACATTTTTCTTGTGAATGAAGAGGGTAAAGATGGTTAAGGGCGTGTAAATCCATGTGCCTGAAAAAAAAAATCATAGCCAGCAGGAAAAAAAAAAGCCGGTGTATACCATGACACACCCATTTTCTGTCTTTATTACCTTCCTGTATGTCACTCCTCCCTCTCTGCTCCTCTTTCCTCTCTTCTCTCTCTTTGTACTGTATTCTAGGATGTGATACTTCTGCGCTGGACGCACAGATTTGATCTGAAAATGCAGTGCTAGAGTAGATCTCACAATTTAAAGCAATCCGAATAAGAAACTTACTCTAATGTTAGACACGAGTTTGTGTAATTTGCTACTAAGACATTCATTAAAACCTACATAAGTAAACACTCAAACCCTATCAACCTTTATGATACAATAAATCAAACAAACAGGATAACTTCATAAAGAAGCAGCAGCTACTTCCCTTGATTTCTGTCCATGTGCAGTTCAGCACGTTCACACAAAAAGAAGCATTTTTTAAGATAGTCAAAGAAATGTTCTCTTACCTGGCCGGCCTTCCAAGCTCCAAGCTCTTGAAGTCAGTTCAGTCCATGTTACTCTGTGTTAGTGTGTGTGTTTGTATGTTTGTGTCTGAGTTAGTGGGTTCAGAGTACAGTGCATGTGGCAGGAGTTGAGTTGGTGTAGCGCAGTGCGGCAGCTGGTTAATCATTGCAGGACATGTTGAGACAGCAGTAAAGGGAGGGGCTGACTGACACCTGATCTGACTAGTCTGCTTTGTGTGTCAGACGAATGAGAGGGAGCACAAAAGACAACCAGGTGAGAAAGAGTTAACTCTTCATAAACTGTAAGCGAGATTTACCTGACTAAAAGTCCCCAAGCCGATTAGCTGGTAAGAACAATGTGAGGACTGTAATTTGTGCAAGTGTAGCAGATCCTGATTCAGCTCTGTCTGGATCCAATCTTTGTCTTAGCCTGAACTACTAAACATCAAACCTCTGCTAGTAATTATTACTTTCAAGGTGCAGCACAAATGCAGCTGGTTGTACTACATTTTTGCTGCAATATACTGCATCTGTACATATATACATCTGTATTTCATATGGTAGTGCAGGGGTTAACTCTGTTGCCTCACAGCGGTTCCTGGTTCAAATCCCCAGCTGATCAGGGCCCTTTTTGTGCAGAGTTTGCATGTTCTCTATCCCTCTGGATACTCTGGCTTCCTCCCACAGTCCAAAAACATGCTTTGCTAATTAAGTGGTTACTCTAAATTGCTTTAATGTGTGTGTGAATGGTTGTGTGTCTCTATAAACCAGCCCTGCGACAAACCCTGTCCATGTTTTACCCCAGGGGCATTGCTAGGCATAAAGCTCTACTGGGGCACAGGCTCCCGAGTACATCTCCTTCCTCCCATAGACACACACACACACATACACTCTCAACACTCTGAGTGACCTTTCACATCTACAGCTATTGACTGGAATCGTTAGGGAGATCTGAGTGAGGGAGGGATCACATCCATCACAAGCAGGTCAGAATGTAAGGGAAACACTGGTGGATACAACGCATAAACAACTGTGCCAAAGTCTTGTTTTTTTGTTGTTGTTTACTCCAGCCGTACCAGCCCACCGGGAAAACCAGTCTGTCCCTGGTGTACCCGGCTCTTACCCAATGACAGCTGGGATAGGTTCCAGTGCCCCAGCAACCGCATGTGGTAAAAGAAATAAGGATAGATGTACTTCATATATATACCCTTAATCCTCAAATATAGACCACTTCTATATTTTACTTCCTCAGGTATCAGGCCTTTCTTTGAGGCAGGCCTTTACACCAAATTCTATGTCTCTGAGATTTATAACTGTTCATATTTGACCCAAAGTGAGGGTCTTATTATGTTATGTTCGCGTCAATATAATTAGATTGCAAATGACAAAGTCTCAAACCATTAGAGTAACATTTTTAGCAACGGTTGAATATTGATGAGCATCATCACACCGAACTTTTAGTGATAAGGACGATTTCTCCTCTGAAGGACCCAGAAATAACAAATCCATAGGTGAATTTATTTTTATAACAACTAATTAAAAATGTAATATGGCTCTGTCTATGGCTCAACTTTCCACGTACAGACTGAGCTGAAACAGACTCTCCTGTGTTTGGTATGTTTTTCTTTTTTCAACCACACAGGGCTACCGTAGCTGCCATACAGAGGCTGTTACTGCTTTAAGAAGAAGAACTTTATCAATCCCTGAAGGGAAATTCAATCGTCTGTTGTCTGACTGGACATGTCTCTAAAAGTTATGTACTATTTACACGAGAGTTATAAAGTCTGATGGCTGTTGGTACAAAAGATCTTCTGTCTTCTGTCCTTCTGTCCCACTGTCCTGCAGTGAAGAGAGAGGAGCTGTCCACCACCATTGGCCCTTTGGTCCATCAAGGTGTTGTGAAGGTGTTTAAAGGTGTTTAGTCTGGCTGATGTGTGTTTGGTCAAAAACAGTTCAAGTCTTGGTTTGGAGCTTCATATTGGTGCCCCATTTATTATGGCCTCTTTGAGTTAAATCAGTCAGGTGAACTCAGAATCTATTTTTGTCGTTGCCATTCAGCGCCCTGCCAAGACGAGGACTCATAGGTGCAGGTGACTCATACTGGACGACCTAGCCTGATTAGGGAGTAGGTGGTGGAGGGGGCAGGTCACAGGCTACAAGAGAGATCAGGAAAACAGACCTATACTGTATGTATGGAGGCCCAGGGTGGACATATCCAATTTAAGGCTGAAATCATGAAACACATGGTGTACCATTTCAGAAATATTAGTATGATTTGATTAAAAATATTGATTTAAACAGCATTATTGTCATTATTTGTTTTCATGTCTATGACCTTTCTTTATTGATGAATTACCAACAAGTAGATTTTCAGGTTGGCATCTACATTTCTGTTTTCTTAACTCCATATTTGCAACAGCAGGTTCTTCAGTCATTGAGTCTAATGTCAAGGGAAAAGATCATGATGTAAATAATAGAGCCTCACAGTACAAGGGTTGTGGGTTTGAATCCCTTGTGGGGCCTGTCTGTGTCAAGCTTTCATATTCTATCCATGCATGTATGGCTCCCTAAATTTCTGGTAGATGTGAGCATGTTTGACTGTCTGCCTTGGCATCGTGATAGGCAGGTGATCTATCAAAGATGGCAGGCAGAATAGTCTCCAGACCCGGCAGCTCGAAATGGGATGAATGGAACTTTATATGTTAATGTACAGTGTGTCACAAAACATAAAACCATGATGATAAAAGATTGTAATACAAATAAATATGTTCAAATTTTATTGAGTTTATGTTATTAATTAGGTAGAGAGGCACAGCTGCACTGACTTCAACACCCTGAGATGTAAGGAAACAAAGAGTTTGCTCACTGGTATATAAAAAAATAATCAAATTAACAGCCAGACTCTTTTCTCTACCTACAAGCAAAAATGTTGTTTACTCCAATAAAACAAATGTGACTCCATTTTTTTAACTTTATCCACCTTTATTCTGGACGCAGTGAGTTCATCGTGGTCACGAGGGTCTTTGGGAACAACCTTGGGGTTTGCCCTCTCTTAAAATGAAGCAGCTGTTTTGGTTTAACTGTTAGGATAAACAGTGTAACTCAATATACAGTATGTTTATCACAGAGCACACAGCATGTTGGTGCTCATAAAAATAATACTCTTCGCAGAAGCTTGATGGACCAGCTACATGCCATTGGTGGGGATCACAGTAATCGAGCACTAATACATCGTCAGTATCCAACGAGTAAATGAAATGTACTATTTCAAAATGTTTGCCAGACTTCGATTACTCAAGTTTCAGAGGCCATTGCTGTGATTTAGTCCTGGAGTAGTTCTTCTCTGTGTCAGCAGAGGGAGTCAGAGGATCAGTACTACAGATGTGTCATCTATACCGCTGAGGTGAGGAGTTCAAATGTACACATCTACACAATAAAGTTATTTTTTTGATAATTTCCGCTGACATGAGTGATCTTAATATATATATTGACCTCTGAAGAGAAAACAAAAATAAGGCTTCTGGAAAAAGGGGTTGTGTTATGGACAGTGTTCAATAAACCTAATTTATATGTATATTCTGTACACATGTATGCCTATTCTGTGTATATAGTCATACATATGAATATATCACTTTTTCAACTGTAATATATCAACATGTACATAACAGCTGTAAATAACACTTATGTATATATCTCTTTAAAAAAAAAAAATGTATACATCTTTTGAACTCCTAAGTTTCTTCATTCTTAATTTCTTCTTTTGTATTTAAAGCTGCTGTGGATTTGGAATTTCTCCTAGAGGGACGAATAAAGGAATATCTTGTCGTATCCTGACAGTATCTTGCTGTACAGCACAAATGATCATGTGCAACAGCACCACCCAGTGGTGTGAGGTGTTATCAGAGACAGAGCTGCTAAAATCATGCACTTACACAGGTTTACTCTTTGTATCGTATGACTGTGAATGTGTCATAATATTTTTTTTCTATTATATATTTCATATACACGAGGATGAAGACTGAGACAACAGCTCGGCACAAGCTGGTGAAAAGAAAATAATATTAAACCTGGGGAAGAAACCAAATCATCACCTTTGTCACAAGGCATGATAAAAACAGGGGCATTGCACTGAATTGACTTTTGAGTGATTTTCCTGTTCATGATAAAGAAGTTAAAATATTTTCAGCAGCTCATTCAAACAGTCTGAACATATGTAACATTCAGATTCACTAAAAAAGCAAAACAAAAAGGGAGTAATGCTTTTATAACAACATACAACATCGTGTGTGTATGCTTAACTCTGCCTACTGAGAGAGTACAATAGTTGATGCCATCCAAAACAGAATGGATAAGCAGCAAATGAAGTGAAATGCCATTCCTTTCCTAAAATAAAACAGGACATACAGGCTGGCAGGCAACAGGTGGACAACACAAAGGCTACATCCTGACTCCAAGTGTGCGTGTGTGTGTTTGTGTGTGTGTGTCTGTGTGTGTGTGTGTATGTGTACACGTGCCAAAATGTAACTGTATATAGAAACTAGTGACAAATAGTCCCATGTAAAGATTTGCCGGTCAAGTGACGATGTATGTTTAGTTTACAAGTTGAAAGACTTTTTGTTTTTTATTCATGTTCACATGTTGTTTCGTTGTGTGTTAGTGTAGTTTGAATGCATGACACGATGATGAGAATAAAACTCAATGCCTGTTCAGTTCACTATAACTCAAACTGTGGATTTTTTTTGTTTGTTTTAGGCATGTCTGATGTGAAGTTTTATCCTGTATTATTTTGCTGCTTTTTTGTAATTGGGCTCTAATTGAAGAAAAGATTTAAATTCTGCAGTATTAAAGTGTATTTGTCTTCATTTTGGTTTCAGGTTTTGTAACAGCTTCTGTAACACAATGAATGAACCTGTGATATCATGACTAATCCGTGGACTGACGCTGTTGTTGATTACTGTAACTGTTCAGCCCTGGAGCCGTTGGAGCTCAGAGAGTAGCTCCTAAACCTGAGTGACTGTATATGAGGACAGCGAGCAGCTGCCACTGTCCATCACGGTCCACACATACACACATGCACACACACACAGTGACTGAGCCAGTCCTTCTTGAGCACAGAGCTCATGGCTGTCCCTGGCTACGACACACGCAGACGCACAGAGTAGAAACACAGCAAGTGATCCAGCAGGAGAGTCTTTTTTACCTGCCATGGGAGTCTAGCAAACAGCCTGTACTGAAACTGATCACTTTGTCAACAGGGATCACACTCTGGAGCGAGGATGAAAGTTGTGGGGACAGTCTCAGTCGTCAAGGTCCTCTTTTTCCTGATTCTGGTCACCTCAGCTTATGGACTACAAAGAGGTATGTAAGGTTGAACTTGGTGAACTCGTTGTTTTTGTCATTTCTTGTCAAAAGGGTGGGGGAAAAAATCACATATTCTATGAATCAGCAAGAATTCTGTGTAGTTCAAAGATTGGATTATTGTAATGATCTCTCAAAAGAAGCAGGAAACTGTATGTACATTTTTGTCAAACCTCCCCTTTGAATATATGAATATGTGAGTGATCAATCAGCGCCACCAAAACAACCAACAGTGGGAAGCTTCAAGAAAAATAAAGTCATGGTTTATCATGAAGAGCTTCCTCATTCTTGCATCTGCCCCCGCTGAAAAGGATGAAGATTGAGTATCTTCAAAGTTGATTGGCGTTCATGCAGATCATCATACAGGGAAAAGGAGAAGGTGCTGACATGGCTACATGGTGTAAATGTGACTAAATCTATATCCTTCCTACACTTTGCTATATCCCCTCTGCAGGGGGTTGTAAAGGTGCTTGGGAGCCTGCTATTCCTGCTATGCTCTTTCTACTTCTGTTTTCAGTTCCTCCACATCAGAAAGGAACCTGTTTTTTTAAATCTGCATGAAAATAAATGTATTTCTGTATTGAGAGGGTGATTTAAATAATTAAAAAGTCACTTATTTCACTTTTGCCATTTGCAGTGGAAACATAATAAGCCCGGGGAGAATGAAACATACGTACTTCTTCTGGGCCTGTAAAGACCTCATGAAGTTTGGTCATGGCGTCACAATTTCAGGACATGTGAGATGGGTACCAAATGCTGGCACAATTTTAGAGTCACATGCACAGGCCTGTAGAGTAGATCATTGACATACAATACATGTTTTATAAGCACAGATGAATAGTGTGTGCTGCTGCACACTGGATCAGAGGGACAGCTGGTGTAGATGCTGGCACATTCTGCCAGGTTAGATATCATAGCTGGTGAGCTAGGTGGGGTCTTGTAGGACTGTGCTTGGCAAGCAACCTGTGCTATGGGCTGTATGTCAGTGATTAAAAGCCTGAAATGCACAACTGTATGTAGATGGCATCTTCTCATTGGTCCAAATCACCATAGGCATCCTGTCAGGGACAACCAATATATTGATTTATCTGTGAGTCATGTTTTATGAGTATGGAGCTTTTAAAGAGTTCGCTCAAGATGTAAACACATCAGGAAACAGAATCAAAGGATGTTTGGTTTTCCCTGAAATTTTTCAGAGTCATTTGAGTTTTGTCTAAAGCTACAATTTCAGTTAACAAACATGGATGTTTACCTTATTTATTCACTGTTTCCTCAGCTGCTGATAGAAATTATTTGTACAGTCTGGGTTTTAGAGGATTCTGCTCTACATGGAAGCTACAGCCTAAAACTCAATTTGATAAAACATCAACTTGAGGTTGTTTAAAGCTCCTGTGAGGAACTTTTGGTTTGTGTCAGTTTTGGCGCCCCCTTGTGAACAAAGAGTCTGTGCTTATCTTGTCTGCTACATGCTTCAGTAATAACTCATGACAAAAAGTCTCATCCTGCTGACTTTTCCCACTCATATGTGTCATTTACAATGAATACAGGGCTGGGCCTCACACTGGTGTCAGACAATATAGAGACGATTTTGTTTCTCATCGGAAGGCATCAACATGAATTTCGGTCTATTCTGTAAATGTCAGAAAACTTCTCATAGGACCCTTTCGAGTTAATGTTATTCTCATGCAAATAGCATACAATTTTTAACTTTTATTAGAGCCATCTCAACCTTTTCCTATGCTTTTTGTGGTATAGCATGAGAGAACAACATTAAAATAAAACAGTAAAGCCTAATTTTAATGGTCTAACTCTTTATTTAATGCTATCAAACTGTAAACTATAATCTGTGGACAGTAGAGGAATCAGTGGCTGGTAGCAAACTTTATACACCCAAAGACAGACTACTTCAGTTGTTGCTATTAGTACACTAGAGTAAAACATGCAAGAAGAATGAGCACTTACATTTGTAAAAGGACCTCTGTAGGTGGAGAAGTTGCTCAACATGTCTGTGTGAACCTCTACAGAACAATATATGAGCCCCTTACAGACATCTAATTCACTGACATGCTTAAGAACATCATGATCTTTCTTCATCATTCCTCTTTTTTGACCAAAAATGAAAAATCATGGAAAAAAACTATCTTGTCTGTTGGAGTCAGAGAGTGCACTGTTTGCAATTTGACTTAAAAGCATGGAAAAACCCCAGAGGACAAACAGTTGATCACCAAAGGGACCGCATGGGATGTTATAAGTTATGGGCTCCGATGAAGGTCACGGCTACGGGAAAGAAACTGAGGTAAAGGGTGATGAAGAAAACACAAAGGATGGAGCGAACGAAACACAGAGGAGATGTAAACATGAGTAGAGGAGTTATAATGGAGGTTGGTACGAGAAACTATGTCCTAAGAAATAAGTAACTTGTACAAGTTCAACTTTTTGCTCAAACATGAGGATTACAAATACAGTCCATGATCATTACGAAGAGACGACATCAGCGAAGTATTTCCTTGCCAGCGATCAAAAAGGTCAAATAATTATACTGAGATGTACCACATGAAACTATATTTACACAAGGATCCATGCAACCAAGTCTGCAAGACTTCTCGTGCACAACAACATCTCTCTGAGTAAATAGCTTTTGCTCACATCAATACAGTATGTTCCCAATGCCACTGCTGACTCACTTGTGCTGACTAAGTTTAATGTTTGAGTTCGCCGTCACAGATCAGCATGTTTGCCTGCTAATTACCCGAAAACAATATACAGCTGAGTCCGATCTTAGTGTGCTTACATCGGTTTGCTTGAGACCAAAATAGTGGATAAGACTGATGCCGTGTCCACAATAGATAACCACCTAAGTTATCAAAGTTTCAGAGAAGAGTACGTGAAGAAGTTCCAGCTGATGGTTTGTTTTTCTTATTGGATGTAAACTTACGTCACTTGAGTTGATTCTTTAGGAGCAGCACAAGTTTACACAGAGTTTCAGATCAGCTCCAGACATCTATAGGCATTTCATCAAGTGGTGGATCCGCGTTGCCAAGGAGGCTAAAATAAACGTTTCGTGATGCATACATCCCATAACTAAAACAGCGATTCTATAGATTTATCACTCTCTCTGAACCTTGGCTGCATCCCAAGTGTTAAAAACTGAGTCCTAACCTCATGTCAGGGTTTCACTTTGATTTACGAGAGCTTTCTCCTTGTCACCTTTTCATGAGCCAAACAGAAACGCTGACCTCGACTTGTGGATTGGGGGGGTTGGGGGAATTGTTTGCTTGTAATGCTATTGTGAAATCTTTGTTTCACAATAGACAAAACAAGCTCAGTGTCCTTCAGATCTTTAGTATTTCCTTTCTATCTTTTCTTTTTCCACTCTTCCCTGGATTTGTTTTCTCCAGCTCTGTTCTTTCCCTTTCTTCTCCCCCCTGTTTTCTATTTTGCCTCTTCCTCCCCGTAGTTCATAAAAAGTTTAAAGTAACCCTGATGTCTCTCAGCTGGTTAGAAAAAACAGTTGCTGCCTCATCCCTGCTACTTCTATTATCTTTCCTTTCCCCTTTCAGCATGTCTTTGATTTCAATCCCTTTGTCTTTCCCCTTCTCTTCGATGTATTTACCAGAGCTAGATAATTCATATCAGATTTTCTTGACTGGGATTTTCTAGAAGTATACCCTGCACCTCCTTTTCCTACATCCTCTTCATGGACAAGGTTGATTACATAGTTAAAACAAATATTGATCATACCTGCACAGTGGGTTTTTTCTAGTTTATATCACGAGATGTAGCAGATGGTTCTGATTTCTATACTCACTGTATAAAAAAATGGTTATTTGCCCACTTTCACTCTAACAAAGGCCATCTGCTGAAATGAGATGGTGGTGAATGATGCGGGGATAGAAGATGAAACACATCTTTGAACATTAAGTTAAAATATTATTACTCCAACTTTGTCTGAAAAAAGGAAAACAAAGCTTTAACTTACCCAGTTTAATAATGTGTCTTGCATTCTTTCTCAATTCTCTATCTACACTTTGTTTAAAGCCGAAGGTTTCCAAATGCTTAGATTTAGATATCTTTAACAGTTTAATGTTTAATTTTCTCTTACCCTTGTGATCCTTCTCATGTGGTGAACCTCACAACCTCACATTTGACGATCAACAGTCATAGCTGAGGCTGAGCGACTAAAACAAACGACTCACTCTAAAACACGGATGTTGAAAATCCAAGCAGTTAAAGTCCCACTCAGATCTTTTTTTTACTACTTAAAGTGTTCTCAGTGGTCAATAAATTATAATTATGGAGTTATGAGTATGAGTCTTGGGCGGAGACAGAGCTACTCTGCACAATCCTCTTCACGCTAGCTTGTAGCCTAACGTTGCCGGTGTTGTAGAAGTGGCAGGTAACATAGAAGCTATTCAGCTCTCGGACACTAATGTCTTTAGGGAAATGATGAAAGTTATATTTACAGTTAGCTTTCTTATGAACATTGCAATCCACTACCACACATGCATGTTTCGCAATCATCCTGGCTGTTTCCCCGAGTCTGGCCTGCATAGCAGGGCTCCAGGGGCGGAGTTTGAATTTGCTACATAGGAAATCTCACTCTGTCTGAGTCTGCCAGAGATTCACAGCAATTTGAATGTAGAAATACTCAGGAATGCAATTTCGCTTTTCTCATCTGTCCTGTAGGATCAGAAAAATGCCATATGAACATGTAGACAACAAGAAAACATGATTTTCAACGGAGTGGATCTTTAACAATAAATGGAACCTGTAAGATCTATCCGTTTGCACTTCCATTAGTAAGACTGTTTTGTATGAAACACACTCAGTTTTCAACCTTACACATTCCTTCACATTAGAAAATCAAAAGCACATTCACATTTTATATTTACTGATAGACTTTAAAACTCTCTTTTTTGTGTGTTTATCACCTAGCGCCTCGTATCATCACCTTACTGGAGACAGTGGATGTTCTTCTGGATCACAATGCCACCTTCATCTGTGAGGTGGAGTCCCGCCCCCCTGCTGAAATTACTTGGACGAAGAACAACCACCAAATAATGTAAGCATTTAGAAGTTCATACTTCATCACCATAACTCTTTTTCTGCAGGTTTAAATGCCGTGAAGCTAACAGAAGCTAAAATAATCTGTGCCCTTGATATGAAATCATGCAGTCCCAACGCTTTGAATGATGTTTTCTGATATTCTGTAGTATCTCCACACTACTCTCTTTGATACCTTCAGGGCTGCTGCTGAAATATGAAATCTAAGGCGTCATATAATCCACAAGAGTTAAACACAGCAACATATTAACTTAGGAGAACGAATATAGTCAAGTCAATCATGTAGTACAGATGGGAGAGAGATATTACAAGCCTGAATTTGCATGATCACATGATCACATTTTTGTCCCACCAGGTACTATGACCCCCGATACATTACCAGGGAACAGGGTCAGATGCTCGTCATCCCTCGTGTAAGGGAGCCAGACAACGGAGAGTACTGCTGCATAGCGAGTAATGGTATAGGAGAACCAGCCAAAAGCTGTGGAGCGCTGCAGCTGAAGATGAGTATGTTTCGATCTGGGTCAAACTGAAACTCTGTGCACATTTTCTGAATGTCGTAATTTTCACAAGGAAGAGCACAATATAAGTTTTCATACAGAAGTGAAGTCACTGAGTCCTGTTTTTCAAATCCTCAGAGCCACAGATCAAACGCCACCCGACCAATGTCACCCTCCTGGTAGAATCCAAAGCAGTTTTGCCCTGTGTCACCCTTGGTAACCCCAAACCAGACGTCACGTGGCTGAAGGATGATGAGCTTATCAAGGCATGTCTGTTTTTTTCTCGTCTTTTCTTTCAACCCAAATGAATAATTTTTTAAATGAATGAATGAATGAGAGGCATTACAGGTACTACATGTTGTCATCTCTCCCAGATCAGCGACCGTGTCACCATCCTTGACTATGGTGCACTGAAGATACATAACATACAGAAGGAGGATGCTGGACAGTATCGCTGTGTGGCCAGAAATAGCTTCGGCTTGGCCTTTTCAAAGCCTGTGACCATAGAGGTCCAGGGTATGTACTGTATGTAAATATGGATTCACCTCCTGCTTACCAAGTACATATGTTCTTTTGAAACTGTATTTCCAAACAGTGCAATGCAGTCGATTGGCTGCTGTTTATGAGTTGGATTTAATGTGTGGTGTTTCTTCTTGTTGTGTGTCATGTGCGCTCAGCTCCAGCACGGATCCTGCGGGTTCCGAAGGAGAAAAGGGTCGCATATGGAAGCCAGGTTTCTCTGGAATGTAATGCCACTGGAAATCCAATCCCTACCATCACCTGGCTGGAAAATGGGAATACTGTGAGTGTTCAGATTTTGGATTTTGGAGAGTGTATTCAAACAGTACCAGTCATCTAAATGGACCATGATCAGAGCGCTTTGCATGGTGGCTGAGGGAAAGTACCTTTTAACAGGCAAACCAGACTCAGCTGTGTCATAATGGGACAGTGCTAGAGGGATGGATAGAGACAGACAACAACAACAACAACAGCCCATCCCAAACACGCTTATAGTTACAATGCCAGAAGTAAAAGTGAATGTATTTGCATGATTAATAACGGTAATAGACTGGTCTTTGTGCTTACGGCAGTCAAAGCCAAAAGGTTGCATATTAGCATTTACAATAATGATGCTAACAATAAGGGTTGGAATGAAATTATCATTCCAGTCTTCCTCCCACTCACTGTCCATGTCTGATTCCTCAGGCTGTAACAGATGCAAGATGCTTGTGATATCTCCAAGAATAATTTGGTCTTGTTCACAGTGGTTGAGTTTCGCTCAAACACACTTCAAGGCAAAAGGAATCAGACACAATAGTTGAACACAATGTCAGCTGCAAAGAATTACATAATGGTTGCTGTGACAATAACGGATTAGACGGCCAGGAAAGCCGAATAAATTCTCACTTAGAATTTGTGCACGGTTTATTCACTTATATCTTGCTTCATCAGCCTCCATGCATGTTCCTCTCCTTCTCCCCCGAACAAACACACACATGCACGCACACACAGTGGAGATTGGCTGTGGGATCAGTGTTATAAACAGTCAAGGAATTCTCATTATGATGACAGAGGATTGAAGAGATTCACTTCCATTTAGCCAGTGATTCACAGTGTTATTAGCTTTAATTGAGAGTGAGCGCCGAGATCTTTACTGTGTTGAAAGGTTTTTTAAACTGCTGACTTGAAGGACTCTGGATGTAGGACTTTTACACAGGGTTGGTGTTTAATCATATATTAAAAACACACAATTAAAGAGAATAAAGTATCTCAAAGAAATTTAATTCAAAAGAAAGTTTTTTTTTTTCTTAAACAAAACCCAATTCAACCCATTCAACTCAGGGATATCAGGGTCATGTTTGACCAACTTAAGAATGTTCATCAGTGTTTTATATGTGCATAGGTGTGTTGTGCGGGCAGACTTATACAACATAATATCTGGTCATTTTATACCCCTCAGTTCTTGCTACGATGTGATTACAGGCCCATAATGCTTGTAAACAATGTGTGTGTGTGCCTGTTGATTAAAATTACTGCATGGACTGCTTTTCTGGCAGCTTGTTGAGGTCGTTAATTTCAGTGTGACGGGAACAAGCTCGTCCTCCAAACAGGCGCTGTCTAAAACAGCTTTAAATATAGACACACTGCACTTCAGCACTTACACAGAGACTGTCACATAAAGCATTTTATAAATATTTATACGAGTGTGAATACATGCCCTAAAACCAACCAAACACTTTTGTCTGTCACCATCTGCCTGGTGTGAATACCAGGGAAACTTTAAATGTCTGACATGATTACAAGTGGTTATATTACTGTTACATTTGTATACACTCAGTTTAATCAACTTAACACCCGTGACACCATTAAATGAACGATCAGCGTTTGATCACTGTCCATCTGAATTTTTTTTTTATATATGACCGGCTTTAAGCTGCTTTCTGAATTGCAGTAATTGCAGTAAAACTAAACTGACCTGCACCTTTTCCTTCTCATATTTTAGTTGGCAACTCCACTTTTGCTGCTGCCACCCTGTGGTGAATGTGGGCTACATAGGATATAAGATAAAGTTCATTTGTTTGACTTGGTCTGAGTCACTTGAATCCCCCTTGAACCATCCTTGCTACCTGGTGTCTACCATGTTTTGCAGATGGTTTCCAAAAAAGATCTCGGTATGTCTGCTTTCAGACAAACTTAACTATACTTATATAAAAACACTTTGAGGGTTTACTCTTGCAGAGTCAATACTGAGTGCTTTGAGGTTTGAAACTTCTTCCTAAGTATGAATTCACTGTGATGGTTTCAGCTCAAAAAAGTGCAAAATATGTCCTCTGTAAAAGCAGTAAAGATTGTGTAAATTCTGTTCGCTTAATTTATATTTTTATCAATCCATGTTCAGACAACTTAAAGACAGAAACCCTCTGAAAAAATACAGTCTACAGTATTCAATTACTGATTGTCTGAGCAGAAGGGTCAAAATTTCTTTGGAATTAATTGAGCCAGAGCTAAAGATGGGGAATTAAAGGGATATTCCGGCGTAAAATTAAGTTAGGGTCAAACACACCATAACACTGAGTTAGAACGCTCAGGGAAGAAGTGGACACGAGACTGAGTGTTGCTTTTGAAATGGAACCATATATTAAAGCAAGCAGATAATAACCACAGTGCAATTATTTACAGTGACATATAAGGACATACATAACATGGAAATGATAAAAGAAGTACAGTGCAATAAATCAGTGAAGTCAGACAATGTAAATCAGTTCAATCAGTTAGTCAAACAACGCGATGACCAAATAAGTAATGGGCATTTGGCCACCAACAGTTCCTCGCAACACAACAACCCACGTCTGGGTGGAAAGGTGTGAGTCCAGAGGATTGGAGGAAAAGGGAAAATGTTGGGTGGAGTGTGTGTGTGTGTCTGGATTGGTGGGCTGTACAGTGGGGTGAGCGTGTTGCGGCTACAGGGAGCCCCTACCAGCCTGGCAGGAGAGATGTGGGCTTCCTGGGTCTGTAGGTCACTTCCTTTTAGCTCGCCATCTAAAATCTGAGAACCTGGCCTGTAAAGCCAGGGTTCAAGTGAATCACAATGTTACAATCAATATACACTGCTCGAATTTCAGTGTATACATATGTCTTTTCAATCAAAGTACTGCAGTTCAATTCAATCTCAACATAATCATCATAATCCACAATAAGTACATAGCACTTGCCATTAGTCCAAATAAATGAAATTTGCAGCATTTATGTTAAATACTCATTTCATTCAATACATTCGATTCAGGAATCAATGTTAAATATTAGCAATCACCGTTACATTTTAGAGCTAAGCATTGGCATCATCCAGCTAACACCATCCATTCATCTGAATGGAGGTGGCTAAGCTATCAAGACAAACAATTCTGCTCACCTGTTCACAGTTCAATCTTCACATCTACAGCCCTCCTCAAATCACCACAGACTAGTAACGGGCTCCTATGAGTTCAATAAAGTTTGTTACATAAGGTTGTCCGTTTGTATTAGTGAAGAACCAGCGACAATGGATAAAAACCGACCTGTTGCTCATCTGTCTCCTGCTTCCAATCACACTGAATTACCGCGGTATGATAATCAAACGTGATTGGCGCCGCGGCGTCACATGCCGGTATGACGACATCGCGTACTTCGTTCTGATTGGCCGAGCGGGCCAGGTATCGATCTCGCGAGAACGGGATCCAAGAATACCGCGAAAAGAGAAACAGGAACTGAATATGATTAACAATGAGAAGCAGGGGTTGAATTATCACCTGGGTTACATGTGTTTGACCGTAAGTTAATTTTACGCCGGAATATCCCTTTGAGGAATTATTTTTAAACTTAACTTAAAATGAACGAATCATATTCAGCCGTAATTTTGGATTATTTACAAATAGACCAAAATGTTTTAATATTTGACTCCTAGAAATCAATCCACCACTCATTTGCTTGATGTCACATTTTTGCTTTTCTTCTCTTCATGTCTGTCTTTGCAGATCTCTGGTGCTTCGGTTGAGGAGACTCTGACAGGAGAGATAATCCTGTCGGTTCTTAAAGTGACTGTGAATAAGCCAGCTCTCTACACATGTTTGGCCTCCAACAAACACAGCGCTGGAGCCAACACTGTCAAGGCAACTGCAAGAGTAACCGTGGCAGGTAAAGACAGACTTTCATTCCAGTTTGTAACTGACATACCTGACAGTGCTTAGAAAAGGATGGTTTTGTTGGTACTCATGGTCTGCCATTATGCTAACTGTTAAATTAGAAGTGCTTTGTGTGTTTTCAGCTGTCTGTCACCCATTTGGTTGATACCACAACCACTCCTGACCACCAACACACAACCACAGTCACCTAAAAAAACACCACCCCCCTCAAATCGACCACACACACACACAGTGCTCCTCCACCTGGCTGCTCTTTAGTGTTCTCACAGCTAGCAATGAGTTGGTGAGGGTAGCATCATGGTTGGTTTTCTCTTCTTACAAAGACTGATTTTTGTTGTGTTTCCTTTCCTTATGTGTATGCGTCCGTTTTTCTCCCGTTTCCTCCTGCTTGTGTTTCTTCAACCAACGTCTTCCGGATACTGCCACTTCCCTGTAGAATGGAGGTAAGAGAAATGTGTTTTACCGTGTGTTTTTGTTGGTTTTAAAATAATGCTTTAACCCTGTTGACACACTTTGAATCAGAAATGTTACTCCACAAATTTTCCAAGATGCACTTTCTGTACTTTCATTGTCTTTAAACTAAGGCCTAATGCTTTTCCTTGGATTTGCTGTAACAATAATAATGCATTTTAGCTGTCAGTAAACCCACTGTACCGAGAGGAAGCTGAACTCTCAGTCATCCATATGGTAAAGGTTGAATTTGAACTTTGCTGAACCACAACACAAAACCCAGTCACCACCACATCTGGACTATGTATCTGCAACAAGAGAGAGAGAGATAGGAGAAAATAGGGAGGCAAACGACTTTTTAAGAACCGGAAGATGAAAAGTTAGCTCTTAGAAGCTCGATGAGACTTTCTGGGGTGAAGAGAAAAAGTGAGCAAAGGAGACAGAAGAGTGTGGGTCAGAGGCTGACAGAAGGATCATACTCAATGGTTAGAGCTTACATGATTTGCCAACTCATGACCACATCTGGACTGTGTATTTATGGGATGTAGAAGCAGACGGTCCCTGGGAGAAAGTCAAGAAGACGGGGACACGGTTGCATGACGTGGTTGATAGATTTACAGGTCTGCTTAAGTTTGATGGTTTGACTTGTACTCCGCTGAAGCACCAACCTCCCCGTGAGGAAACATCTGGAGTTTGTAAGCGCCGCAGCACACAGACAGGCAGAGAGCAGGGTCGAGTGAAAGCTGTCAGACAGACAGGCAAGCATTGAGGCCATGGATATGAGGCAGACTGAAAGAAATATGAGTTATAAGCTGGAGGATATATATGAGGCAGACAGAGCGGTAACTGCCAGGAATATGTGTTTATGACTGATCTATTCAAAGTAGAGGAAAGATGTCCAACAGGCAGGTAGACTGGAGGCCAACTCATGTGAACTATATTCTAAACAAATACCCAAATGATTATAAGGAAAAACAGTCTGCGCGTTTATCCAGGAGGGTGACCAAGGGCGGTACGAGTCCAAAACAATGATTGGCCATTTTCCATGTCAGTTTGTTTGTCTTATTTTTTATTGCAAAATAAGATAAGAGAGTGCAAGTGTGGGCATAACGTGGTTAAAGGACCACCCAGATCTGGTGAAGGGTTATTGCCCAGTCAGAGGAGCAGATACAAATGTGACTGGTCCACAGACATGCAGACTTGATTTAGTCTTGCCTGGAACCCTGCACGATTCATCGATTTTAAATCAAAGTCGGATTATTTAATTATGACAATGTTAAAAAATTACAATCATGAAATTGATTTTCCCCTCTATCTCACGCCTCCAGGCATCCGTAGACTTCCTGCAGGAGTGTGCCCCAGTTCCTAAACACACCAGTGTAAACAAACATGGCGTTTTCAAAAGAAGATGATCATTTCGGGGCTAAATAGGGCAAGAGCAAGTTTGTAGTGATTGGTATTGGTACGGCTTCGCAGTTTTGGACGCAGGGCAAACCACACCTTGCTGCAAATGAATTCAAATTCAGGAGTAAACGCAAAAGTTTTTTGTTGTATCAGCGTTTCATCCACACTGAAATTGCGTTTCACGTGACTGTAAACGGTACTTTTCGAAAACGTGTCAGAGAGTACGTAAATCTGCAAACAACTACCATTTCATCTCTATGTGGATGCCTATCTGCATCTCTCTTTAAACGATTATGTGACACACAGTGTAACTCTATTATGGCGCCCATGTATGTCCCGCCAAAACAACCTTCATACACATGCTCTGTACTCTTCTTCTGTCTTTCACTGAGCGATGTTTTTATAAATGATGTCTTAAACCTGTTTAAAGCTCATCTTTGTTTTATTTAATGATGGAGTTCTGTCAACCCAAAACACAGATGAACTGTTTGTATTGCTGATTGTTATTTTGTAAGATGTAAAGCTGTATAGTTGGTATCATTTCAGTTGTTTATGCACGGGCATATTTTTCCATTCTTTGAACAGACTCTACAAAGGTGTCGCAGGTTACTGCAGTGCGTACCGTGGAGATGTTTGCCGCGGTATTCTGCAGGATGATCTTCTGGTTTTCTTCAACACCTCCCTCTCGGATCCTGAGGATATGCAGGAGTACATGGTTCAGAGCTGGTGGACAGAGCTGGAGGGACTCAGTATGCTGTGTAGCCCTGCAGCACGCTCATTGATCTGCCATTCCTCCTTCTCTGACTGCAAACTATCAGGGTTAGGCCCAGCACCAAAACCTGTGTGCAGGTATGTCTTGTCTTTCACATATTCATTTGTGACTTAAGTATGTTCAGAGTATAAATAAAAATAGATTTTTTGTCTCTTTTTGTTCTTTTAAATCAGAGAGCACTGCCTTGCAGTGAAGGAGCTGTACTGCCATAAAGAGTGGGTGGTCCTCGAGGGCAGCAGCTCTGTGCAGCCGGGCCTCTTCAGCTCTGTTCCTGGATCTCACACTCCCAATTCACTGCTGCCCAACTGTCAGGCCTTACCAAGTCTTTACACAGACCCTGATGCGTGTACACATGTCCCTTTTGTAGGTAAGACCAAATCAGATAGTGTTTAAATAACAGATTTACTATTTTCTGCCTGATATGACTCTTGAAAGCTCTTTACCGCGGGATCGTCCCAGAAGTCTGGCGATAAATTCAAAAGGAAATGGAGGGTCATGTAAAAGCTAGTAGGAGTTGGCTCGTTTGCTTGTACGCTGAGGGCCAAATAAAGCTTAGCCTGCTGTACTTCAGGGCATTGATACTGATGAGGTCATGAAGAGGGTCTGACCAGCTGAGCCAAAATACACAGCTTTACTCCAGTGTGTGTGTGTTCCATTCTTTTAAGTACAAAGTATAACCGTCTGTTCGTTTACTCTGTTATCTTGACATGACAGATTTTTATGCTGAAGCTGCTTGTCTGGTTCTGCTTCTTGAAATAGTCTTACTGTTATCTGCTCTTTTGCAGACATCAAGAGGGATCAAATTACAAGTAAGTGTAAAATATTCAGTTTGGATGCTTTGCATGCAGCCATCAGGGCTAATTTCACACAATGATGGTGCATTTATTGAACATATATTACTAAAAAACATTTCAAGACAATATCTTTTCTGTTTTGTATCAACAGCCACATGTTACGATGACAGAGGCCGTTTCTATCAAGGTCACATGAATGTGACACGGTCTGGGACACCATGTCAGTCATGGAGCCAACAGGTAGAGTAATTTGTGTTTGTGAAGCAACAGTGTCACATAGAGGCATACTGTGTACAACACTTTGTTGATGTGTAAACTCACAACTCACAATTCATTATTCAGGTTAGTGTTTTTAGAGTTTAGGGGGTGGCTTTCACTTAAAAGGTAAAGTCAGTCATCTCACAATAAGAGGGTTGTAGGTTCAATCCCAGGACCCACTGTCCTCATGTCAAAGAGTCCTTGAACACAACACTTAACACCAAAGTGTGGCTTGTGAGTGTACCAGCTGTGTGTGTGTGTGTGTGAGTGTGAATGGGATTAATACTAACAGGCGCCTTGCTTTGCAGCCTCTGCCAACACTGAATGAATGTAGGGAGAGTGGGTCAAAGTGACAAGTCACTTTGAGTGGGTACTAGGGTACTATGTGCAATATAAATACAGTGCATTTACCATAATAACCTCAAAACTGCAATCCACACAAAGTGGAAATGACTCCCAAGAAGAGGTGGGATTCATCACAATCATAGACTTGGACTGCAGGGTCACCAACAAAACTGATACTTGTTATTTTGTGGGAGGATGTTCGGTTTTCATTATCAAACATTCCTGACCTCTACCCCGAAACAGAAAAACGCTCAAAAGTGCTAACAAGTGCAAACACAATCTTATACACACACACACATACGTACTGCTTGTACACTGCTCACACTGACACACACTTTCCCTGTGGCCCAAAAGCCTCTTTATGTTTTTATAGCTCTCCTCAGTGAGAGGGTCTGTTAGGGTGAACTGTTACTACTCTCCTGTGCAGCGTGTGTGTGTGTGTGTGTGTGTGTGTGTGTGTGTGTGTGTGTGTGTGTGTGTGTGTGTGTGTGTGTGTGTATGCCAGGTCAGCAGAGAAGGAGGGGCTCATCATGTCACATCCTGCCTCTGGAAGCAATTAGCTTTCACACGCATATGCTGAACAGACTCCCGTACGACCACACTCACATGATTAAATACTTCTTTCTCTCACACAGTCTCTCAGATACATACATGAAATTGGCTTTTCTTCTGCTCTACAGCCGGATCCACAAACATTTGTACATTTCCCCTGTTTCCCTTTTTTCTACACTCAGTGTTGGCTCGTTCTTGAAGTACACTGAGAGTTTTATTTTCATTCCTATGCAAACCCAGAGTTATGTTCACCCTAGAGCAGATAAAACTGGTAAATAAGGCTTTAAACTTAAAATAGTCTCTGGAATACAAGTGTGTATACAGAGTGGAGTGTCTGTTTTAGTATCTGTCTGTTTGTCCCATAGACTGTATATACTATGGACAATTTGGCTCCGCCTTCCATCATTATTCAAATTTAAATGATGATGCACAATTACGTGGTCAAGCTACATGAAAAAACATGAAAGTATTAGTCTTGAAATGTTTTGGAACCACTGGGCGAGAATTAACACGAGCTATTAAGTTACTGAGAACATTCAGTGAGATCAAACTGTGAGAAAATGGCATGTCTTGGAATTATAAAGAAAAAAGACTGAGCTAATGTGCTGACGACACGTGAATTAAAAGGTAGACTGTGAGAATAATCCCATCCTGTTTTAGTTCCTGACTAGCACATAAGCTTTCATTTCCTTGAAGTGAATTTAATAGGCCCCTATCATAATTAGGATCGTTTCTGCTGAAGCAGTTCTCCCAGCGGACACTGTGGAGCTGATGGCAACCTTTGTCACAGATGTAGACCCAGTGGAAATGGTTCGAATCCACACTTCGAGCCATACTTCTGTCTACATACTTCTGTGTACTTCTGGATAGACAGAAGTATGTGGTGGTTAATGTCTAAGATGACATGCTGTGAGACTTCTTTGTTGTATAAGGCTACTGTTATTCCCAAATATTAGATTCACTGTCGGGCCAATCATACAAAAGTCAATAAAAGAAAATCTCACCTGCCACAGGCTACATCTAGATTTACTCCAAAAAAAGAGTGCATGAGTGTGTTTGTCAAGCTTGTCGTGTTTGTCAGCTTTGAAAAGGAAAAAGAAATTAAGAGTAAAATTTCAGCTTCTCTCTTGACTCCTGATCCATCGAAGATGTTTTTGAAGATGGACTTCACATTTTTTACACTCTTGAGTCCTGAAGGATATTAGCAAGAATCTGAGTTGTTCCATACAGCACATGTTCCCCTCCAAAGTTAAATCCCATATATGTCGAGCACATACTTACAACACATGTTACACATTTTGAGCTGTGCTAGTGGAGTCCTATTTTGTGCTGAGTCATGGAGACGCAACACAGCCAAACTTCGATTCAGATGTTTAAATGGAGTCTATTCAGCACACTAGAAATGATTGAACATGTGTTGAATGATTTTTCACACATACCCCTCAAAATGTAAGAAATGAAGTGAATGACAGGAAATACTCAGAGCCTTTTGGAGTTGTTGTGCACTTAAAACAACCTTTTTTTCTGTTGTCAGAGATTAATAGCAGCCTGGTGGGATTTATGCTTCATCAGAAAATGTTAGTTCGTGTGATACAAGGGTTTAAAAGAAAACTACAACAGCTGAGACACCTGTATTGTTAGAACACTTTGCTTTGAACATTCAGTAGTGGATAAATCCCATGAGGCCTTTGCAGCTACAGAAGCACATGTGTTGAACCCAGACCCTTCAGCTTATAACTTTGCTTCTCGAGGGAAAGGTTGGGCCAGTGCATTTTTGATGACTTAAGCTTATGACACACAAAGACAGCAGATGTTCAGTGTTTGAGTTGGCACTCTAGGTTTCAAAAACATCTCACTACCCCCGATACCCCTCACCGTAGCACATTTACACCCTCTGCAGTCGTTAAATCGTAACCTTACCGTGGATCCCAGACAAGGCCTTAAAAAATAAAGCATTACGATTATTTAAGCTTTCTGTTTTTGTTTTTCTCTCGATAAAGAGTATGAAATTTCATGGAAAACACAAATTTACATGCAAAATTTCCTGCACTGACCCTTGAACATTCCAGGAAAATGTAATACAGAAGGAAATTTACTGAGCGCACTTTTCTTATCACGAGAGGTCGACTTTGTGTCACTCCTTAAAAACACTCCTGGATGCACAGATTGGATCCAAGTTGCGCTCACATTACTACTTGAGGGAATAGAGAGAAGAAATAGCAAATGTTTCAGGTCATAAATAACTCTTTTAAAATGCTTTAACTGTCAACACCTCTGTTTTATTCACCACAGTGTTTTAACTGAGAACACTTTATTTTTAAGAAAAGGTCAACAAGACTTTTCTCTCTATTGATTTTCTCTGTTTTTCTCCTCTCTCCTGTCCTACAGGCTCCTCACCAGCACCGTCTGTCAGCGGACGTAATTCCAGAGTTGAAGAACTCTGACAATTTCTGCAGGAATCCTGGAGGAATCAGCGACAAGCCCTGGTGTTACACCTCAAATCCCAAAATACGCTGGGAGTACTGTCCTGTGCCACAGTGTGGGGACACAAGCATACTGTCAGGTAGTACCTGCTGGTGTCTTCTACCCCTGATCTGTTTGGTTCTGGTTTTGCTTGACAGTTTTCCTAAGTTTTTATTCTGCTATAAAAGACAATTTTATGGGAGGTATAACTTTAACTGGTTAAACTTTGTTTCTAATGAGGAAATTCAAGACAAAAACATTCATTCAATAAGGTCAACATGTCTTCCTATGCATGGTTTCCTTAAATAGCGAAATTATCACCTTGGATAAGAACTTCTTTTGTCTGACACTAACCCAACAGCAGCTCATGCATCAGTATTAACCAAAAAAACTCTCACAGGAGCCCAAAGTTTAAGTAGTGAAGTTGATCAGCCAAGCAGCTTCATTTGAAAACTCTCTTTGACTGTCAGTGATGAAATCGGAGACACCAGGCCCTCGTCATACTCCTCGCCCGCCCCCAGTGGTGGTATCATCTCCAGCTTACTCCATGTCCGTCATCGTCATCATCCTAACTTCGATCGCAGCGGCAGTTCTCCTCACGATTGTCATCCTTGCCTGTCGCAGACGGAGGAAGCAGTGGAGAAACCGGAAGAGGTGAGACTCAAATAAGACTCACTGTATATATCAGGGAGTTTATAACTTACCATTCATTACTCTTCTGCTGTTCACAGAGCCATGGAGACCCCAACGCTGAGCACTCTTCCCTCAGAGCTCCTGCTTGATCGGCTCCATCCAAACCCCATGTACCAGAGGGTTCCCCTGCTACTCAACTCAAAACTCCTGGCCCTTGAGTATCCCAGGAATAATATCCAATATGTCAGAGACATTGGAGAGGGAGCCTTTGGACGGGTTTTCCAAGCCAGGTGATCTATCAATTAATCGATCAATTACTGTACTATCAACCGTCTAAGGAAGTAAGAAGCAGTAGAGGGAATGAGAAGCATCTCCCGAAACTAAGAGTGACTTTAAGATGAGATACTTCTTTTAAAATGCACCCTTACTCTTAAAAATATATCTAAATGATTATATATTATAACTAGAGGTTGAATGTGTTGGAAAGATGTTTCTCTGAGGGACGGAGAGTCAGACAGTCAGTCAGGCTGCAGAGGGTTTCGCTCAGCAAGGCCAGCGGTCACTTTGAGAACTGCTGCGTCATTCACAAAGTCACAAGGCCAGTTTTTACAGGTGTCACTTACACTCCATACTAATGCTGTCCACAGCAAGACATGAACACCGTAGACTAATCCCTAAGATTAGACGTGAAACTAGACTTTGGTCATACAGTAGTTGGGCCGATATATCTTAGTTTTTTCTCTTTTAAAGTGACTTTATAAAGAATAAAAAGTTCTGCGTGATAATTTCCCTTCAAAGTAAAATAAAACCTTTGAAACTTGGATCCAAACAGGATTGACAATCTAAGGCAACTCACATCTGGATACAGTATTCTTTGTGTGTGTGATGTTTTATATATACAGCACATACTTATCTATTGTTTATCTTTTGTACTGCATGTACTGCCATTTAAAAAAGTTTATGCGGCATCTAAATAGAAATCTAAACTGAGATAAAACATGTTGACATGAGTTCCCCCTCCAGTCAGACAACACAGGAAATGTGTTCGTTTGTGTTGATGCGTTTTGTCAGCTGTGCACTGTTATGTGTGTTTTCAGAAGACTTGCAGCGCTGACGTATGCGTGCGTTTCTTGTCAGCGCTTTAATATATCCGCGCATGTTTGTTTGTTGCAGAGCGCCGGGCCTGCTGCCAATGGAATCTTTCACAATGGTGGCTGTTAAGATGCTGAAGGAGGAAGCCTCGGCTGACATGCAGAATGACTTTCAGAGAGAGGCGGCGCTGATGGCAGAGTTTGACCATCCGAACATTGTACGACTCTTAGGTAAGTGGATACGAGTGTGTGTATTTGTGTGAGAGAGAAAGATAGAGAGAGAGGAAGGGGGTGAGGGTGCAGAGCCAGATTCCCAGATAGTAGAGTAACAGCTGGATTCTGGATCAGTAATTTTTTTTTATCCATGAGACTAAAAAAAAGATCCAGAATCATGGAAAGAGAAAGAAACAAGACCCATTAAGGCTGCATTAAAGCCCTGAGCGGGCCCTCGAACCTTCAACTATGTCAGGGGTGTGATGCCCGCTGGGGTGGTGCCAATAACAGCAGCAGTCACAGCGTTTGTTGCTGATGTGGTGTTTTCATAGAAAAAGGAGTCATCAAAAAGACTCTGAAGCTGTGTGTTTTGAACCCGGCATGAACTGTAAGCACACTTGTGTTGCTGTGCTCATGCTTCAAACCTTTGATACCTTTGAGGAGAGGAGAGGAGAGGAGGTAAGGGAAAGTAGGAACATGTGAGGATACATGACATGAGTCTTCATAGAGTATAGATGACGAACCAGCTCCTGTATTGACTATCAGGCATATTTAGGTCTACAAAAAAGCAACTTATTCAGCAGAAAGCATAATAATTATTCCTTACATTTCAACACACCCTTGGTGCTAATTTGACACGATAAAAAAGCCAAATTTTTCATTAACATTGTTATGAATTGCATTTTGGGTAATGGTTCAGCTCAATCAATTCTGCATCCATTTTGATACACAGTCTACCATTACACCCCTTATCTAATAAACCAGCGTTTCATAGAGGAATAAGTGCGGAGGGAGGTATCTCTGCAGCAGAAAACGCTCTTAAACCTCCTGCTCTTGTTCTTCAGCTATTTGAACTCTTTTTCACTGTGATTCATTGGAGCTTTTTGAGACACTGATAAGACTGTTTGGTGGTAAACAAGCGCTGCTTGACAACAAAAAGGCCTTTGTTGGCCTGAGTGAGACAAATGTCCTCTATTAATTTTTATCCAGACTAATACAGCTTATCTAATCTAATACAAACAGATTACATCCCAATATACTTCCAGGAAGACATTTAGACATACAGCATACTGTTGGAGAGTAAACACAGCCATGGGCAAGTGGCTGTGTGTGCAGGGAGAAGTTTGTTTGCTTTGGTTCATCTTACGGCTCCAGTGGTTGTGAAATGCTTTTTCATTCAAGTCGACATTCACTACAAGCAAAAAAATGACATAAATACAGAGAGAAAATAACTGCAGAATCATACGACCTCTGTAGAGTTCGTCAGGCGTGTTATATGCACAGTGACAAACTGAAACATGGAGGTCTCTGAAGACATGAAACAAGAGTTGATTAGATTACTGAGTTAACTTCTACTGACCCTCTGGACTAATAATACACTGTAAATCATGTGTAAAAATATATGTAACATTCATGACATGCTTGAGTCAAAGTTGGAGGTGCCATATGTCTCCTTGCTGTCTCTCTTAGTTGTCTATATACAGGTGGGACTCGTATATTTAGAGTTGAAGTGAACCATTATGATCCAGCGACTGACCTTTAGGCAAGCCTGCTACTGTTGAACTACCATCACCCACCACCCCCCACACACACTCTGGAGAGCACTAATCAGAGCTTGTCCTCCAGGGATCTGTCCTTCTCTGTGACCCACAGGACATGAACTCACTGAGCGTGGTCTTCAAGCTGAAAAAGCATCCGAGACAGTTTTGAAAAAAAAAAGGTCCTGAGTTTGCAGCTGTTTGTTGATATTGTTGCGCTGGCATTACAATAAGACATCTACATTTATCAGGGTCGCCTTGTGTCTGATTTTTCCAGTGTGTTTTTGCGTCACTGTGGAGTGATTGCAGTCCCCACTCGGCCATCTGTGTGCCCCTCAATTTTGTATGTTTGACAGAGTTTACAAGCAGATCTCTAAATTTCACACTCAGAGGCCTGCAATAAGACTCAGTGAACTTCTCTGACCACAAGAACACCAATCATCGGAAAAATTCTGATAATTGTGCAGGACTCGAACTAAAATTAGCTGCAGAAACAGAAACTTAAACTTCTGTCTGATAAACAGTTTCTTTTTCTTTTCTTACCGTTGGCAAACCTGGTGATTTATCATGATCGTTGGTACATTTTCCACAGGCTCATAAAGAAGTAAAAAAACTGGAGTCGGAGTCAATGCCAGTTTTTATAAATAGGACGTCTACATCTTATGCAGAGAAGTTTGGGCTTCAACAGTGAGCGCTTTCATTTGACGGAGCACCATTTCCAAACAGATTCGCAGGAATGCATGCACAAGCATTCTTTAATAAAGGCTGAGAAGAAGATATAAGGATGAATTTGTTGAATGCAAGACTTTCCTTAAATCGCTTCGTCTTAGGAAGTTTGTTTTTCAGGGAACTCCCGCTGAAATTATTCAATAAGAGGTTTGTTTTGACGAATGTGTCCATGCGGGAAAAGCCCCTGCTGTTTGATAAATGATGTTTTTATTTTCCAGCAACTTTAATTCAATCATCATAATCTCACTCAGATTCATCAGAAATTCAGACACCGCCAGAGAAATCCTGCCCGTATTTCCCTCCAGCACTGACAGATTCTGAGGAACACAAGATCGGTTTAGAAATATAGTATGTTTACATCACAGGGCCACTAATCCAAGACTGTAAATCCTCTGTGCATGAGGGTTTATTCCCGAGAAAGTAGACTTCAGGGATGGTTGAGTCTGTATTTATGTCGATGCTGAATATTTATTTACCTTTAACTGTGAATGAACTCATTGAGTGATACTGGCAGGAGACAAAATTACTTCATTCAACACGTTTGAGTCATGTCACTGATGTGTTTGTGTTGTTGGTTTTTCTTCTCCTTAAATCTGAGATGGAGAAACTCAAAACTCACAAGCCTCCTATATTATACAATAATAAACACATATCTTTCTCTGCTTTCTTCCCCAGGTGTGTGCGCAGTGGGTAAACCCATGTGTCTGATGTTTGAGTACATGGCCCATGGGGACCTCAATGAGTTCCTGCGTCGCAGATCTCCCTCACAATCTGTACGTACCCTCAGCAGAGCCAGCCTGTCAGGTCGCAGTTTTTCCTTGGAGATGGAGGCGGTGTCTCTCTCCTGTGCTGAGCAGTTGTCAATCTCTAAGCAGATTGCAGCAGGAATGGCTTACCTATCAGAGCGCAAGTTTGTCCATCGTGACCTTGCTACCAGAAACTGCTTGGTTGGGGAGGAGATGGTCGTGAAGATTGCTGACTTTGGCCTCTCCAGAAACATCTACTCAGCAGATTACTACAAAGCAAACGAAAATGATGCCATCCCAATCCGCTGGATGCCTCCAGAGTCTATTTTCTACAACCGCTACACCACTGAGTCAGACGTGTGGGCCTACGGTGTGGTGTTATGGGAGATTTTCTCCCACGGCATGCAGCCGTACTATGGAATGGGTCATGAGGAGGTTATTTACTATGTGCGTGATGGCCACATCCTCTCCTGTCCCGAGAACTGTCCTCTGGAGCTGTATAATCTGATGCGGCTCTGTTGGAGCACACACCCCTCGGACAGGCCCAGCTTCAGCAGTATACATCGAATACTGGAGCGCATGCATCAAAACACACTAAGCGTGAATGCTGAAACTGAGGCTGACTGCTAACCAGGAACTTTTCCTGCACACAAACTTCTCAATCGAAGTTCAAATCTAATGGAGCTTTGGCTGGTAGTTTTATTTTTCACAGCATGTCACAGATGCTTTTATACCATCATCACTTAGCCTGGCGTTGCCAGACCCATCAGCCAGCTCATATTAACTTCAGCCGACAAATGTGTGCGGCCCAGTTGTTTTTCTAAATGCTTTCCTATAGGTGGAAGGTGATCCAATCACAGCCCTTCGTTGAAGATGAAGACACAGGAGTGATGCTTGAGTGTTTTCATAAACAACCAAGGTTGGTACTGCTGCCACTGGAGGGTCTGTTGAACTTAATATAGGGGGGGCATTTAAAACCATCTGGATGATGGATTTTCATTAACAAGAACTGACTGGTCAGAAAGGCTAGTGTCTTTCCTCTGCATGGCGCTGTCTGTTTACATTTCTGTTAAACTTTGTCACAGGCTCTGCTGGTTGTTGGTCTCTCTCACGTGACTGGGGAAAAAGAAATCTATTGACGGTTCCAAACCCATTCACCAGAACTGGTCTGCTGTCACCAGGCTAATAGTTACTTGCAAAAGGCTTTTTTTTTCAGGTGTAAGGAGCTGTATCTTGGTAGAGCTGTAGATTTATTTAATTAGCATGAAAAATAACAAAGTCTAAATGATCCCAGAGCCTGAAGCATTGAAGGCTTGAAGCAACAAATCCTGCAGTGGCCTGGGAGAAAAAATAGAAAAGCAGAAAACCCCCAAAACATAAACGGTCTCCTCTGCTTCCACAGTGGCACACAATCACTTTATATCATTGCTGTTGATCGTTGTGATAGATAAGTGGCTATTCCATTTTCTGGGCATTTTTGTGAAACTTTTCCTTTATGTGTTTTTGAGTTTTGTCTTTTCTTTTGGTACAGGTACATCCTTGTCAGTGTTTGACACACAGTTTTCTATGTAGTATAAGACTTAACAGTACAAGCAGGTCTACATGGTCTTTGTTGCATTATATACAGAGATGTGTCATTAACCCACTATGAGCTAACAGTGCAAAAGTGTCTTTTCAACAGGCAGAAACCTTGGGCAGAACCAGAATAATCGGTGGACTTCCTGTTTGGTGAAAAACAGAAACTTTCCAAATAATTTTTTTTTTTAAGCTTCAGATAAAAGAGAAAACTCGAGGGAAAAAAAACGACGAAGAAAACAAAGAGTTTTTCTGACTCAGCTGGGCCCTCTGCTTTCACTTCAACTGAGCTGAATTCATTTGGTACGATCACCAACATTTCTTTCATCATTCTTCCTTGTTTTTGTGATAAGTTTCTCCACTTTGTTTGGTGTATGTATTTTAATAAAGATTAGTATTAAATGATTAAACGATGTGTAACTTTATAATTAAGGTACAGTGTCAACATCAGACCTTCAAATACTCTCCTTTTATCTGTTAACATATGTAGTTTCTTTGTATGCCTTTCAAATAAACAAAAATGAAACATATTTCTATTTACATTTTGAAAATTAAAGCGTCATTCATTTTGGGTTTTCTTGCATCTTTTATGCAGCGGTTCAAATTCGTTCTTTTTTTCCTTCTTCTTTTAAGGAAAGGGCTAAAGGTCATCACATATCAGTGTGTCGTATTAACAGTATTTGGCACAACAATTAGTATATTTCAATAAGCATGTATTCACCTGAATATAGAAATCATAATATTTCTGTAACTTAGACGTCTTTAGGAATAGACATGTTGAGGGTAAAAACTTGACAAATGAAGGCGCGTTCATGTTGAGCTTCACAGGGATGTCAGGTCCTCTGAGGTCGCTTTTGCTTTTGACTACCGGAGAATCTGGCAGCTCGATATCACAAAAACATTTCTTTGCATGAAAGAACTCGTGCCATCTGTTAATTTGTAATCCTTTCTAACAACACATGTCCTTCAGCTGCCCCCGCCCAACCCTCAAAAAACACCCAAGTATCTGACCATGTGGCTGCTGCAGTATTAGTTTCCTCCACAAGAGGGACCAAAGGGGTAAACTGAGGCAGTCTGTGTTATTTTTTATACAGCACATGGTCGTATATGCGTCACGGCTCTGTGCACTTTATTAGTTCATTCTTCCTTGTGTTACCAAAAAAAAACCTTTGCAGACAGTTTTTCCACTTATCTGAAGAAGTCTGAGGATGTTTTGTGTTTGTTTCCACCTGTGGATGTGTGTGAGGATGTCTCCTTGGGTGCTTGTGTTCTTTGAGGATGCTTAATATAAACTGTTTAAAGTAGGCGGACGGAGCTCTGTTGATCAGACGGTCCCACTCCCATTTCCTCTGTGGTCCTCACTCCCCTCGCAACTCCTGTTGATGTCTCTGTCTGCACCATTTCTGTTCCTTAACTTTATAGGAGATACTTTTAGTGTACAAAACTTGTTTTATTTCATTATTTTATTTTTTCATTTTATTTAGTCTTTGCCTCCTGTGATGAAAAGTAAGTTTTTTAAGCAGTGCAGTTTTCAGATGCTTTTCTTTTGGTTGAATGTTTTAAATGTCTGATTTTATCCACCACATTTAAGAGGGAAATACAAGAATCCTGGTGTCTAACATCTGTTAGTGTCCTGAGGTAGGAAATTATTATAAAATGCAAAAAAAGAGAGAGTTTTAGCATCCTAGACACCACAACAAAATTCTGAAACCAATTTCATGGTCTCACAAGACAATCGGCTGTTGGAACGCTAGGAAGTGGTCATGACTTGTCGTTTTGTTTCCACCTTCCTCTGTCTTTACTTTCCACAGTCTCCATCACCACTTTTTCCCTCCTTATCTGTTTCTGCAGCCAGTTTTTCAAGTGTGCGTTCTCTGAGCTGCTCTGGTCAGAATGTAACACAAAGCCTCCTGCAGACACCGGGAAATCTCACTCACTCACAGAATCAGCCATTTGTCCCTTTTCCAAACAAAAGGTTTATCTGAATGGACTCTGTAACCTTCCTGGCAGCTTGCATCAGTGGCTTTTAGTGTTTTTGGTCATTAGAGATTTATTATTTGATGAAAAACCACTTCCTGTTTTGTCGGGATGGTCTCCCAGAGTCCAGATTGTGGATGTGGCACAGACATTTCATATTATAAAGGAAGCAACTCGTGTTTCATGAGTCAAAGGTTAAAAAAAATTATCCCATGGTCAGCAATTTCCAGATATCTTGGCGTGTTCGGCTTTTATCGTCACATTCACTTCTCCATTCATCATGTATGTAATTAGACTGCTAACAGGGGGACTGAATCTGTCCCAGGAGACGTGGTCTATCTATAAGTCAGCATATCAGAAGTCAAACATGCTGGGAACCGTGAAAAGTCCCCATATTGACATTGTGTCAAAGATGTGACATCCCCTTCACTCAGCTACAGCACACAGGAACTTCCCGTGCGGCTGAACTGTCCCTGATTGGCCCTCGCAGAGAGCGAAAGGAAGCATGGAGACGTATATCAGTCAACTGGAGGCTAGCACTCAGAGGCTGTGGAACAATAAACATACACACTTACACCAACACACACACACACACACACACACATTCCTTCCTATGAAAACATTCGGCCTCTGTTGCTCGGACTTCGCCTAATATAATGTTACAAACAGCACAAAGCAGCCCAGAACAATTAACAGTATGGTGCATACACACAAACCTGCAGACATCATTTTATATGACGCCTATCTCTATAATGTATTATAAATATGTTTATAATGCGTTCTTATTACGTTATAGCACCCTATATAACTATAGTTATAAACACTTATAAATGATCATAATGCTTTATCACAATAATCAGAACCCATTATAAAGCAATTTATCATGACTTACAAAGTCAGGTATTATAATGTGTTATAACTGTTAACAAGAGTTGCATTATCTATGTTGGCAATGTAAGCAAGTTGTTTATCATTTATGAGTGTTTATAACTATAGATATACAGCGCTATAACGTGGTTATAACACATTATACATAATATAATGTGTTATAGAGATAGGTGTCGAATAAAGTGTTACCTACTTTTTTTATAAACTTAGCACAAACATTAAGGACTTTTTTGTCTGGTGGATTATTTCTTTAGGAGATAAATATCTAGATGAGATTCTGCAACCAGTGGCAATCCCACATCCCCACATTCTGGGACCAAACCCTCTCCTCCAAGATGCCAACACTCGCCCCCACAGAGCAGGTTTATCAGAGACTACCTCCAGAATTTGGGAGTGGAGAGGATGGGATGTCCTACCAGCAGTCCTGACCTCAACCCCCGCAAACACTTGTGGGATCAGTTTGGGCGTGCTCATGCCAGAGAGAACTGCACGGGCTGACTTTTGACAAATACAGATATATTTATAGACGACTAGGTACGCCATCGCGCCGTAGCAGCCCGCTTAGCGATGTGCCAACGTGGCAGCCATCTTGGCGGGGGCAACATTCCCATTAAAGGCATAAGATATGTATATGTAAGGTAGATGCTGAGTTGCGCCACTAGGTGTCGCTGCACATTAAAACAAGAGTTTACTATTGAGAATTGCCTTTTGTCCCTCTGACACACCGTAGGGGTTGATATCGCGGGTGTATTGAGCATTTCCTTTAGAGTTCTGATATCAACCTTGTAGGTAAGTCACGTTAGTTTCATGGGAAGATAAAGTACGAAATATTAAGCATATAAGCTGTTATAAGTTTGTTTTGATGAGCTATTTTGATTACTGAAACATTAAGCACTTGATAGCTGTGTAGTTTGTTGAGCTAACTACTTTATATTTTTGGTAAAATCTATGTTTGGAATACGAGTGTAATAGCGCTAACTTGAATGAGATGTAGCATTGTAATACACTTTTCTATTTGAAGTTTACTGAGAGTTCTGATATCAACCTTGTAGACCCCTGTGTTGTGAATAAACCCAACGGTATTGCCACGATCCCGAACCCATCTGTGTCCGTGTGCATCTCCTTACCGGCTGCCGCTGCACCCCCCGCCAGAGGTCCATTTCACACTTAAGCAGACACAACGCAGAGTA